GCATCTGGAGATTTTACCCGTACGGTCTCGATGCAACTCAATTTGTCTGGCTTCAAGGATTCAGACTCTTGGTGACTTATGTCGGAGGCCTGCAATATCCAAAAGAAGCCGCTATCTCGTTATGAACTCCTTCATGCGTGTCTACATTAATGTATCTTACACAAGCATGTTTTGAATGAAAGTGCAACTGTCTTGAGGTCTTGCAATTGAGAATGAATAATATAGATATATGCTTGGCTGTAGTGACCCATGATATTCACGTTGAAATACGTAAACAGTTCATTCTTTTGTTTAACTAAACATTTTAAACATTTTTGACTTACATAAAAAAAAGAGAAATCTAAACAAATTCAATAACAAGAAAACATATCTGATACACTTCCTAGGTTTCCGTCCAGCAGCACACTCCAAAGCCAACTCACAACTCACAGTAAAAGCCGCCTCTCAGCCACAATCGATGAAAGACGGTTCCTTTTCGCGTAGTTGTAGGCTGAATGGCTAGACGCAGGAGGCTACGATAGCTCCCAGTTAAGTCATTCGCGCAATCAGCACTTGCATCACCTCGTGCGAATAGATAATGAGTGCAATGGTGGTCATCAAGCACATCGAATGAAAGCTAGGTCCCCAAAGATGTGGAACTCCCAAAGCCTCCAATGGCTGCAACACGTAGATGATTAGCCCGAAAATATTGCTGGTCAACAACTTCACAAATGCAGTAGCGAGGGGGGTCGGGGACGACGCTGGTCCTGCAAAAGCATGCATTGTTGGCATCAGCGCTAGCATGATGATGGACAGGATATCAAGAGAAATGCTGGAACGTGGGGTCGACTGTCTATTTCTCACTTGAAGATGACCTAGTGCAACTGCTGTCAAGCCAACAAGATAGCCGAGCTGTGTCCAAGACCAAATTGGTAGGAGGAAACCCGCTGCAGGCAGGGCAGTAGCCCATATTGAGATAGTTCCCACGAGCTTGATAAGACCACTCTCACTTGCCAGTGGTTCGTCTGTGATGATCTCAATCACATAGCTCAGAGCTACATACAGATAGCAGGATGCAATGCTGACAGCGAAGAGAAGGACGAGCACAGCTGTGGGAACCAGATCCAGGGAGGTCGGCAGATGGAAAAGAAGGAACTGAACTGCGTAGACCAAGAAATAGAACAAGCCAACACTGGCGATGATGGCGCCGCAAAGGCAGCTGGGAAGGCGATTGGTATTCATTGGTTTGTGAGGAGGAGACTTGCTCTGAGAGGGGATGACGGCGGACTGGGTGTCAATATATAGGCTCGAAATCTTTCTCACCGACATTCGGTGCTCATCTCAAGCGTTGATCCCCGCGGAACGGTGAATCACCAACTAAACGCGGAAAACGCTCCGTTGAGTGAACATGTGTGCTAGAGTTTGTGAATGAACCACTCAACTTGACGGGAGGCTTTGGATATTTGTATCGCCTGACTATATCTTGAACCCAGTAGTAGAGTAAGCCCTGATAGTCCAAAGACTAGCTTCATTCTCTGCATCATCTTACTTTCTGCATATGATAGGCCCTGTAATATGCAACAGCTCATTGAGTTATCGCAAGAAATTGGTCAGCAGCAAATCGAGAATCGCTACCTGCGCGAATGTTACAAAGCACTCAAAATAATGCAAGAGAGCACGGCAGACATGATAATGGTACTTGATGAGCTTTTCGAGTCGCAGACACAGGAATCCATGACTTCCATCTATACGGAAATCTTCCGGCTACAAGAAAAGACATGCCAGCTAGTTACGCGTGTGTGCAGAGCCCAGGAAGCATGCGAGGAACTATGTCCCCTTCATATGTCATGCTCCGCTCACCAACAGCTAGCGCCCATCATACGAATTATTATTGATCGGAGAGCTCTCACTGCGCACGCAGCTTTCGATTGTGAGTCCCTGCCTTGAGGTTTTGAAATTTTGCAGGTATTGATGCAGGAGACAACGGTGGCAGGTGACTCGATCATCATGTATGGTAGAGACATGCTCTGAAATGCAGTGAAATGTAGTCATGTTTTTTAACCCTCGAATCATCACTCAGATTGGAGTGCGTCAGTTTCAAGAAGTTTCAAGAAGGGATGGGGGGGGTTCTTCTGCTCCGTGGCTGCTACCCATAGACTGAGCAACTGATTGGGATTGGCGTATCTTTTACTTGGATAAAATGCACACGAGCTATCCATTCGAGCTTACTAGCATGTCTTGATTAAACAGACGCGAGTAGTGAAAAATCCAGTAGTAAACAGGCGTTCAGTATACAGGCGTTCCTCAAACAGGTGTTCAGTAAACAGGGACTCAGTAAACAGGCGTTCAGTAAACAGGCATGCAGTAAACAAGCGTTCCTCAAACAGGTGTTCAGTAAACAAGAGTTCCTCAAACAGGTGTTCAGTAAACAAGAGTTCCTCAAACAGGTGTTCAGTAAATAGGCGTTCCTCAAACAGGCGTTCAATAAACAGGGACAGTGAATAGCCGCTCAGTGAACAGATGCGTTCGATAAACCAACGGCCATTTCCAATCACAAGAAAAATTCAGTCCAAAAAAGCAGGCCACCAATACCGACATTCTACGCTTATAAGGGGCCCAGGCTACCATTCGCTATCACTATTCATTTCACTTTCCTCAACTTTCATTCCAACTCTCACTTTACTAATGGCTACGCACCCGAAAAACGAACTTTTTACCACCTTGTCTTGGCCGGACTACCCCGAACAACCTGCCACTGCCGACGAATCGTCTTCACAGTCAACAAACGAGAACACTTCGTCCGAAAATACCGAAGACTATGACTTTGTTATTTCCGATGAAGCTACCACTGAATACTCGTCGAGCGTACCAGACTCGACCGGGCGGGACTGGTCCAACAGGCAGAACGAGGAGGTAAGACAACCATCTATTCCAGTTCCGCTAGACCGAAACTGACGTCTTTTTAGCTTGGCCAATTATGGCCAATCAAAGCTATTGCTGTGCGTCGCGTGCAAGAGGAGGGATCATACACTCTCAACTACTTGGTGCTATGGGGGTCTTGGGAGGAAGAGCCACCCCGAGAGGATCACTCCATTGGGACGAGGATCCCATTGAATTGAATGGCCGTGAAAGAAGCTGTTCATACTTAAAGCCAAGTGGTTTGGCTCGTTTTATTCGCAGATGTTTGCCATGAGACAAATGATGTCCCGTCGACTAGAGTTCATATCAGCAAAATAAAAATTGTTGTACATTTAGATATATTGTCAGGAGCCGAGAGCGATTTGAAGCTACTTGATCGTCGCTACCAGAGCTTATTACAGATCTATACTCACCATTAAATGGATCAAATCGCTCGGTTGATATCGTGGAAAATAATCTCGTTATTCAATTTTCAATCTGGCAAGGCTCATCTAAACTTTGAGAGCAATAACTTGAGGGCGAGAAAAGATTTGAGTCTCATGAGCAAAGCCACAAATTGAACAGCAAAATATTTCGCAAGTCCACTTCAAGCAGAGGATGCATCAGCAGTCCGTCGCTAGTCCGGTCGTACTCTTTTGAGTCGGGGATGGAATCTCCGTAGGACGCACAACGGCCAGAGTTCGAGTGGGGGACGAAGTGGTCGTCACTGTCTCGGTGATGTTTCGGCCAACTGTGCACTCACTCCCGACTTAGAGAGAAGCGTCAATTGTGCAACTGGCCGTCTGGCCTTGCAGGTTTTGGAACCGTATCAGGCCAGTATCATCAAGCTGAACGGTCGCGACCGAGCGTCTGTTCCCGGCATCATGGCCACAGATCGAGACGTTCATGAAGCGCGGCCCATCTGCCACTCCTGATTTCACTGTTGGCGAGTGGTGTGTTAGCAATAGTCCAGGGTGCACGGGGATGCTTTCCTACGGTCACATGTTTTTCCTTTGAGATTCCCAATTGGATCCGAGGTGCCCGTACAATCCCAGTTGTCAACTGAATAGACACGGCATTTTCCATCGACATCGTAAAGCTGAAATCGGCCCGCAAGGGTCAGGGGTAGGCCGACAGTGAAGAGATAAGGAACGAAACGCATGGTGCTAGACTTGATGGGTAACACTGGATGTGCGATGCTCGCTTTTATGTTCTCTTTAGATAATACAGGCTACGAGACTTGGAAGGCATAACATGATTAATGGCGTGTTCCCAACTTCCAGTTCAACCCGCAATTTTGACCCAATCGCTGGAGTCTCATCTTCTGTCTGGCATGAATATATCAACATTCCTTGCCTCTAGGTTCCTACATATTGTGCTTGATTTGCAGAGTAAGGCCCCATGGAATATTGCTCACGAGGTCAGAAGTCATGTTTGTTTTTTTTGGTGCTCTAATTGCTGAGCCCACTATCTTCATTCACCTCATGTCCACTGTTTTCCCCGAAAGCTATTGAGGGGGTCAGAAGATGTCAAAAGTTGTTGTTCTCCAGTATTTCAATCTAGAGATACTAGAATCGTGTAAAAACAGGCTTGCCTACAAAATAAATCGGCTGGCAGGCGCTATTTTATTCTTATCATGAGATTAGCGTACCTAGGGTCCGGCAATATTGCGGCATTGGTGTATTTTAAATGGATGGCATTTTACCCATCAAAAAAGAAGCGAGTGATGTTATGCTTCTAAGATCTAGATGAGCGTTGCGTCACCCTGTAGATATTGATAGCGGCCAGGTCGAGGACCCCGAAATTCACGATTGTAAAAGCAGCCAAACTGAGCATTTCCAAGTTAGGCTTGGCAACTGTTTTACCCATGGCTCGGTTTTGTCGGTGAATGAAGTGTTGAAGTCCACCGAGGCGTTTACTCAACGTTGAATGACCGCACCTTGCAATATAAAATTGACTTCCTTGAAATATAAAATTGACTTCCTTGATCACTCACTGTCTTGGCAAACCTTCAGTCTTTGCAAAACCTGACTGCCAAAAAAAAATATATATAAGCATTCAAACTGCGCTGCTACTATTCATCCCTGACTCAGATTTCATTTCCCGCATATCTGAGCCCCACGATGTTCTGCAAGATGTCCTCGCTTATGGACCGAAAGCACTGTCAAAGCCCAGAACCACTCATCGACCGCCCGGACAAAAAACTGCGCCAGTTATCTGAGGATGGAGAAACCTCATTCTCGAAAGCGGAGGTGCTTGACGGGAGCCCTAGTAAAATGCCCCAGGTGAGTGTCCTGTCATGGAAAGTCATCTATCCTTGCACACATACTGATGACTGCAGCAATCCCAACCCATTGGCGCTCTGACGGTGCAGATAAGACAACTACTGGAACTCGATGGGCCCCTTGTGGCACAAGGCTTTAACCTTCTCGATTTGTACTTAGCTATGTGGGAGTGTTATATCGTGAAGTTCGCCCAGGATGTGCATTTGGCGGATGAAAACAGTAAGCTTCAAAGCTCGCATGACTGGCTCGTCTATGAGAGGGGTCTTCTCACACAGCAATTGCGGGAGATGGAGCTCGATCTGGAGGATCAGAGGAAGAAGGCAACTCACCTCCAGCATACCCTGCTCCAATTTACGCGTTCATGTACCTTCAAATCTTGATTTAGTCTATCCTTAGCCAATGAGATTAATAACATATGCCGGAACAAATTTTTCCATATTTAAGCTGATCAAAGTAACATGATATATCAAGGACTTGAACGAGACTTCTTTCCGGGGACATTTCAATCCTAAGTTCAATTTTCAATGGATAAACAAATAGAATGTCTGCGACTTGAAGAAGATTGGGTATGTCAATTGCGCCCGGAATTGTCTGTTGGGATTTTCTTTGAATGCGCAGTCCATCCCGATATCAACAAATTTAAGCACCAATTGACAATCACTACCCTAATTCCAAGTTGAAAATTTAAATATCTAGCAAAAGACATCCCATATCAAAAACTGAATTTATTTACTCGAAATTGAGATCCTGCCACTCCCCTTTTCCGACAACTAAAGGGATGAAAGGCTTGTATGTCTTGATACCGAGTCCATTGTTATGCGGTCGCGGGCTCGAAGAGCCTGTTCTTCAATAAACCGTTTTGCTCTCGTATTCACATTGTTACCTTCGTCATCTGAATGCTCTCTTTTTCTCTTGTTATTGATTGATGGCCCGAGACTATCCTCATTGTTGAGACTAGCAACTAGCTGCGAGCTAGCGTGAGTTGAGTAGTAGTCAAAAATATCTTGTGGTGGAATAGAGCGCCCAGTGTCCATTATTTCCACTCCAAATGAATTTGCATCTAGCTCAGTGCTAAATTGGTGAATCCACTCAAAATCGTACGGCATCTGTAACTGTTGCTGATCCCTTGATAGCCCCGCGAGGTTGAAATTCATGATCACCGGGCTTGATTGGGACTGACTGGCTGAGCTCGACAGTGTATATGCAGAATCACTGATCAGCCCCCTGCCAGGAGTCGTGAGTCGTGTCCCATGAGCTCGGCTCGTTGGATGTGGATTCACTCGGTTGGTCGTGCCCATTCACTGGACTGACTGTCTCGATTCCGAGAGGCTGGTTGGATTCCACCTCCATCTGCGCTTGTTGCAATGGAACCTCGTAAGTTGTTGAACTAGTCCCGGTGGCAGTAGTCTGAAGATAGCTGAAGAAGGCATTGAAGACGGACTGGCGCAGGAATCCGGCAGTCACGCGGTCAGGCACTGATCGCTGGCGCATCGAGCTGGCTGTGAGGGCGAATCGATCTGCTCTAGCGATATTGGAATAAGGTTTCCCACATCGCTTGGGGGCTTCAATCTCATGCTCCGGGTTCTCGGGGAATTCGCATGGTGATGGGGTAGGAAGTGGCATGGTAGGTGCCGCAGCGGAGTCTCCATCGGGGGCTTTAAACCCCCGAATTCTCATGAGAGCGAAAAAATGCCGCCAAAGTTCCGCTGCCTCTATTCCATCTTGTGGTACCTGCTTATCGGATTTCAAGCGGATGTGACCAGTCATTTCGAATCCGTATTGAAAGCTGAACCGCCAGAGCTCCAGGAGACCCTCTTTGAGCCGTTCCTGTCGCACTGGAATCGTCCCCGACCGCGCACTATCCCATGTAGCACAGAGACCAGCGTCAATAGTGGTGGCTGTATCATTCGGAACCGGCAATAAGGCTTGTTTCATGACGTTCTGAGCTACCTCAAGGTAAAGACGATCTTTGAAAAATGTTTTTGACGTGGGGATTGGGTAATCGATCCTGAGGATGTTTTGCCAGACCTCATCACGAACTTGACTATCCAGATTGGCAAAGAGCTGCCCGTCATCCATTCGTTTTTGGAGAAACTGTCGATCTCTCATCGATACTTTTGGGGCACGAGATTCAAGAAGCTCAACCGTCATGCCATCAATATATGGAAGTAGCTGTTGTCGCCCCCCAGCTACTCTCAGGAATGTTCGCAGGATATGCTCCCAGTAGCAACATATGGCCTAGATGTGGATATATGATCAGCGCGATGCTGTTGGGAGCTCGATAAGGGTGTCGACTCACCTCATCACAATGCATTGCAGTGATTTTATGGAGAACCCCAATACGCATGGCCTCCCACAGTCCTCTAATCGCAAGCAAGTCGTTCAAATTATTGTGCAGCTTTGCATTCCTGAAGAAGTTCCGCAGACCTTTCTCTTTCGAACTTCGTGTCTTTGTATTGAGGGCAGCCCACCAGTCGTCAGCTGCGGAGCGATTAATGTGACCATCGAGATGCCCCTCGTAGTAGTTGATTCGCTCATAAGCCAATCCATCTGGGGGACTGAGATCATTAGGGATCCGTTCCTTCAATGAACGAACAAATCTCTGTTGGATTATCCCTGCGGCGTCGCCTGCAATGATACAAAGCCCACGATTGTGCTGATTAGTGCGATTTCTTTTTATTAGACTGTCAAGAGCATTCGAAGATCCAACAGATCGTCACTTACCTGAGTCCGTGTCCAAAACATAGACATCAACAATCCACCACTGGTCTGGGCCCTTGAGCCTGATCTGGGCTGCGTTAATGAGACTCTCGTGGGTAAGCTGGCACAAAAAGCAGGCTGATTACAATGCATACTTCTTTACTGAGCGATGACAGATGGCTAGTTATATATTCACACCATGTAGATAAAGCCCATTATAATGTCCTGGTCACCCTAAAATACAACCCCGGTTTTACCTTGTAGCTCCTCAAGAGTAGGTTTACGTCCCCATACCCGCTTCCTACCCGGTGTTATTAGCATCCATGAGACCAGCTCCGGACCATTGGGTAGATATACTCACACGTATTGATAGACATGTATCATTGGATTTTGTATCTCAGCGCGAACTTTGGCGACAAGAACATGTACCTCCTCTTTACTCCATGGATGAGGACATCCGTGTTTTGTGAGAAGATACATTGCCCACCCTTCCAGGCCAGTGGTCCATTGGTGAAAGTGAAGTCTTCCGGCTTCCTTCAACATGCGATCCTTGGGCCAAGGTCCAATTGGTAATTTGTCAACCTTTTCATGAATGTCAACAAAACCAGCATTTTCCATGGCAGTACGCATCGTATAACAAGTGTCAAGGGAATGCCCCCATTTCTCTGCTGCAGCCCATGCTGCTTGCCCGAATGAAACGATACTGCTATCTCTGGGTAGACTACCATCGTCACAGCGGACTCTAGGGTCACCATCCCAATGCTCAATCCACCCCCCAGGCTCTATATTCCTAGTGCAAATTTCATTAGCGACTTCAGTTTCCTTCTTCTTTTCTTTGCCGGGACGGAGGCTGCGGCTTACTCGAAACATTGCTGATAAACAGAAGCCCATTCTTCCCGAGTGAAAGCGGCGATCATCTGGCGAAGATGGACCAAGTCGAAAGGCTGGCGCCAGGTCCACGCTTTCAGGACATCATCAACTTCCATGACACAATTGGGCGGAAGCCATTGAATAGGAGGAGGGTACAAATCGACTCCTCGGACCAACGCTATATCTGTTAGTCGAGCAGGAAAGCGCGGGGCAAGTCTGTAAGTACCTTCAGGGTACATGTCGGCGACATCCCTGGATCAAAGTTAGCTGGAAGCACCACAGTGTTGAGTGAAAATCTTACACAGCCCAAGTTCCTCTCCCCGTACCCAAATCAAGTATGTGCTAAATATAGCAATCGGTATGAGTAAAACAATTTAACCTGGGACTTCAACTTTACTTTTGGAACCTTCACTGGAGATTGAAAGAGAGGATTTGCGGTCTCAGAATCTAACACGAGGCAGACAACGTGGCTATCAAATAACTATTAGTGACCTCTTGTTCCCCTTATAAATCCTAAGTCTTCTAAAATTCACCCTATCTCCAGACTTTCGAATTGTTGTTCATCCGCCGGCGCCCTGCCTACGTTAGAATAGTTCACCAGCTAGAGTAATATGCAAACCAATATTCTCCCTCTCGAAGATTTTGATATCTGATTTTATTTCAGCAACTTGGGTGGCCGTAATAACCATTTCAACACCAGGCTGACTGACCTTCGTCCGTTTTCTAACACCCCGCGGTAGATAGAGGACGCGAGAGACGTTGTTTCCCTGCATACTTGTTATATCTACCTGGAAGCTAAAATCTGAATGGCCGATCACTCACGACTCAAAGTCACTGGGGAAAACCCCATGCTCAACAGAATGAAGATCGGGGTCCTGCGTTGCATTATTAGGAAGGTACTCGCTGAGATGCACTAGCACGTACGACAGCAATTTTTTCCTCACTCATCTTTTAAACGATTGAGAAATTCCGTCGCAGGTCAAAAAATCAAGGTAGAAAGCGCTGGAAATTGAGAGGCAGGTTGAGACAGGTTGTGGATAGAAACTGGAAACAAGTGGGATCTGCGCCGGGGCTCGAAGAGGGAGGGGAAATTGTCAAACTTAGGGAGCGGTCAATACCGCTATGACCTTTTGGGATAGGCTTGTTCATCGTTCACCCAATTTCCCTGGGTATTGGTATGGTATTAGGACTAAAATACGGTTACGGTGTCGTAACACACCAGAGCACGGACAATAGGTCACAGAGATCGCTCAACCGATCTAGAGACCTTTAATCAATCAACTGATTCTATTGGACATGCGCAGTACTAGCCAGTACATCAATTCCTAATCTTGACAGAAATTGCTATGGGTACTTAAATTGTCAAACATCTTGCCCCCCTTTCTTTTCAGCGCTTTGTTGCGATTGGTCGGCAAAATTGGCTGATCATCCCTGTTACTAGCGCATACTATCAGCCAATCATAATACGTATCTGGTGCGTCTAGTGTGTCTAGCCTCTCCACTCACACACGAAATTACTTTGGGCTAGGCAAGCCCGAAGGCGGTCAACTTTCGTTATGTATGTACAGTACTGTGCTTTTGACTTCCTCCAATGACCCCAGATACCCTTCTGGTGACTCAATTATTTGCGGGTATCATTCAACCCGAATCTGACCTTCGTGTATACTGCGCATGATCGTTCTATTTTTTTCATTGGCTTTCATAGTGTTGGGCATCCCAGTCTGTATAATGGCTGTATCATTTTACTGGCTAGCTTAGCTACTGTTGGGGAATTTCGTGATGTTATTGAATGGATGCAAACAAAGGCGTAATACGTGAGCCTTTCAGGCCTATTCCATCTCGGGCCTAGTGAGGGCCGGTCGTCCTCACGATCCACGGTAGTTCCAAACCACATTGCAGATCATTACCGGTCAAGAATTTAGCCAAAACGTGGTATTCCATGGGTCGTATCCAATAGTGCGCCTCGAGAGCCTGCGCCCAACTTTTCAATAGAAGGCCATTTTCGTACCGACGAAGAGTATTTTTGAAAGTTTCGCTTCGCCGCTTATCGCTCCACTTCCCCCGACGGGACGTCCCTCCCGGCCGATGAAAATGCCCCGTAGATGGTGAATGACATTTGACAAAGCTATCGTGATCTACTCTGTTTTACAACATCCCCCAATCACGTTGCCCCATATCGCAATGATACCGAAGACAGATGGATAGCTAGGCAACGTGTTGAAACCCTTCCCCCCTCCTTTCAGATAACCACAGAATAGTAATTCCCTTTTATCGGTGTTTGTTGGAATTGTGGAGATTTCTCGAATATTGGTCTAGCAATGGTGCGCCAGTGGTACCACGGTACAATCGGTCGCATTTCCAGGTCATACAACCTCACTAAGACGCGTTTGGAAGCTTCTAAGTTTCCTACAGGTACGTGGTCTCGCAGGGCACTTGATTAACAGGTTGATCAGTAAGTATCTGGTAATGAGAATGCTATTGAGAAAGCCAATGCTAGTTGCTCTGCTTCTTCATTTTTGCTACAATAAAGAAAGGACTTAGGGCAAATGACAGACCGAGGCTAGGTTTAGCAGGTGGGGACCTAAGCACGGTCCTGTATTATTGTGGGTCTCCGAAGCGCTGAATTCACGGGCCGTAAATCTCTGTATTAAACGCTTGATGCATATCCAAGGACAAAGTATGGTTCGCACCGCCATGCGGAATCACAAAATCTCCGACTCCGACGCTAAAGCGCGGTTTCCAGATGCCGTATTAAAAAGGCACTGTATCCATGTTTTTGCCTGTGAGTCATTTCTCTCCCCTTGAAAAATCAACAAATAGGCAGCTGCGTCCTCTTCTACAATGGATGACGCTGCTGAACCAATCATTACATGCCCAGTTTGTCGAGGTGAGACCAACTACATACAAACATTTCATTTTCTACTTGAAGAGGGTCATGATGGCGAAATTGGGACAGGGGAGTTGATCCGTCGTCATTACACGGATATCATGCATTTCACCGAGGAACAACGATCAGAAGAAGTTGTCTGACTGGCGCGGACGCGTATGAGCTAGTACGATTCGATCCAATCATAAGGGTTGTGAATTGATGTCTGGTTGAAGAACTATCTCTGCTTTTCAGGGGGAATACATGGAAAATGCGGGCGGGCGCTGTATACACTAGTCCTAGAGAGGAATAGTGGTAAACTACTCCTCTCCAACTTGACACACCCCCCCAGCGTTCGCACGCTGCTCTCTTTATCTAGAAAACGATCATAGAGGTAAATGGCTCAGCCGCTACTATATGTGCTGAATCTCCCTTTTCCAAAAGTTCTTCAATCGCTTCTTGGTCCTTGGTGTTCATCTTCTTTGTAAATTCAGGGATTCGCCTTGCCACTCCTTCTCTAGGTATCCAACCTTCTGGTCTCAACTCTCTGTTGATATAGAAGCACTGGCGATAGTGGTGATTGCCACTCCCACATGGGCAGTGTGTACGACAGGCGTTTTCGTCTAATATCTCTTCTGGTAGATCTTTTATAGTAGTGTATGCTATATTCGACGCTGATCTTTGGGGTATCGTAGATAGATCCGTACGGCGGCGCCGATAGTCCGCCGTCACTTCATGGAACTTGAGATCGTCCGTACGCTTGCTTAACTCACGCTTCCAGCCTATACAGAAGGTGTCGTCGATATTCTGTATGGCATCAAGGAAGTCTCTGATAGCAAACGCATCCCCAAGCGAGCAATCGGGAATCTTCGCAACCTTTCCTTCTTCAAATAGGGAATCCCATTGGGTAATCCACTGATCGATATTAACTGATTGGTTAGGCGATCGAATCATTGCTCTCCACGCCCGTCGAAGCTCCTGTTGGCGGCTTTCCGGCTTTGGGCAGAACATTTCAGCTAGTTTTAGAAGCTTCTCTCTTGGCGAGTCTTCGTCCACGATCAAATAGCGATGTTCGGTAGCTAACAATCGGGTAATAAGACTATTTAGGCGCGTCATTGTCTTCAAGAGCTTCGTACGCTTTGATTCAGATCTCTCATAGATCCTCACTTTCAGATCCCATAATCGGATTTCGTCTTCGGATAGGTCTTCGAGCTCTTTCGGTCGTCCACGGTTGTCTCTAGGGACTTCCGGCTCTGAACGGGCAGCAGGGATCTCCAAGATCTCATCATCTGGCTTTTCGGGATCGATATAGTCCCATACTCCTTCCGAATTTGCTGCTGATCGAATATGTCCTATCCAGACTCTCCACTGGGCTTCCGAACGTAGCTTCTGGTCAGAAGGAACCGAGACAAGACCCTCTCTTTCGAATTCGGACATCCTGAGTATATCCCTTTCTAGCGCAATAATCTCTCTGATTTATGCGTAACGCGTGATGTGTTGCAGTGAATCTCTCTGATTCAAAGATATCTGCAATCAATATAACGGGGCCTCGAATCTCTCTGATTCATTGACAAGCCAGCCGTTCAAACATGATCTGCGTTCTGGTATAATCTGACCACGGGCGGATAGACTCAGGGGCACTCAGGGGTTCGTTCGTACACTGCGAGATACAGAGCAATGCCGTTGATATATCTCTCTTATACAGTATGGCAGACCGGGCTCATAACTGTCTGACTGGCGCGGACGCGTATGAGCTAGTACGATTCGATCCAATCATAAGGGTTGTGAATTGATGTCTGGTTGAAGAACTATCTCTGCTTTTCAGGGGGAATACATGGAAAATGCGGGCGGGCGCTGTATACACTAGTCCTAGAGAGGAATAGTGGTAAACTACTCCTCTCCAACTTGACAGAAGTAACTGTGCATGATTACTGCTGGGAAATCGCTCAGCGAGTTTTTCAAAGAAACACTTTTGACCAAGTATGGATCGACAATTTCAAAGACCATGTGATACTTCTTCGGCCTTTCTTGAATGAAGTTCCCTTTCGATACGAAGCGACCTCTTTAGATTCTGATATTTTTGCAGTCTCAAAGTCAGCGAAAAATAGGGGAACGCGTCCGAATCGCCTCCATCTTCCTTTACCTCCGGAGATAATTCAAATGATCTACAATTTCCTCGACAAAGAAGAGGACCTAATCAACCTCGCATCATTAATGGAGACTAAGCCAACCTCGGCGCATTGGAATCATTGGGCATACAAATATATGCTGCACGATGACTTGGATCCTGAAGCAAACGTTACAACTGTTATTCGGAATCTTCAAAAGATGCCACAGGAGCGTTATCCAAAAACCGTCAATTACAGGACTATATGGGACAACATGGAGTTGGTTCGTGGGGTCATGGAAAGACCTGTCTCGTGGCAAAGTTTGCTGGATACCTCTCCAGCAGATCAGAGGGAGTCCACCGAAACATCTGGCCAATTCCGATGTTCCATCACAGTACCAGAAAACGCTTATATAACCTTCGTTTTCAATGACGAGGCCGAAGGACACGCAGAACGGCTGCGGGGTATATCAATCAATGGTTTGCTACTCGGTCACAGCGAGGGGAGATGGCACTCGGTTCACGTGAATTTCCTTAGAGGATTGAGGGTTGCGAGCATCGGGAACCATTACGCTGCCATTCAGGTGAAGGATTCTGAGCGCTGGAGACACGAGTGGTTTGGAGAATGTCCAACGCATAGCTCGCTTGTTCAAATTGAGTGGGATACACCAAACTGCAAGCTTGTTGTGTCATACAATGTAAGTTTGCATATCTTGATGCCATATCCCGGGTACCAATACTGACACTTTCCTAGGGAAACGAGATTCAGGAACTTGGACTTGCCACGGGGCAAGATGTAGGGTTAGCTTAGGTATAAATATCTGAAAATTGACTCATTTCAATGATGTCGGTACATTCTCTTTCAACGAACTCAAATGCCAGAATCTTCAGGATCGGCAATGTAACACGATGGTCATTATCTGGAAGAGATTCGAGAGTAGCTATGTTACAAGATGGGGTTCACTTACAATCTTCCATCTTCGACCCTCACCTTTCTTTAGACCATACATATATGATGCTCCAAAATAGCTCTCTGTCTATGGCGGAGTGTGTCTGTAAATTTGTCTTGGCACACCGATATAGCTCTCAAATCTCGCGAAACAATGCGTGTGCGTTGATATAAGATAGGCCTGAAGGGACAGTCTTGCGTAACCTGAGACCTTAATGATTTGGTCGAGTTTTGCCTGAAGCATGCCCTATTGGGCACGGTATTGTTGAGTGGATCAGAGAAATGACTTCTGACTCACATGTCCTGGTAGCGGGCTGACAGTCGAGCCGTATTTAAAGGATTGACCTGGGGCGGTTGAATATAGACAGGGCTAGTCGTAAAACTCCGTGTTATAACAGAGTCTTCTGGGGCATAGCCGGGGAAGAGTAATCAATCGTGCCATCATGATTGAAGAAGCTAAGGGCGGTGAAGTTTGTTTAGCTCAGCTCGGTAAGGTTCATGAACACTTTCCTAGTACGGGACATGGTGATGTGGTCTAGAATCGTGGTGTTGATCCTGGCTGGTAGACACGAGTTGACGGCGAACATCACCGGCGTAACGGATCTAAATGACTCCACTGGTCGGGGTGGTGTATAGTCCGTGCCAGTGGGCGAAGGGCAAGGGAAAGCTAATGCGAGGACCTTATCTTGGCAATCATGCAGGAGGGGCCTTTTGGCAAGATATTGCAGACGTTCTAATGCTCGAGGTGCGGGCTCGCAGACGCATGTCGATCCCATCTCTCCCTGGGTGATAACGAGAGCACCACTGGGAAAGTACCCACAAGCCTCTATAGTGCGACGCACTGGATGAGTTTGAACAGTCAAAGATTATCTCGTTGCGGCAGTGGAGCTAAAGAGCTGGCGAACTGGCGGAAGAGATATCTCACGCAGTCGCGAAAGCAAGAAGCGCTTCCATCTTCGTTCGCAGCCTCTCCGATATTTAGTTTGCGAAGTCATAACGAGGCAAAGATGCTGCATAGAATCCTGGCTTGGGACACCCGGGCAATTCGCTTGGAAGCACAGGAAGTTGTTGTTGTCGCTACTTCCGCGTAGGGTTCATGAACAATGTTTTCTTTGCCTCGAAAGTTGCGCCGGTATGCAAGTACCGTTTAATACTCGCAGGATACCTGTTATTGTCAGATAGCCGCAATTTTCTCAATGAGGAGCCCATTGTCCATTCTGGATCTTTGCCATCGGAAGCGATGGCTCTATCTTTGGTGACAAAAACATCTCCCAAACTTGTATACAAGGCTAGGAGGAGAATAGAAGAAGGCGGCGAGGTGCCAGGCTTGCATGCTCAATGACCATCTCGACCTGGTACAAATTCACGATGCTTGGCGCTAGGGTAAAGTTCGTCGCGCGAGGACCTGCGGGATTTTCGCCCTCGCGAACTCCGCGGAGGAAGGGGTAGACCCTGCCGTTGTAGGGCCCCTTGAATATAATCTCTTCAGTCTAAGGAATTTGCACTCGCGCCACGCATCGCATCGCGTATTTCTAAAATCAACATGTCGGTCGCATGACTGCCATGACTGCCTTGAGGGGCCTCAACGATTTGATGTAGTAGCTGCTTGGGCTAAGTAATAATCAAACCAAAAAAGTACTTATACAAGGACATTGGACTGCCTTCGATGATTTTCTGCCGGACCCACTTTTGGTGATTGAAACGCTGGACACGAAACACCAGCGGATCTCGTTGCCAGAATTGTCTGTTATCGACCGATGTTTCTCCTGAAAGCCGGCCAACCTGATCGAGGGAAGTATGCGCGATCGACAAGGGACTGAGCATCCAAGCAAACCTAGACACTCCACCAGTACCGGAGAATTCAGCTTGCGCCGAGGTTGACACGGGTTCGGATGTTGCAGGAGGAACAGGATCATCTTCTGTTCACCACTGGTAAAATGGTTCAAGGTCCAGGTCAACCAGTCGGATATGACCACTCGCATTAGTAAGAATGACATGGTGTACAGCTGCACGTATAGTGTTGCTTGCACAAACTGAGAACAATTAGCGTTGTGCTAATCACAAAGGGTAAAACACTGGGAAACACATACCCGAAACCGCGGTCGTTCCGTCTGTGGATCTCATAAGCGCCGAGTCCCTGTTCCTGTGATGATTCTTTCAAATGTCCGTTTTTTAAAAATTTTGTAAAGAACAGATGATTTTGCCCAAAGCAAGTCTTTTGAAATTGTAATTTCTGGATGACCACGCCTGCTGTTTACTTTTGAATGACCATCTCTTTCTAGCTCATTATGCTGATAGAGTGTTCATTGAAAAGGCTACTGGTTGACAGAGCAGCTGTCAAACAAGTGATTAATCATCAATTTCATTCAGACAGAAGAGCAAAGGTGTTAAGAGATTATGCGCATGCAGGTTCATCCGGGTCGGTGGATGTTGAACCTCAATGAATCTCTATAGGTTGATGGGCAGTTGGAGGTTAGGAAGGTAGGGACCCATGCGGAGGTTCAAAGCTAGGTCTAATTTGAGCACAGTACATGCATGGCGATGGAGGAAATTAATGCGAAAAATCACATCGACAACATTGACTTCGAAGAGACTGTTTTGCGCAACGCCTCGGGCTCTTTGCGTGGGATTGTCCTTTCGTTGAAACTTAGCTGGATATGGATATTAGCCTATGACTAGTGAGTCCTCTGTCACGGTGAACGTTGGAGTATTGCTCAACTGCTTTTTTAATATCCCACGGATACTTAATCATTTTTATTTATCAACTACTGTAAGTCTTGTCTGGTAAATTTCATCAGCTGTTGACGTACCTCTCAGTCAACTGTATGCATCAAATTAAAGTTTTGGCGCAACATTGGACTAACAGAAATAATATCCCGAGAAGAAAACAGATTTCTCCAGTGACTTATATCTCGAGGGCTTTGGCGGCTATTGCACTGTTGAGCTCCTGTTATTGCAGTCATTAATAGATGGCCACCCTTTGCGTCGGCGCGCCTCGTCATTCTTAGCGCACTCACAGACCCTGTGTTCTGGGAATCAACATTTATTGAGTACATTGCTGGGCTTTTAATCCACAGCCGGGGAGTAGTATAAAAGCAGCGATGCCCCCCTTCTTCTCCAGACAATGAGAATATTCAAAATCATCTCCAAAACGACCATGCGCCTCTTCCTTAGTTTGTTCGTTGGAAGCATGCCAGTGGTCTTTGCCGCAACTTTCCATCTTTTCGATGTTAACGGAAAGTGTTTAATTTATTCCGTGGGCAATTTGGATTGCACTGGGTCTTCCGAACCCTTCGCCAACCTAGTTGGAAGGAACTGCTATTGTGAGGAGCCTCAACCAGCAGTACGCTAATTTTATCGCTAATCAAGCTCTTTTTTTAGTTGGACAATCAACGGCTGACGAGCCCCGTACCGTCAACGTCACAATCTGCGACCAAAACTCCACAAATGGTCATTCAGCTGCCACCGTCCGAGTTGATCAGACGGGGCTAATCTCATTTCAGAACCAGGAGGGGCAAGTCGCGAGCTGCTCGATCGAATCCTCTTTTCAAGTGGGAAGTGTGTGCACTGCTGGTAACGAGACAATGGAGCAGACGACGAATATTCCGAACAAGGCGACGCAGACAACCGCAACACATTCTACCCTTACAAAGGCGACTTCGGCCCCTGTGGTCACGACGGCACAACCGTCTGATTGCTAATACGTTAGGCCCCTAGGACATACTCCAAGGCCCATAGAGGACTTTGAAGATGTCGAATTCCGCAGGAGAAGATTACCACCTTTCCTAATACAGATTGATGATTCAGCGCGTGCTTAGATCCTATATTACTGTTTTTGTATGTAGAGCGCACGTAAGCGTACGTGTGGGCTATACAACTAGCCTGCACGAATCAAGCAAGATCGCTCAACTCGGTCGAGCACTTAGATAGAGGTGTTGTGATATAAGGCTGGTGCAGATCAGGAACCAAGCCGTCCCATCGGAATTAATGCCGAAATATCTATATACAGAATCAAGTTGATTTCCAATCAACTTGTTCTTCTCGTTGTATATATAGCCTCATATTTCCCTCTGGATGACAATAACAATCAATTTTCCTTTGATTAACAACAGGTTATGAGCCCGGGAGCAATCTCTCGGGTGCCGTCTCTACTCATCTGAGAAACATCTTATCTATCCATCTTGATTATATATCTACCCCGCTTTCAACTCATCAACTTATCATCATGTCGGCTCTGGTCCATGACTCCCCAGACCGAGCCGTCACGGCCATCGAGCCTCTGACAGGAAGCGACAACTTCGCTACCTGGAAACGTCTCATGACCTCCTACCTCAAAGCGAGACAGGTCTGGGACGTGGTGTCGGGCGACCTCCAGCGTCCTGACTGCCTGTTCAAGTACGCCAAACCTATTACGGCGGACATCCACCCCTTGGTGGAGCCCCACCTCAGCGGGGCGGTGAGGCAGCGCGCCATCGACGCGCGCCTCGAAGTGGAGGTCCAGGCGTTCGAGCGCCACCGTGAATGGTCGCGCCGCGAAGCCGAGGCCTACCATACTATCTTCCGTTACTTGTCCCCCCACATCAGCATTCATGTCGCGGGACTCGAAACATCTCGCGACCTCTGGAATGAACTTGAAGAACGGTATCGGCGGATGGAACTCGCCACGTTCTGCGAGCTGTTCGCCCAGTTGCGTGAGACCACAGGCGAGCGCTGTGGCAGTGCACGCGAGTTTGTCGATCGTGTACGGATGTTAGTACACCGGTTGAATGCTATCGTCCCCGGATCAATCGGCGACCGGACGCACATTGCGATTCTGTTGACTCAGATCGGACCAGAATACATCTTGATTGTAGATGCGATCCAAAATGACAAAGATCCAGTCAACCCGACCACGATCGGAAACCGTCTGGCAAATGCAGAACAGACGGTGCAGCGGAAGGACGCCGCAACGCTCCCGCATGGAGCGTCTGGCGCATCGAATAGCCCTTCAATCAATACCGTGCAGAAGAATACCAAAAAGTGTAACTACTGCAAGAAGCGCGGCCATGTGGTCGCGCAGTGCTGGAAGAAACAGCGAGAAGAACAGCCGTCCAGGGACCATGCCCTGAAGGCCGAACGGAGTGTTTCCGGCTCACCAAGAAGCAATTTGCGAAGTATACCATCAAGCCAGGTGGAAGAACGGCAGGGCCCGCCGACTTCCAAGAGACCGCGGATCAATGTTGTGAGGGCGAGGGTGACGACTCTCTATACCCACGCACCGTCACCCCGGTGGATCCTGGACTCGGCTGCCACCAGCCACATCTGCTGGGACCGGAGCTGCTTCAGCAGTCTGCGGCCCCATCGCGAGATGTTGGACACGGCGGGCGATCCAGTGGAAGCCGAAGGGATTGGGACGGTGAAGCTCACGCTCCGGGGGAAGTTCAACCAACCCCTGGTGCTCAAGAACGTATACTTCGCGCCACGCGTCGGGATGAACCTGATCAGTGTGCCGAAGTTGCTAAGAGACCGCTACTCGGTGGTAGCGCACCCGCAGAACGTCTTTGTGCAACGCCGAGGACGAACGGTGGGGACCGCCTACCATGCGGAGGAGGATCTGTTGATCCTGCGGTGCCATGTGAGCAAGAGATCTCGAGAACGAGTCCAACTGGCGAGGGCGCCGACGACCTATGGCCATGCAGATTCCCTGGAACCGCAGGCGGTGGCCATGGACGTCGACAGCCGTGAAGAGTCAAGTGGCGTAGGATGCGCATCGCCAACCTCTGAACTCGGTGGTGAAGCTGTGATACTCGAAGCAGATGCGGGCAAAGGAGTGGACCAGGCCTCCGAAGCGCTATGGCACGCTCGGATGGGACATCTGAACCGGGGCGACTTGAGGGTGGTCCTCCGGCAGACCGGCACTCCGTACCGACCGCTGACGCAGGCGCAACTGCAGGCAACGCCGCGTTGCCCGGCGTGCATGTCGGGTAAGCAGCATCAGAAGAGGAACTCCCGTGCAAGGCGGCCACGTCTGCATTCAACGAGAATTTTTGAATTGATCCACTCGGACATCATGGAGATGCCGATTGCCAAAGATGGCAGCAGGTACGTGATCACCTTTACTGACGATTATTCTCGGGGCTCATGGGCCTATGCCATGAGATGGAAACATGAAGCGCTGCAGAAGTTCCGACAGTTTGAGGCCTGGGTGCACCGACAATTTGGGGCCCAGATTAGAAGATTTCTTACCGACAATGGAAGAGAATATCTGCCGGTCGGAACACACCTCGAACGCCAGGGAGTTGAGTTTGACACCTCGCCGCCATACTGCAAAGGGCAGAATGGGCTGGCCGAACGAACGAACCGCACTATCCGGGAGCGGATCAACACGCTCCTGTCCGATGCAAACCTTCCTCCTTCCTGGTGGGTCGAACTTATAGATACGGTAGTCTATCTGAAGCTGCGCGCGCCAGCATCAATTCTGCGAAAAAGGACACCGTATGAAGTGATTTATGGGAAGCCGCCCTCGCTCTTGCATCTACGCCGGATCGGCTCTCGTGCCTGGGTGTTGATCCCAAAAGAGCATCGAGCCAAACTCGGACCGAGGTCGTCCGAGTGCCGACTGCTAGGTTATTGTGAACCCAACCAGTACAAGCTGTACGAAATCCACTCAGGAAAGACAATATTCTCCCGTGATGTCGAGTTCGATGAGAGGACCCCCGTGGCGCCACTCATCGAGGGGGAAACAGGCAACGACCTCCCGGACAACGCTCCTCCATCATCTGTCTTTCCACCAATGCCAAGTTCAGCCAGCGAGCTGCCAACACCTCCTGCGTCGCCATTACCTCGGTCGAATGAACGAGAGAAGCCGCCATCTGAGCGCGAGGATGAGACACCTCCAGTGATCAATCCAAGCCAACAGGAAACCGACTTGACATCGGATCTTGGGTATTCGATGTATGGTCGCAGACGAAGACCATCACGGCGTCTCCTGGAATCGCTGGGGAAGGTGTACTCGGCAGGCGCATTGAATACTGCACCGGCCAGACAAGCCGACCCGGCAACCTTCCGCGAAGCTGTGTCAGGCCCAGACCAGCTAATCTGGTGGGCCGCCATCCAGAAAGAATATGCGTCGCTTCTCGAACACGGAACATGGGAAAAGGTTCGGCGGGAGGACATCCCCGCTGGGGATCATGTGATTGGGTGCAAATGGGTCTTCAAGACCAAAACCAACGGAACGCGCAAAGCGCGACTGGTCATCAAAGGCTACCGGCAGAAACATGGCATCGATTATCACGAAACGTTTGCGGCTGTGTCGCGCATGGACTCGGTCCGCTGCATCGTCGCCAGCGCCGTGTTGCGCGGATGGAAACTCCACCAATTCGATGCGGTTACCGCATTTCTCCATGGAGACGTCGATTCGTCTATCTATATGGAGTTGCCCGAAGGCTTTGAAGAACCAGGGTACGTGTGTCGGCTGCGCCGTTCACTGTATGGGCTGAAGCAGGCCCCGCGGATTTGGTACCAATGCGTCCACCGCGTCCTGGCTTCTCAGGGCTTCACTATGGCCCAATCGGACAACTGTGTTTTCTGGAAAGCGGACTGCGTCGTTTGCGTTTATGTCGATGACTTTCTAGTTGCTGCGGCAAATACGCACGAAATTGAACAAGTACAACGAGCCTTACAAACCGAGTTCCGATTGAACGATCTGGGCATCCCTCGTTCGTTCCTCGGGATCGAGTTTGACTATCACGTTGATGGGTCCGTGTCTATTCACCAACATCAGTACATCCAGAAGGTGCTCTCCGACTTTGGCATGGAGAGTTGTCAGCCGAAGTCTACGCCGATGAATCCTAAGCAAAGCCTGAATACTCGCCCAGAGGAGGAACCTCCGGATGAAGAAGCAAAAGCTCGCTATGCAACTGCTATCGGCTCGCTCATGTATTTGATGGTTGGCACGCGACCGGATATTGCGTTTGCGCTCGGAATGTTGAGTCGCTTCACATCCCGGCCGCAATCGCATCACCAGGCCGCACTTCAGCGACTGCTTCGCTACATCAAAGCCACGCAATCTCACCGTATCACCTACCGAAATGGTCAATTGATCGGATACACTGACGCCGACTTCGGTGGCTCCGTCGTCACGGATGGAGCATACTCCACGTCTGGCTACGTGTTCCAACTGGCGGGAGCGCCGGTTTCCTGGTCGTCCAAACGTCAGGGGGAAGTGGCCACGTCCACGACTCATGCCGAATACATTGGCCAATACAATGCCATTTTACATCTACAGTGGCTCCGCACCTTTCTAGGAGAAACAAATCTGTATCGGTCTCCGGTCACTAATATCATGGCTGACAATCAATCCGCTATTGCGCTCTCCCGCAATCCCGAATTTCACAAACGGACCAAACACTTCAATGTCAAGTTCCATTATCAGCGGTCGGTGCTGAATGCAGGAGAAATTGACCTGCAGTATGTTCCCACTGAGGAGCAGGCCGCGGATGGTCTCACCAAGCCATTAGGGCCAACGTCCTTTGCCAAGTTCTGTAGTCTTTTGGGAATCGACGTATCCAAAACCTAAGGCAACAAGCATGACAGCGCAGGTGCTCTTTCCACTTTCTTTTCCCACGAAGGTTTTTTGAGTGGTTTTACCGAGGCCTGACTGCTCTGCTCAATTCCAGTATCGCCCTGCCAGCAGGACGATTCTGAGGGGGAATGTTGTGATATAAGGCTGGTGCAGATCAGGAACCAAGCCGTCCCATCGGAATTAATGCCGAAATATCTATATACAGAATCAAGTTGATTTCCAATCAACTTGTTCTTCTCGTTGTATATATAGCCTCATATTTCCCTCTGGATGACAATAACAATCAATTTTCCTTTGATTAACAACAAGAGGAACCCTCTCAGAATGGTATCCAGTTGTACTAGTTCATACGCGTTCGCCCCTATCTGACATTTTTTTTAGTCTAAGTATCGCGAGCAAATCTTGTGCCCTGAAACGAAAGGAGTGAGAGAAAGGGTTTAGTCAACACGTATGCACGTGGAAAGAAGAGCTTAATAGACTGACCTTCTACGCTCTTCTTTGATTCGTGGTTTTGCGCTCGTATATGCGCCTCCGGGTGTCTTTTCGTTGCCTTTCTCGGACTGGCCTGTCTTGGCTTAGGGCTGTAGGGTTATTTCTGCAGATATCTGCAGGTTCTTGCTCTCTCATTGCTTCCTGTGCTGCGTGTCTGTTGCTTATTTTCCGATACGCTCTTTACGTTATTGCCACTGGCGCTGTCTTCCCAGCGCTGCCTTCTTCCTCACTGCGCTTTGTTTTTCCCATCTTGTGGCAGCTTTCGTTCCATACTATTCTTCTTGTCCATTATGCTGGCTTCACGTTATTGTAATGATTGTGGTCGCCGAGTGCGATTGTCTTCAACTATCCAACCTCCGCGGTGTTCTGCCTGTCGCTTGTCTAATTCTCCTCCCATTGTTGACACCCGTCCCTGTTTCCGTTGCGATACTCCTATTCCTGCTCGAGACATTAATTTGCTTTGTGCAAATTGTCAATCTACCCCGATTCCTTATGTGCCGTGTTTCGATTGCCGGCGTAATACCCGGACCTGTGAATTACGGGATCCGGTTAGTTTTACCTCTTTGAGTTTAGCGTCCCAATACCACGTTCTGTAAGCTCCGCCTTCCGTTGCGCCGGCATAAAACCTCGACATGCCCTCTTGACCTTTTTTCCTTCTCTTACTTTTCCTTCCACTCCTCTATCCTGCACCCGTCGCCACCCCCTTTCGCTTCATCTCGCCCCCACCAATATCCTGCAGACTGAAACACCGCCCCCTCCAAGTACCAACCGTAAATCCCGCTGTGTCCGACGCTAAGATGGTCCTGGCCAATATCTGGCTACCACACCATGCAGTCGCTCCCGGGAGCAGAAACATTACGCTGACCCACGCAGCAATCATACACGTAGCTGCGCGTGGGTCTTTTTTAGCCCATACAAGCCTTTGTAAATCCAACCCCGATTCATCGCGCTTGGCTTGCGAAGCTTCCCGTTAAACTATTCGATCCCTCCACGAGCCTGCCTCGGCATTCACACATCATCGGTTGCTATCCTTGACTCTACATGGGCTTCTCCCTTCGCCTAACCTGAAGTTACATTGCACAACCCCGTGTCGCAGATCCACCCTCGGCCGCTTGTTGGCCTATCTATTGGAGCTCCGTTAATGTCATCATTATCGGCCTCTCCGGACCCACCGCATCCAATAAGTGACTTTTGAAAGAGCGACGCCGTCATGCTAGCCAATAGCGAATATACCGCATACTCACCTGACGTCGGCCCATTCTGCGTCTGCGGAAAGACCCCGCGAGAGCACAGTACAGTCAATAGAAATTAGGAACGATGGATCATTGCTTGTGAGGGTCGTAAGCAAGCGAGGCGGAGCCGATGCAGGCACAGGCTGCGAAATCCGCGTGTCTTTCAGTTCATGGACAGTGGTATAGACTACAGGAGTTGGCCAGGGTCAATCCTTCTCGCAGTCTCGGTCTTTTACGGCATTACAGGTCTACACTTAAACTTTGCAGACTCTCATTCCCACTTCTGTTTCCTATTGTTCCTCCCCTCTGCTCCCCTCGCGAGTTTTTATCTTTCTAGCTCCATCTCACGCGTCCTCAGCAGGCCCATCCACAAAGGGCTCGGTCCTGAATCTAATGTATGACCGGGACCTCGACCGGCACCCACAGCTCCTACGCAGAAGGCACCCTCTCCTCGCTCGTACAGTTCCGTTTCAAGCTGAGGTGGTTCCACTGGTTTCCATGACTGGCGGCTGCTTTTTTGGCTCCAACTCCTGGCAAGAAGGCGGCGTCCTTCGCGACTCTTTGTAGAAGGGTCTTCTCGATGAATTAGAGTCTCGTAGAGATGCAGGAGGAAATTGGTCTTGCAAGTCCAGGCTGATTAATATTTTGGGCAAAGGCGTGATTTGCAGTACCACACCCAGCGCCTCGTATGCGGAAGCGAGGTGTTCTCAGCATCGGTATCAGTTTCGGTCAGATATTCAGCGAATGATTGTGCCTCGATGCAACGTGATACGAAGGTCTGCTCATCGCCCTGCGAATCATCCATTTCCCCAAGTGGTTTTGTTTCCAACATTGCCTGATCCCGTTGCACATTGGGATCCGTAGAGGACATCATCTGGGACTGGTGCAAACGTAATCTTTCTCGGAGTTAAAAGGGTTATGCTGAGGGAGTGTTCATAATTAGAGCAGAGCTGAAGGATATATATGGGATGTCGGGTCTCATGTCAATGAAGCGGACATCAGGCAGCTGTGCATAAAGCAAGAAGCAAGAGTGTGCACGCAAAATAGTACGAGTCACATACTCTGTCATGATTGTACCTCGGAATTTCCCTTGTCATTGACCTGTCCATCGATCATCCTCCTGCTAATTCTTAGATGTCGCGTGCTATATCCTTACGTGAACAGCATGCTGACGGTAAGTGACCATTTATAAGCGTTAGGAGCCTCTTAAGTCTCTCTGATGTATTCTCGCTCTTTTTCTTGGTGGGACTGGGGCTAACCATTGAGAATCCAGAAGCTAAAACCTCATCAGAATTATTTTTTGTAGACGTGTTCTGCCTTGATGTACGAAAGGTTCAGTTGACACGAGGGTGGGGCTAGAAACAAGGCAAGGCGGTGAAGACAAGTCCCTAATGAGTGCCCAAGATTTGTTTATAAACAAGTTCCCCGCAGAACTGAAACTGAAACCACACAAACTCTCCCACCAAAACCTTTGCAGTATCTACGATCTAATTGTTGCTGTTTTCTTACTACTGGTTTTATTCGATATGAACTCAAGCCCTTGCACAGCATGTAGCTGGACTACTGAACGCCAGAAGCACTGTAACTACGAAAGCTACCTCAAATTGTTCTACGAAGCAGGCGACCGAGGCGTCTGGTCGATGGGCTCAAAGTTGATATTAAAAGATCGAGGTGCTAGCCTTCCGACGTGTGAGGTACCAAATATTCAATTTGTGCGGGAGCAGACCTCTATTCCTGTTCCCACTGTTGTCGAATCTTGGGAGGAAGGCGAACACACTCTCATATTGATGCGACGAATCCCTGGCGAGCCTCTGAGCAAAGCTTGGTCAAAGCTTTCTACAGATGAAAAGGAGAGGATAGCAAAGCAGACCGCTGAGTATCTACAGCAACTTCGGAATCTCCAGTCTGATAAAATCCAATCTCTCGGTGGCCGTCCAGTTTTTTCCAATTTTCTGTTCAAAAATAAGGGTTCTGAGCTTCCCCACGGTCCTCTCGCATCTGATAACGATCTTTGGGCTGATATGGAGCGTGGGTTGAAAGAGACGATCCCGGAGGCTGCGCGAGTACGACTTCGACATTGCATGCCATCCGCTACGCCTTACACCTTTACGCATGGCGACCTCACAAATGTTAATATCATGGTTGAGAACGGTTCACTTACTGGTATCATTGATTGGGAGATGTCTGGATACTTTCCAGTATGGTGGGAATATGTGTGCACTTCGGTCCCTGATAGTGAGGAGGACAGAGAATGGAAGGAGTTGTTACGAAAATATATGCCTGATTATGGCGTCGCACGCGAGTTCTGGCTGGACTATTATTATCTTTGCAGGGATCTAGACAGTGAAAGAGCAATGAATTTCATGGAAAAAACAAGGCTTGAGACCCATGAATGAGGTGTCTAGCCTTACTTCTCCAAATTTGGTGGGACAATTTATTGGGACCTATTATAGGTACATTAAACTTTTCTTTTCTCTATTACCATGTCTTGGGCCCATACCCCCTAGCGCAAGAAGTATTCCGTCTATTGTCGTGGACTGCTCAGCGATAGAATTTGTCAATCCTCTTCGAGAAGACAGCTAAGGTTGTGAAGGATGGGAGATGTTGCCGAAGCAGCAATGATGTAGTTTGTATAGCAGAATGAAACCAGAACCCCATGTACAAATGAGCGACGACAATTTAGCTGAGAGTTCTCAAGTATCACTTTGCTACAGGGAAGCGCAAAGAAACGATTGACAGAAGACACCCAAAGTGCCTCAATGGATTTGGATAAATCGCACAGCTATTTCTTCTATGCATGGCAGAGAGTAAAGAACATCTCAATATCGATAAGCTTAGGTAATGAGCGGAAGGAAGGAAGGAAGCATACCAGGAGATCAAAAATCAACTCTTGTCCTTGAGCCCGGTCATTAGAGCTAGGCCCCTTTCATAGCTTTGGGCAGTTCAGCGCCACAAGTCTCGCAGTTGTCCTTATAGGTAGGGTTATTGTGACTGCACTTAGGACACTTCATGATTGATTGTTGCGATGAAGAACGATTGATTGCTGCGATGAAGAACGATGCAAAAGAAGCAAGTCGAGTGGCTCTTTCTAAATCTGCCGGCTGTCAGTTCCTTTTTATATCGAGGGTTTAGGCAAAAGTTGGAGACCGAAAGTATTTTCCTGAACGGGTAGGTGCCACTGTTTCGTGCCTTAACGTGATTCAAGCGGGGAACCCTGTTACATGGGGTGGTCTGAGCGATTTCTCATCTAATAGCGTGCGTTCATCCTTCTCCAGCCAGAACTCAAGCATGCCACATTCACCATTTGAGGCGTGGAATGAACTCGCAATTTCTTTGAGGTGCTACTACGCAATGTGATTGGTTGAAGACAAGAGCCGAGGCTCGAGAATAGCAGCGTGCGTGCGGCTGAGTGCGTCAAAATCTCATCAATTGAAGAGGGGAACCCTGCCATTTACCAGGTCAGTGCAGGTTTCTTGGCGTAATATGATGGGAGCAGGGGTATCCGAGGGAAAAAGAGGACAAATAAATGGGATGCATCTTACGGACAGGGGGGTCTTGCAGAATGCCTCACTTTCGAGCAACATTGACCAGAGCGGGGTAGATTGAGCTAGCTGCATACGACTTGGACAGCCACATTATGAAGACATAAGCACAGACGTATTATTTCCCAATGATACCCTTTCAAACTACGTATTTTACTCTTATTATTGGGCCTATTCATGCGAAAGTAACACGTCCATACTGCATTCCGAAGCTCGAAAAATGTAGGAGGAAACTGCCGCCTTTCTTATATTTTATGTAGCAATCTGGAGCTATGCAGCAGGTAGGAAATAGGATTTGAAGAATAAAAGCAATGTGATCTGTCTTCAGCCCCCGCATAAACCTGCTGACCATACACTAGTCCTAATAGAGGCATAGCAAGTTTCTGTGTCCCTCCCATATCCGGTAGTCAACGAAATTTCATCAATTTCCTATTACGATGGCAGACCCCACACAACCAATTGTGAGGATTCCGCATCTGCGGTCGTTTCGGGGCGGACTGCGGCGCGAGTATGCGCAGCGCCATTGGCTTAGGTTGAGTAGGGGGTGGAAAAGACAAAAATGATTGACTCCGAATATGGCGCTATCATACATTCACACGTAGCTTGAAGCTCACGCCACCCACGACCAGCTCACTCGGCGGCACTGTCATCTCAAAGTCAGGAGTCCCGACCGTTTGGCAGTCGGCAATGCGAATATCATCTTATTTTTCTGTTATTACGAATTCATGATGCATATATGCACTGTCCTACTTACTTAGAAATGCTCTTTTTGTCCCTCCGTATCCGTTGCACTTGGGGCATATAGATGTGCCGACCATTCCAGTATCATTGCATTCGGAGCATGTGGTCATGCTGCCTAGTTGATCTTTTTATGGTTTTTTTCTTTTTCCGGGGGAGCGAAGGAAAGGATTTTCTTGTTGCAGGAAAGGAGGGGATGTTGGAGACGAAGTGATGAAATTGGGGGGGAGGGAACATTTATAACCCGGGTTTCATCGGCGCACCGCCAGTAGCCAACGCTGTAGCCTGACAACGCCCGCTCATTCTTGCACCACTCCACATGCGCAGCGAGATGCAGGAGAACGCTCGTTTTATCACAGTCGACCCCAGCAAACAAGCTGAAAGGAGACACCAGACAAAGGGTCTAAAATGTCAGACTTGTTTCAATATGTTCGAAACGCATAAAGATCTCCGCGACCATATTGCGGAATACCAGGCCAGTAATGATGTGCCACTCTTAAAATTTGGCTGCTAACTTGTGAATACAGTTGGAACTCCAGACGTTGACCGCGAGGCTACTTGAGGTGCAAGCACATTTGCCCCGCAAAAACAATCCTTTTAAAAATGGCGATCAGCGGTCAGAAGATAACGAAACAAACTGGACTGCCAGCGATTTGGACACCGAAGATGAATGTTATGCACATGTCGATAACATTGAGGCCTGTCACGATAGCAAAGACAAAGGTAGAGCTAATAGCAGGGAGCAGAATGGCCAGAATTCCGACCATTCTACAGCACGATGTCATCACCCAAAGTGCATCCACGAGAAAGGCTTCCCAAAAAGAGCTGAACTTGAGCGTCATTTCGAATCACGTATGGAATCAAACCGCTTCAATGATTATTGATGCTGAGTACTTATTGCAGATGTCCAATGCTACGAAATTTGCATATATTGTCGTCAATTATTTCAACAAACACGAAAATACATACGGCACAGATGTCTTGTTGGGCAAAACGATAATAATGAAGCTAAAGACCTCTACAGAAAGGAGCGTTGCGCCCAACTCAAAAGATTATCTGTTGAAAAGCTAGGGTGGATGCTTAGAAGAGCAACATACCAAACCAAACCTAGTAAACGTGTTTATGATGGCCAAGCGAGCAGCCCTTGCAAAATGCCGAAAAGAAACGCAAACGCGGTGCACAAGAACGGTAATGCCATGGCGATTGGAGAAGATATTTCTGGTAATTCTTATTCCATCTTGTCACTCATCTGGGCTAACAGGTGTCTATAGGTCTATCTGACGCAAGAGACATTATGCGAACGCCTTTTGTGGCGCCAGAAAATGTGAACATGCTTCCGTACGCCGCGAAGGATGTATACAATATACAATCGTCATTGAATATCCCTTCGATTGCGCAGATGGAACAACCTGATAATCCACTCATGCCCCAGCCATATGCGCCAATTTTTGAAGATATCACCATTACACCTTGCTATGATTTGGTACAAGAGTCATATGCATTTTCGTCAACGCTGCAAAATGCCAATTATCTCGCGGGATCCACGGACGAGGTGAGAGCACTTTGTCACTCTCCGAGGGAAAGGACCTAATCGGGTGGCGGACTGGCAACGACTGGTCGAACGTGATGATGGCTGTCATCGAAATACGTGACATTCATGCCAAAGTTAGGTCCATCCATGTCGCTGACTACTCGTTGGAGTGATCTCGGAAGTTTCATTGGGGACCACCATTTTTTCAGCACGTCTTCTGCTGCAACGCCAAATGTGATAGCACTGCCTGCCGACACTTCAACGAAGAGGCGGGTGTCGCGGATAGAACTGTTCAATTAAGTCAGATTATGTCTTAAAGCCATCTCATGTCACGACCCACAATCCTCCATTTTCAAAATCTACCTCAACAGGCTCAAGACCAAGCCTTGTGAGGGCTACGCGAGGAGCTCTCCACAAGTTGTTTTCCCCCTTCATGGTAGCCACTTGTGCAAGATGCGAGCCTTTCCAGAAGGTGACCTTTGATCCCTTCTTCCAAAACTGGATTAATAGAGATTCGGTTTTCGAAGATCGGTCGCTTTGTCGAAAGGCATAGTCCCCAGCCATAGCACCGAAGGTTCTATAAAGACCTAGACCAAACCACTGGAAGTAGGAATCGAGTATCTGGCGTTTGCTCTTAAAATAATCAGCTTCTATAACTAAGGGGGAGTCAAGGGACAGGAGGGTTAGGAGAGAACTTTCATGGAAATACATACTGGATCGTCTAGAACGTTGATTTTGTAGAATTGCAATCCTGCCTCTGATGCGAAAGGTATCGAGTTTACTTCCATTTCTTTAACGCGGTGCCCGGCTTCCGCGTCTTCCTTGTATAGGAATCCATCCCCGGCAAGCTCGCCTCCAACATCTGAATGCAAAGCTGAGTCAAGAGTAGCCATCAGTCTAGAGTGAAACGCCTCTTGCGATGATCAACCACCTGTTACAGATGAGGGGCAGCGGGGGATAGGACATGGAACATATTATATCCGCTCCGAAATTCGCTCATGGATACTTCCGGGTCTATTCCTAATTTGAAAGGTGCACTAATCTGTGCTATGTCCTGATTGAGCTGAAGCACACCTTTGACACTATTACTTAACAAGGTACAGGGACACAATTTCGTGTTTGTATTGAACAGGAAAATTGTAGCTTTTTGCATTTCAATAGGCCTAGGCCCATGAATGCTGGGCGACGAGACGAATCAAATCCCCACATCATTTTACAGTTAGAATCACGTATCTTTGTCTCATAATCTACACAAGGATAAGGGACAAGCTTATAAACGGGTGCGAACTCCCAGGCTTATTGAGCTTTTTGTATACATTTATTTCTATCTTCACCTTTGCGATTCAGATTATTTTCTCATCTCCACGACCCAATATGGCACTTGCTCAGACCAGCGCAGACTTGTCTTCCTCCAAGCACATGGCATTGGGAAATATCTCTTCCGCCTGTCGACAGGACTTGACTCCGCCAGATAGCCCGAATAACGAGTTTACTCGTTCTCAAGCGCCTTTAAAGGTCATGAAGAAGCTCCTTGAGAGTGTACTATCCGATTTCGAAGACCCTCCGAACAGCCCCGTCTACCAGGAAATGTATCAACCAGGACCAGATGCAATTGAATTGCAGAAATTGCTAGCGCAGTTCATCCGAGGTAGACAATCGCCTACGGTGGCCGAACATGCCCAGTCTCGTTCTGACGGCAGTGGACAAGAGTCCACCACTCCGCTGATAGGCGAAGTAGATCCCAGTCCCCCGATCTGTACCACGCCGAATGATTTCAAGTCGTTCGAGAGCTGGGCATCAAAATCCCGATTCAAGACAGTTTTGGAAATGTATGAGCCACCGCTTCCCCTTCCACTTTCGCTCCAGAAAATATCTGACGCCGGTATAGCTGGGACAAAGAAGCATGTAAATACAAGACCGCCGAATCGGTGGACACCAGTAGTGGTCCGGACGACTATGCTGAATATGCATTCGTGGTCCGTGAACGCATGGGTTCGTGATATCTTTGCCTGACGGACGGAGATCTTACTAATGGTATGATAGATCGAAATACTGAGGAGGTGACGCCATTTATAGACGTCATATCGGAAGGCCTGCGTGACATACTTCGTGAGGTGCTGCTCGACATCCATTCTATTACCCTGATGGAGGACAGGCCATCGGTATTTCAGACTTAGTATTACCTCCAACCTCCAAAGCAATCGCTGACCTGTATTTAGATCGAGCAAAGTGTCCTTTTCCATTTCATTCCTGAGCTCGAAGGATGTGCGAGTAACTTGGAAACTGGTGCGGAACGTGAATCGGCACATGCGCAGCATCTCCGCCTGCTCATTGGCCACCTCAAGCACGCATATGCTCCTACCTCGCAACGTCTCAAGTCAATGTTGCAGCACGGTCATATTACGTATGATCTCCTCTGGGCACTTTTCAAACCCGGATCCCATGTCTATACAACATGCTTTGGCACAGGAGAGCCGCGGTGTGTCATTTTCGATGCGGGGGAAGAGTTAACACGACATGACGAGACGTGGTTCAATCTCGAATGCCGCTTCCTTGATTATGACGGAGTCAAGTTCGGCGAGGCCGGAATCTTTCTGCGTGTGCCAAAATTCCGAGGGTCAAAGCCGATCGCGACTCTTGAGGCTTACCCTCTCCACCACCATCCGAGTCACGAGAAGGTCCGAAAAGACCTAGTTGAGAGAGGCCAAATGTTTCGGGATTTTGCTGGCTCGCACATTCAGCACTGTGAAGGCAGCGCATTCTTTATGAACAAGGGCAAGGCTATCAAACTCAACATCAACAGTCGAGTCGCAGTGGACGCCGCCTTTTTCCATGAAATGCAGCCAAACTACTCCCGGCCGTCTCTGCGCGACATGGCATTGAAGGAAAAGGACGGCATTGCCGTCTTTGACATAGGTGCAATGGTCATGGAGGAACGTGAGCAAGAAAAGGAGAAAATGCGAGGAGACGGCATGGAACTACAAAAGCTGAGCGAAGCCGAAGTGTTAATTGCCTGTCCAACCGTGTGTTGCTTCAGTTTCAAGGAAAAGATGTTTTGTATGTGACGCGCTCAACAATTGGTCGAGGACCAGCTAATGTGATTTCAGTGGAATGCGCAGTTAGTGCTCTTAGGGATGTGAACTGGTCACCTGAATCATTTGACTGCCTGCAAATTCCGCCAGAGAACAAGACACTTCTCTTATCAATGGCGAAAACCCGCTTGGGTTTGATACCGACAGTACCCTTTGACGATTTAATTGACGGGAAAGGCCAAGGACTCAACATCCTTTTAGAGTATGTCAACAGATTATTTATGCAACATATCAAGACTTCCGTCCTAATCAGAGCTAGTGGCCCACCCGGCGTCGGAAAGACATTCACGGTTGAAGCAACATCGGAATATTTCAAGCTGCCTTTGTACTCGGTACGAGCCAGTTGTGGCGCTGATAGTGGCCTCGCTAACCTTCTCAGATATCTGCGGGCGAGCTCGTTGTCGACCACGGAGATTCCAATGCGCTTGAACAACAACTTGAGACCATTTTCAAGATCGCTCATCACTTCAAAGCCGTGCTGCTCTTGGACGAGGCAGATGCTTTCATGGAGCAGCGTACATCTTATCACGATACTCACAATCGTCTAGTGACCGTTTTCCTCCGAAAGCTGGAATATTATCAAGGCATTCTGTTCTTGACTTCGAATCGGGGTATTCAGTTTGATGATGCAATCCTCAGTCGAATCCATTTGATTATCAAGTATCAGGGCTTGAGCAGGGAATTTCGCAGGGATCTCTGGGCAACCTTTCTAGCCAGAGCACGTACAGTTCAAGGACCTGCTATGACCGAGGAGCAAGACCTCCGACGGCTGGAAGTCTTAGATCTCAATGGACGAGAGGTAGGTTCTAGAGCACTGCTGTGCACTTCTTGCTTGCTAACTGACATCGATCAGATCAAAAACATTGTATCAATCGCACATGCTCTCGCCGAGGCGAAGGCCGGCCAAGTGAACTATAAATACCTAGAGTTAGCCGCCGGCTCGCGGCAGGAGTTCTCGAAGGAGTTCGGCAGACAGGAGATGTATATCTAGCAGCATACCTGGGAAAATCGTGCTAGCCATGTTTTTCAACGCAGATGTCAAGCAGCCCGGCTCTTGTTGCGATATTTCCTTAGTACACGACAGTCCACCTCATCAGCCCTGAGCTTAATAATTGTTTCCACGTTTTTATACTGGTATTTCAAGAAGCCTCTTCTGTACACGACAGCCTTATGCACTGAATTTGAGTGAAAATTGGAAATATTTCATGATGAGGTATCACCCGTAAAAGGCTTCATTCAGCCAGGCCCGCATACTCATTCGGGGATATCGAAAAACAAGCAGGAGCCGAAGTCACCTTCAAAATTATCATTATTGAGGGCAATGTGTATCAAGAATGAAGTACTAATTTCAAAGGTAGCTTTTTCTTGCTGCCTTGTAATTGGAAGCAAATTTAAAAACATGCTCGATTTAAATGAGACTAAAAAACAATATGTGCAAACGTCAGCCAAGCTAGACAAGGCTTTTGCCTACCCTTGTCTTCCCGGACGCGACAGACATGACGTGCGTTGCCTGAGGCTGGTCCAAGTGCACGGGGCCGGTTCAAGAACTTCATGTCCTCCAAGTCAACGACGACCAAATGATGGCCTACATCATTCCACAACGTGCCGGATCTCGAGGGTTGCGATAGTTCGGGACCTTTCCACCGCAGTGACCCTCCTCGTATGGAGGCGCTGTAAGTCCGTTCAGGTTATGTATGAATCTTGGTGAACTCTTCATTCACACGCCCACAAAATTCATTTCCTGCGAGTTGCATGCTTACTGCATGCCGGAAGTCAACCTCCAAGACGGGAAGATTATTGTTCTTTGCTTGATGGGCCGTTTCGTAATCGTAATTGTCGTGGAAAAAGTCATAAACCATGAAGATTTGACGCGGCGATTCCTGTTTCATAAGCCACCGAGCCTAACTCACAAGTTCAGGGTCGCAGCCCATCTCTTCTAGAATGGAGGGCAGTGTCTGTTCTGGTGTCCCCCAGAACTGACTTTTCCGAGTAATGGAAATGCAAACTCGAAGAGGCTTTCTCATTTCAAAATACTCCATTGTTCTTTTCTGGCAACGACCTAAAAGACTGAAGAAAAGTCACAAGGTGGAATGCCAAAGCCCCACGAGAGTTTTACTTACCGCATAAAATGACTTGGCTCACCAGGGCTTCCAGAGAATCATGAAGCGACGAGGCGAGGGGGTAGCCCTACTTATAACTACGAATACTACTACAGTGCCCTGTATGACTGAAATTTCTAACCAATCGCTTAATCCAGAAGAAAGAAATATATTTGCAAGCACGCATTCCATTTTCCAGAAAATTGATATTTATTTCTCAATCCTTGCGGCCAGAAATAACGTTGCACGATGGATTAAGCACGCAATAGGTCGCCCATCCCTTGTGTAGAAAAGCGTCTCGTTTGGTATCTCGTTCGATATCCCTTCTTGTCTATATTGCCTGAATTCGAGAATTGTGCTACACAATGAGACCTTTCCCTGGTGAATGTTTTCTTCACTCCATTCGGCCTTCTTTTATCAATCGCTCAAGTTACCCGGCACGACTCCAAAAGTTTAAGCCGCAATCTCCACATTCTTGAAACGTCCACCGCCATTCCTGCCAAACAAACCCGCCATGCCTTCCCCCAAGTCGGTAGCTGTGACAGTGAAGCTGGTCTTCGGCTCGCTTTGGGCTTTGCCGAGTGTTGCGGTAATCTCGGTAGAATTTACAATCAGAGACAGCTGATACCATTGATTGCTGCTAATGCCTTCCGTGTGCACCTCTGAATGTAATACTCTCAGGCTCTCGTCATGTTGCCAAATACCAAGCTCACCAGAAGTCGTGTTGATTGTCGCTGTATATCCCTTGAGCTTATTGAGACCCGTAGCTGCAGCTGAGACTCTTGCATACAGGCCGACTGAGCTGTCAGAACCGGTGACCATGACATCAGCGCTAATTATATAATCATTCCACGCGGAGGAACCTGTAACAGCGATTGCCTCTTTGCCGTCAACCTGTGCGAACCGATACTCGCCGTCCAAAACGGTCCAGTTCCCGCTGAAATCAATCCAACCTGCCTGGCCTTCGGAGGAAAAATTAGCTTTATAAGGCAGAACAGCGACGGGTGCTGCTCCCGTGCGTTCAGAGCAGAACTGAGACTCATTCTCGGTGGAGGGGGCTGTATAGCGAACAATCCCTTTCCCCATTGGGATGAGGTGGGGACTGTAATTTGCACAACCGGATGCACCCAATCCCACAGTCCAGGGAGATGGAGACCACGACCAGAAGCCACTCCCCTGGTTTGTGTTGGTGAATATGATCCGATTTTGTTGTTCGGCAGTATTGTTGTCGGAAAAATATCGTACCACTTGACTGGCGAGCGCCAATTGTTGTGTTGATGAATCCCAAACTATATACGGACTTTGTGCAGGATAAAGGCCGTCCGCGGTAGAGATTGCGGTTCCGACATCCCTGGCATGCCAATCAAAGCCATCCTTGGAGGTCTTGTAATGCGCCCGACAATAGTCAAAACAGAACTCATAACTCATGATGTACTCTCCATTGCCCATCTTCGTCACGGTAGCCATTCCTGGCCGGTCGAGCTGGTCAGAGCTAACGACAGCTCCAATGGGTTCTCCCCAAGAATCACCTCCGTCATCAGAAACGACATGAACCAGCATTTGACTATGGCTTTCATGATTACGTTCATCCGAGAACACTGCTATAAGTCGGCCTCGATTGTCCAGATATAGAAATGGTTCCCAGATGCCCCCATCTCTCGTGGCACGTTGCCATACTCCCACCGAGTCCCAGGTCTTCCCATGATCTTTTGATCTCCATGCGAAAAACTCACCCGCAAACTCGGAGCAGTTGGCAGGCAGCAAGTTTCCGACTAATAGTATAGTACCTGGTGGGTACTTGCCGAGCTGCTGAGGGTACTCGAAGAGGAATGGTTGGTAGAATACAGCAAACGGGTACCCGCTGGTCGTCCGAGTATCGTGTACTTTCGCCAAGGTTTCCCATGTGAGACCTTTGTCGTCGCTCTTGCGGATAATGAAGTTGCCAGGGGTCCCATCGGGGGTAATTGTCTGTGGACCATGCGTATAGTGATGTTCCCATGTAGCAAGTAGTCTGCCACTGAGATCTCCCGCGTGCTGGAGCTCAATTATTCGAGCATAATTATTGGTTTCGTTGGTTTGTGTCCGTTCCCACAGGTAGGATCCTTCTGCATCTGCAACTGTTAGCGCGATGAATGTAGTTGAGCAGAGAAAAAAAGAAATCAAACAAAGTTGGACTTTGAGCATCATGCAAAACACTGAATTTCAAGTTCGTACTAAGGAATCAAGAGGCATGCAACGTGAAGTATGTTTTGCGTATCTATATTCGACTAACAAATACCTTCAGAAAAGCAAAGCTATATTTGAGTCAAATTCTGAGTAAATGGGTACGTCAACCCCAGAAAGGGAGAGGAATATTGTAATAGCCATTTCATGAGTGTTGATGAGTGTTGATGAGTGTTGATGAGTGTTGATGAGTGTTGATGAGTGTTGATGAGTGTTGATGAGTGTTGATGAGTGTTGATGAGTGTTGATGAGTGTTGATGAGTGTTGATGAGTGTTGATGAGTGTTGATGAGTGTTGAGGTGGTGAAAGACCAAGCGGTGAAGTTGGCTGGGCGGTTCATGGCCGTTGAGATTCTGCGCATTGTACGGAATTGTTCTTGCCTCATGCCTTGCATTTCCTCGGCCTTGCTCTCAAACATCAACGGCATCATGAGACAGCACTACTCAGCAAGGTGAAGTACATGTAACGACGGTAGAACCAGTGCTCCATTTAAAATTGATAATATTCTTGAGACATATCGCGGTCTCTTTTCCTGTGTTGCTGGGAATTTGCCTACGCAGCGTATAAGCATAACATATAATCGTTCTCGAAATCGGATTGACCGATACACTTGATCACTCTGTCTGGGCCCCACTGTCAAGGCTTTAGCGCAGATCATTTATTGGGCTGGGAGCAAGAAATTGAGGGCCACCGCAAAATGCTGTTCATATGGTACATACTGGAAATTACTGGTAAATCAAGTTGATTTTTAAAGGAATGGAGCGGTACGATATGGAAGTCGACGCGCGGCTGCAGCTAATCTGGGTTGTTGTTGTTGTTGTTGTTGTTGTTGTATTTTAAAGGAAGATTGATTGTTGTCTTTAAGAGGGAAACATAGGACTATATATACATCAAGAAGAATAAGTTGATTTCCAATCAACTTGACTCTTCGTATAGATACATCGGGATTAATTCCGATGGTGCGACTCTGTTCCTGATCTGCACCAACCTGGGATCACAACAGGTTGACCCGACTTTCACATTCAACTCCCGCCTAGGGCCGGAGAGGGCCGACACCCGTAGGGTGGCCCCGTATACCGAAGGCCCGCCCGAACCAAACGCCACAACCCCCGGAGGGAAAGTCTAGAATGGTTCCCGCGGGCACATTGGGAGCGACCGAAGGGAGCGGACAACTATGGACACGTTCTCCCTAGTTAGGGCCTCATGTTCCCACGGGGGATTTGGGAACAGGGGCCTTTCAAGAATCCTCCTCCAGGTTCTGATCAAATGAATCTCTCCTCCCATGATCCTTCCAAATCCTTCAAAGTGGAGACTTGGCACCATAGGACGAGGTTGATTCCAAACAGAGCCTTAGAATCATAGAGCCCGTAGGCCTAGCGTGGACCTTTCATTCCGATAACCCGCGCGGCTCGGACGGAAACATTGGACGTCGCCATGAAACGTCTGAACACTATATTTTCACTTCTCGAAATTACCATTGGAGAAGGCCTTTCCATGTAGACCTGAGATCTGAATAATTGAGTCTTGTCGAATTTTTCCGGACAAGAGGATTGGAGAAAGTCCCAGGACGACGATAGTGGGTTGATCTTGCCCGTCGCCTATGGGAGGCACCCCCGGCAATTGGAAATTGCCTCGCCGACACCCCTTGAAGGGGGTCTCTGGGGGACCCCGCCTCCCGGCTCGAGGGCACTTGGGCAATGAATCAAATCCAGGTGAGGCCGCAGTTCGAAAAAGTGATAACAGTGGATAGCTAGCGTGGCCCCCTGTCTCACCTCACCCAAGTCAACACCCACACGAAATAAACAGTTTAGGACACGACCTGCTGTTGGGTCCGCATTATGCATTCCGATGGCGGATCTCCATTGTCATTGGAGAAGGCCACTTTGCATCACCGTCTTCCGCGTCGGCATCTGTGAAGATGCTGAAGAGACGTGCTCTCGGCACGGTGTGAGCCAAGTCTGTTCAAAGCGGGCGTGACATTTGTCTAGCAGCCGAGCTAGTGATTAGGACTACTCATAGGCATTCTGGTGCGCATCCCGCTGTCGGCATTGCCGTTTATGATGCGTCTGCAGTATGATTGATTGTTGGTTTGCAGAGGTGAGACATGATGACGCATGCTGCGAGAGGACCAAGTTGATTGGAAACTTGATTCGACACATGGAGATCTGAGGAGCCAATTCCAATGATGCGGCTCCGTTCCGGCACCAGCCTCAACTCACGCCAGCGTCGTGTCCATGTGGCTGCGTGGACTTTCTGGTGGGCCGACTTATGAAGCAACTTCAAACATAAAGACAGTGCCAACCTTTCCTGTGTCTTGTGGTTTTTCAAGACGGCCTACATTGACGGAAGCAGACTTGGGTCGGACGCGCCGCTGACTGGACTTGCCACAGCTAGCTTCGCTGGTGCATGCGTGACGTCATTTCCCAAACGCGTCTCTGCCGGCCTTCTTCGCGATGAGTTCATCTCACAAGTGAGCATCAATGCAAGAACTTTGAATTTCCACGAAGATTGGATCATTTTACTTTGCGCTTTTCCAGCGGCTAGTTTCTCTTTATCTTGTCTTCTCGCTGGGGCTACACCATCTCGCACACTTAATGATCTCAACGTTTGTCAGCGGGAAACCTGTCAAAGACAAATAGAAAGCAGGGTAGCAGCGAGCTTCAATGGTCCCAATATTGCATTAGGGAGGGCAATTTGGGTCTTGACCCAGTTCAAGCTAATCGAGCAAACAGACTCGTAACCAATTTTGAGGGCGCTGCGTTGGCAGGGATGCGACGTTCAACAGTGGGATCAGCAGCAAGGCCAATCGAAAACCTGACTTCATGAGAGGTCTTCCATACATGATGGAGACACAATGCCGCAGCATAGCAAATTATAGGATTTCACCGCGTTGTTGAAGCGAAAGGTCAACTAGTCTGACTTCCATTGGGGTAGCTCACAAGCGCAACTCGCCCTGATAGGGCTTTAACGGTGTGGTATTCGAACTTACCTACTCGCTTAGCTTTTTTGTCTAGAACGAAAAGGCCGGGCTCTACCAGATACCAATACACTACCGCGCAATGGAATTGTTGGCACGAGCGCTGCCGGGTGGGCTCTCGTGGGATTTTCTGGAGGATGGGTATTTAACGCGACCACAAAGCTTGAAGTCACGGTTTTGACATTAGAGGCGTCTCAAATGGAGGTCTTACCGTGCTGGGTGCCTTCATCAATCATAAACTACTTGTCTACTTTGATCTAGAACGAGTGCGGTGGTGGTTTCACTGCAGCGAATCACGGTCGGAGGAGAGGCCAGGCAAGGAAGTCGCTCTCCCATCATAGCGGGTGGTTCTGCTATGTCTGATGCAAGATTTCTACAGGCAGGTCTAGGGACCTATTGCCACATGCAAAATTTCATTCTCGCGTGCTTGTGAAATGCCTTTATAAAACCAGGCGGCTCTCGGTATTTCAACAAGTGATTGTTGGGGAAAGCACCTGCCCTTTTTGAGGTCAAATTGAACATCTACCGATCTATTTGCCATCGCCGCACACTTGACCTTCCGTACTATGCCGTCTACAGCTGCCTGACCCCTGAGCGACAATTCAAGCCGACAGGACAGGGCCACCCTCAAATGCTAGGAATAATGGTTGCTCTCACGAAAGAACACCGTTTCCTCTCAACAGGATACAATCTGATGTGCGAAATAGTACACTTCAACGATTCCGCACGTATTGCTCTCTATTAGCTGATACGCCTAAAGTACGCTAGTGGAAATGGCTGGCTCAACTCCTCGAAGTTCGGGCTAAAGTATCCTCAAGTCTAGACAAATGGCAAAGCAGATGCTAGCGTAGCCTGGGGTCACAGAGGATTAACTTTTTTGACACTGAGAGTACAATTGGTCTTTGATTTCCGCTTCAGCTCGGAGCTTCTGATTGATTCACGGGTCGCCTTCCATGAGGCCAAATCAAATACGCTCTCATTCAAAGCCACCCATTTGATTACTTCGAAATCTGGGTGATCGGCGGAACGGCGCAGATGGGCGTCCCTCTCTGACCAGTCTAGCTGACCTGCGGGGCAGCGCTCGAGGCCTGTCTGGTTGCACTGCTTCCGCTTGCGAAACTGTTCTGGAATGGACCTGTATGCAGAGGGGGAGGGATCCGCAGACGGAGTATCGCATGGGGCAACTGCCGTGACACCCCAGCTTCTGGCTGTAGCTGTGCTCATTCGAATCTGCGATGGCCACCCTCGTAACAGGGCGTCTTGAGGCTCTTCACTTCGGCTGCATTTCTTTAGTAACCAGCCTTGTGAGAGACGCGTTCATTGCACTTACCAGGCGCAGCATGACTCGTGCATCTCAGGTCTGCATTGCTTCAACCACTCCTCCATGCAACTCAAAGGTGACAATGCTTGGCAGCGTCGACACTGCAGAATTACATTCTCGTCGGTAGGATTCCCATTCTCGGCGAGACAAAATATGCAGTATATGTCATCGACGTCTGTGCCGATTTCCAGACGGCGGACCTTAACGCCCTGCCTCCCCGGCTGTATGTGGGAGGTCAAGGTCGAGGCGGCGCTCTCAAGAGGATCAGTGAGGTGATTTAACTCGTGGTGAGCCACCGAATCTGCAGAAACTCTCCCGCTTCGATTTTCGTACCACACCTGGTCGGCCATGTCTTCGCCATTGAGCTCTTGCATAGAAGTGGTGCTTGCGTGGGCCAGCTGTGAATCTGCCTGCGCTCGGCTGTTGATATAAACCTCGCCAGGCCGCTCATCAAGATTTCTTCTGCGACTCCAAACACGAATAAAACTAACAAAAATCTCGCGCAGCATCGAATGTTTTGGAAGAGGATCGTCAGGCCGGAGTGACCGGTATAGTGCGAGGAGGCGTTCTTGCCCCGGCTTTATAGATGGTCTCCCAATGGCTTATCGCTACCGGGTCGTAGGCAAAAGACTGGCTACATCCACAAATTCTACTAGTGAACTCACCTACATTCCTCACTCAGCAACATTTTATAACTCTGCCTTCAGATGACGGCGGTAGATGATCTCCTTGGCCCTTTGGGGCACACTATTTGATTACTGCATAGGGAGTCTGCTTTGATGGGGGGTCGCTAAGTGTGAAAGATCGCCGTCAACTTGGATCTGCTTCAACTAATAAAGCCTTGACTCCCTGGAAAAATGACCCAACGGGTAAATTTGGTTCATAATTTAGCGTTGCAGATCCTGGGATCTTTAAACCGGATTTTGGGAACTCAGGCGCTCCTGGGAAGCAAGTGAACGTTCCCAGAATTGCTTCGATGTTTAGAATTACGCTACTTTGTGGCATGGATGAGTGACGCGGCACGTCACCGCTGGCGTATTCTAGTGAGCTCTAATCGAGGCTATGCTCGTGAACATTCGCACGTCCGTTCATCAACATTTAAAGTGGCGGTTCTTCCCTTGGGGCTAGTAGTGACAATTATGAAGGTCAAAATGTTTTACAGTTCTTTCTGGTCCCATTTCACCATTACTACTTCAGATGTATACCACCTTTCCAGCGAAGTTGCGTCTGCAACGGTTCTCACCATCGTCTTGCGGTCCCACATCAACTCGAGCATGCGAGTCGTATCGAGCGGCAAAGATTCGATGCAGTCGTCAGCTTTTTTCATGCCAAGCCTGCATCAGGCGTGGTAAAGATGACCTCTGTTCCTATCCAGCAAATGTGGACCAGATCCCATCTTGCAAGCCGTGCCGTATCGCCAAACAACGATGCAGTATTGAATCGCGCACGTGCAAAGGCTTTCTTGGAGGAATGTCCCAAGAGACTCGTATTCGTAAGACAGGCCCCCGAAGCTTACAAGCGCCATCGATTGGGCTGGCATCGTCAGATCAAAAAGAGCAGGTCAGTAGCTCGAAAACCTCCGGCGAACTGAACTTGGCGGATGCTCATAGTCCTGGCAAGACGGTTCCCCTTACGGCAGTGAACGAAAACCAAGCCTTTGGTGTTGATTCTCGCTCTCCTGAACATTCGTCTGCTGCAAGCCCTCCCGCTTCCGTGGCATATTCCAGGATGAAGCTCTCGGTGAGTAGACCCCATGCATATGGTGTCAATCAGATGTTTCTAATGTATGGAACCAGGCATTTCTGCCACCTCCGTTGAAAAGTCCACTTGCTGGTCCCATCTTTGCACGAAAAGAATCACCTCCGACTTTCCATCAGCTCCTTTTGGTATTGAACTATATCTTCATCTCTGCAATGCTCCCTGATGGCGAGGCGGCCATGTGGCGAATCATCTATCGTCATTCAGCTGACTGGGAAAGAGAATTTGTCTTGCAGTATGATAAACTCTTATGGTGGCTGATCAGTACGCGTGATGCTTTGGCCCAGGCCGCTTTTTTCCAGACCGTGTCTTTGGTCGACCTGGAGCCGCAGATTCGATGGGTCCTCTTCATGCTTGGGAGAGAATCGATAGCCGACTCAAGCTTCCTACAAGCATGCTTCCAAAGAGATAAGTATCCATATCGGCCATTTGGGGCGAGAGCAAGCATCGCGCTAATCTGCCTTGCGTTCAATGGAGTGCAACTGAAGGGCATCAACGGGTATGAGTCCAAAGACATCTGGCCATGTGATGAACAATATTACGCACTCATGGCTTCCAGACTGGGCCGGTCGCCTTTATTCAAGGCTGGCGTTACCTTTGCTCAGTTGAAGGCCACGATAATCAGACTTTATCAAGCCTTCCAGTTAGAGGAAGAACGTGTGGCCTTGACGATGCCCCAGGAAATCTATTACGATGATGATGCCAGCACATACGAGTATTTCCAGCGGGACTTTCTCTCGTTGGACCCAAGGTTGCTGCCAAGAATTTGTCAACTACTCCAACCATCAGGGCCGCCTGTAGAAGACAGTGCATACAATTTGGCTAGCACATGTGCCACGGTCTTTCAGAGAGCCCCGTCAGTGGACGCCCTCGAGGCCACATTTGCAAATATACCAGAGATCTTGCAGTCACAAGCAGATAGAGCGGTAGTCATTGAAATGTTCCACGTGAGGCTATTCCAGCAATTGAAGCAACCAGTCTACGGTCAGTCATCATATCATTCAGGTCTCGATCAAAGCTGATTCTCATTTGTATGCAGGCTCCTCGTCACGAATCTTGGTATTTCACGTTTCTCTCCCAAGGGGAGCTTACAGTCGTGCGCTGAAAATAGATCCCTGATACAGTTGCAATGAAGATTTAAATGCTTTCATCCATTAGGAACTAGTGCTAGCCAAGTGAGAGGATGAGATTGGGGGCAATCAAGCCATCAACATCTTTAGAAATTCTAAGTTCACGACAAGTTGGATACTCTGGCGAGTAAAATGCGCATTCGCCCCACCACAATAATCTGCGTCAATTGTGTTCGAGACGCCCAGGTAGAAAGTAACTTCGACCTCACTACCAAGAATAATCCACCAATGGGCTTACGTCTTGTAGCACCAAGTTTCATTTATCCAATAGTATGTAATACAACTAGACTTCTTCCATGCTGTTTAATCCGTAAGCGTGAGACGCAACGCATTCTACCTTGCTTCGATGAGCTGGGCTGATAAGGTCCAAGTAAGAATCAGTAGCATTTGGATCTGAAAGAGTCAGTAACTGTATTTTATGAATGCAAAACACAACCTACCTCCAGGGCAATATCCCAAGAATCCCACAGGGTGCCTAGCACTGCGACTGCCAACAAGACCGCGAACAGTGTAGATACGCACAAGGAAATGGCCCGAAGACGAGTTCGAGCTTGAGTTGCCTGCCCAAGAAGCCATAGATACCACATCATCATCACCATCAAGTACTCGAGGGCAAGAGCAAAGAGACAAACTGGGTGAGCTGAGGCAGAGTGGAAAGCGCCAACGATAGAGCTTGCTATCTTCGCAAGGCTGGAGACCACAGTGAGGAATGGAAAGGCTTTGAGCAACACAGCCGGGGTGAATGGGTTCTCGCGTTGTTGGAAGTGGATTCGGAGAAACTGTAGAGTCAGCCCATTTTGCCACTAGGATGTCGTTTTTAGCATACCATTTGCGTCGCCAAGAAAATCGGCGTCATCGACAATAGCATTTGGCACCACTTGGAATCGATTCCGCTCCAGCGAAGACTCGAAAGAACAAGGAAAGAGATACTAGAGGCGACAGACAGAGCAATGTCTAGGTTGCAGAATTTCCAGGGCCACTGGAAATGAAGTAGCATCAATACTCTGATTAAGCTAGCTAAAGCGAGAGCCAAAATCAGGATCGACTGGACTTGGGATTCCAAGATCATTTTCAAAGTAAATTGCATGAATATGCACTTCAGCTCAGCGAAATCGGTGGAATACTTATGGACAAAAGATAAGCACATCCGCTCTACCTGGGGGCAGGGTATCTTTATTGCAGCCTTGAACGGTGACAGATTTGCGAGGACGCATTTTGAATTTCTGTGATTGAGAGCCGGGATCGTCTTCGCTGCTCCTGGAGAGGCCGTTGGTGGATCCCAGTATCGGGGTTCACGTCTCCAGGAGCGGCAACTGGGATTGCCATCAACGCCCCCCAGTCCGGAAAGAATGATTTCTCTACGCGTGTCGCGCTGCACTTCAGTCGGTCTTTGTGGTGTATTCTTTACACCGGTGTACTCAAGGTGCGAGCTATAAAGCGTGGCGGCTGCTTCCCACGTCAGCTCTAATACTGCGTACGAAAGATGATAGACAAACTCCCTCCCGAGCTTTTGCTCTGAATCTGCAGGGGCCTGAATAGGCAGGACATTGTTCATCTATCCTACTGCTGCCGGAACACCGCAGAACCCTGCACGACGGCGCTTTCTGAGTGTCTCCGGCACGATGAGATGCCGCCTGTCCATCGAGCCATACTCAAGCGACGACTGGATATTGCGCGGCTTTTGTTGACTCGTTACCATGCAAGTCCAAACTCCGAGTACCGTGGGATGAGCACGATTCTACTCGCCATTGAGATGAGATACCCACAAGCTGTCGATCTCCTTTTGGAGCACCAACCACGAGTCTCCTATATTTGTGATTTGCAGGGTCGAGGCCCATTGTCGATTGCTGTGACAAAAGGCAATTTTGCCATTGTTGACAGCCTTTTGCGGTATCCACAAATTGATGTCAATGACCGATGCACCGCCGGCATGTCCGCTCTGATGTACGCCGTGGAACATGCCGAGCACGCCATTCTTAGCCATCTCCTGACTGATAGCCGTGTGGATGTCAGCATTGAAGACCGCCTTGAACAAAAAGATGCATTGCAATTCGCTGTCCAAAAGGAAGACCACATCTCAGTGCAAATACTGGCCCGGAGCCCCAATTTGGATGTCAACAGGATCAGCGCCCACGGGGATACAGCGCTCATCCTCGCAATCCAAACCATTAAGGGAAGATCGTCTCGTCGAATCGTGGAATCACTGCTTCTCAGCTCCACCCTCGACATCAACCATCGAGATTTCAGGGGACGCACAGCCCTGTGGCATGCAGTGGATGTGCAACAGGAGGATGTGGTGCAACTGCTCTTGACTCAAGACAATCTTCGCTTAAATGAGGCTGATGATGTTGGATTTACACCTCTTGCGCGAGCGGCGGAGCATCAAACCCCTCGCATACTGCAGATGCTTCTGAAACAGCTAGATATATGCGTCAATGCCACATTGGGCACGGTTGCCCACTTATGGACAGCATGTCGGGCAGGCTCGCTCGCCACAGTCCAGAGCTTGTTGACCAACCGGGAGATTTTCTTCCTGTCACTTCACTCGCATGAACTGGGTGATACGCATTAGTTTTGAAACCTTGCTTGATTCGCTTATATACACTAGAGGGCTTGGAATGCGATAAGGAACTGTGAAAGAACTGTGAAAGAACTGTGAAAGAACTGTGAAAGAACTGTGGAAGAACAGTTGAGTAATTCGGCAACCCATTTCCAAAGGGTTTGAACAGCCATTCTAAATAACGACTTGGTCGAGACTGGTGAGCTATCTATGGAAGTGGCTATTCTAGTGAAGGGAAAGGAGCATTAAGAGGAACCAAATCTCGCAGTTCTCGCTAACAGCAAACCGCAATAATAAAATCACATATCAAGCTCATTGGCGTAGTAATAGACTTTTGGAGACTGAATTTGCAAGCTGATGCTTCGATACTGTAAAGTGCAGTATAGCTTCCTTAAATACATCCTCCAAACTTTCCGTGGTAACCTTCACCGAGAATATCCTAGGACTAGTGAAACACTTGGTATGACGGAGCTATTTGAGCCTAGTTTTAAGACGCAAAAAGTGGGTAGCCGGATGTTACAAAGACTACGAGCAAGCGAGCTGGTGGAGAAGAATAAGTGCCCTTCCTCCCTGTCATTACAAAAACATTTCTGGATATATACCCTATAAAACACACTCATTCTGCAATTTTCCCAACGCCAGTGAAAGTGTCTCAGCAATCTTCCGCGCCATATCCGACTTTTTACCAAGCAGCCACAGGCCCTTCATACATTCCTCGGCCTGCTCTATATTCCGTTCAAAATCATGACTGTTATGTCCGATAATAGTCCCAGCGTAGCGCAAGGACTCATCTGCCCCACCTAAAAAGACCATGCAAGCTTTGGTAAACGCCCTGATTAGAATCATCGTCCATGGCTCGGTCAGGAGCGTCCCCTCGTTGATAGCGTGGTGAAAGTCCGGCATCTGCGGCACACCCAGGTTGGTATCTCTGGTAGGCGGTGTAGCGACTCTTGCTAGATCCGATAGCTTCCCGGCACTATGATTTCTAATTCTCCTAGCCATCTGGCTGGTGATACGACTGCAAGCCGCATCTTCCATACCCAAGACATGTTCGTCAACGAATTCCAGTATATCCGCAAGCATCAGGGCAGCAAGGTGCCAGTGCGCAGAGATGCAGACAAACCAGCCCTGTATGCGCTGCGGAACCGCACTATAGTTCTGCACGAGTTCGTCGAAGAAGGCACCGTGCGTCTTATTCCAGTATTGATACAGTGACGTCGTGCTGCGGATGATGTCTTCAATCTGCTCTCCATGAGCGCTCTTGCGAACGGCGTTTTGTAGGTACGATAGGTGCCGGAAGAGAAGAACTTTGACGGGCGCTGACTTGATGACGTCCTCGGCAGCGGTCTCGTATGGGCAGGGCCAGTGCGTTTGATGCATCTCGTCGATGCTTCCTTGCACGAAAAGCTCGACATCCCACCGGCTTCGTGCTAGAGACTTGTTCATATTCGCAGCTTCCTGATTCTCTTTTTGCGTTTCGTGTTCGCAGTCCTCATCCAGTACCACGACGGGCCGTTCGTTCATGGACGAGGAAATGGTGTCAAACATAATGGCTAGCCAGTAGAGCAGGCCGATCGTCCCTCGATCCTCGGAACTCATGGCTGCAATGCCGTGGGAACCCTTCTCTGGACTGTCACACTGCTTGTCGAGGCCCTTTTCGAGCGCGTCACAGCGATACTTCAGTGCGTGCATTTTTCGAGCTGCGCTCTCCATGTATGTTGGTGGCCCTTCCTTGCGTATTATATCACGTACCTGTGACAAGACCGAGTCCGTGGTAAACTGGCGACCTTGTGCCTCCATCGCATGCCCAGGAGACTGGTTGTGGGAATTCCATGGCCTTTGTGTCAAGCCGAAGATCAGCTCGGCACAAGCCACTCTGTACGACTCTAGAGTGGAGACTTGTTGCAGTGCGCGCTGTGCCTGGTCCCAAAAGTGTTGCTGGAGAATGCGGTCGAACTCGTCGGAGATGCCCTGTGCAATTCCGTCCTCGCCATGGTGGAGAGTCCCGGTGGGATATTTCTCGCGGTGCCGATGACTGCCCTGCGCCCACTGCGTAGCAAATGCCATGATGGCAAAGTGCAGGGCCTTGGACGCAGCCTGGTCCTCGGACCGTGACAGCTGCAGAAGCTTGCAAGACTGTGCGACGCGGTCGAGCTTAATCGTGCGCTGGTATATCCTGTTGGACCATGATGAACCCCATTCCGGCATGACATGCATGGTATGCCGCGACCCTGGTTGGTAGGGGCAGGTCATCTCAGTCAACCAGCACGATAGGTTGTGCTCTAGTACGTCGTGGTAGATTTGAAGCAGGTTTGCTGAAGTCAGGTGGTAGTTAGATGTGGCGATCATTTGTTGGTCGATGGAAAATGGGGAGAGCGAGCTTTGGGAGCTGTTCCAGCGGGAGGGTTGTCGGTCGAAGGACTTCCAAACGGAGTCACTCAGCCGCCGGGGGCTGTTTAATGAGGTGGATTCCAGGCTGCTGCACGTCTGTGGCGCCTGGGAGGCCTGGGAGGCCGGCCACGTCTGATGGCATATTGGGTCTGGGTCGAGTTCGAAGTCTGAGGATTGCTGGGTATAGATGTCTGAGACACTGGAGAAGGCAAATGGCAGAAAATCAGTCAGAGACCGTGCAGAAGTCAATGCGTCAGGCATCTCTGCCTGCATCTCCTCTTGAGGGACCTCATTATGGTTGACTATGAAACTGGGCGGCATCGAATCATAGTCTAAAAATGGCTCGGACAGATCGACGTGGAGTTCATCAACATTCCATGGGAAGAGAAGACCTTGACTTAAGTTCTCATATTGGGGTTGTTGGTATGATAAATTCAGCGCCGACTGAGCCTGCGACCGGGCCCATTCCATGGTACAGCGCTTCTTTGTTCTGGCGCAGTAGGAGCATGGTGATTGCTGGCGATCGATGTTGCTAATTGTTGCTCGTCGGGTCAGATCTAAACACAGTGCATCGCATGCTCGCTTGGATTTCCTGCACTGGTCGCAAGAGTGGTTCTGACGCCTGGCCCTGGATCCTTGTGCAACTGCCGTGGCGTGTTTCTGGACAGGCATGCCGACCGATGTTATTGACTCTTTTTACTTTTAAATCTTTCTCTTTTCTTGTTTTCCAGGCTATAATGTGAGAAATTGAGACGTTTTATGTGAATAATATGAAGTCAAGCTAGTGAGGTCAGTGGCAAGTTAGATGGCGTCAAAAGGCGGGGTATCGGGAGATCCTTATACACTCGACCCCAGATTCCCCGCATTTCCCTGCGGCGAGTCTAGTATGTTGCTTGTCCGACGATGATTGGCCATGATTGGGCTCGGACGTATGCTGATTACAGGTACGTGCCAAGGCGTACGAGTCGCATGTAGCATTTGTTATAGACCGCGACGAATTTCAGGTGCGTAAAGTACGGACAAGATGTGCTTTTTGAGGCTCATTGCTGATACGGATTCTAGCTCGGATAAAAGAGCTACGGAAGAGCGATCACGGGGATCTCGAAGTTGATCCCAAAGCATCGATACGTGACAACTGGCTAAGTATCTAGGTACATTCTCTCACATTCAAACTCACTGAGCAAGCGCTTTATATATCTCGGCCTCGACTGCTCCCCATAGACTAAGCACCTCGGCGTCCGCAAACGGCAGAATCTGCGTACAAACAATCCCCGCAACGCCCTTCTCCCTATCCGCCCACCACCACAAATTCGGCAGCCCAGCCCAGTGCACTGTGCCATTCGACCGCCCTGTCACGCCACCGTTGCTCAGCATAAAGGTGAGGCCCCAACCCTGTGGCGGATCCCCAGGAACTGGATACAGCTCAGGAATGGGGTTTGTTAGGTCCGGTTTTGCAGCTGGGATGCCCGGGCGGCTGTAGTTAGGGAATTGAGGGATTTGGTTGGAAAACATTTCATCGACGGTTTCTTTGAGAAGTAACTTACTGCCCGTCTTAGGACATGTTCCGTCATTTAACAGCACAGCTAGGACCTCTGCGGAAACAAATCAATGGATGAAATCTCACCAGGGTTTTCGGACTACTCACTGCAGTATTCTTGCGGCTTGGCAAACATGCCTGCGCCACCGCTGTTAAACACCCTGGCAACTTCAGCCGTATTCTCCGGATCCACGACCAGAGGCGCTCGATGAAGATGGTCTCGGGCTCTCAGAGTACCGTCTGGATTTCTACTGTTCATATACGCCAGCCTCCGGCGCATGTCGTGGTTCGGAATCATAGACATATCCTTGATCCCAAGGGGCAGGAAGACATGTTTCTGGAGATAGGCGTTGAGCGTCAGTCCAGTTGCGCGCTCCAGTGCGATTCCCGCCCAGTCGATACCAACCTGTTTGCGTTAGCGATGCGCTTCATGGCCCTGATATGGTACCTACGCCGTATTCCCAACTTTCGCCGGGCTGGAAAAGCAAAGGCAGCTTTATATCTTCAATCCGTCCAGAGAACTCATCCACGCCAACCGGATATGACCACTGTCTCAGTCTCTCATTGAAAAAGGTATAGCCAAATCCGGCAGTATGGGACAGCAGCATGCGCAATGTAATTGCACGCTTCTTCTCCTCAAAACTTCCATCTGGCCGCAAAACCTTGAGATTCTTCAATTCAGGGCACAAACGCTCGGTCTGCGCCCCATCGTCCAGCTTGAGAATGTCCTGCTCAACAAGTTGCATGCAGGCGATACCCACCAACATCTTTGTACAAGATGCGATCCAGAAGATGTTATCTAAAGTCATGGTATCTTTGGATCCCGTGCCTCGTTTACCGGCAGAATGAGCGAATAGTTCGTTGCCATCTTTGCCAACGACCACGACTGCGGTCCCGGGAATACCGAACTTTTGATCTTCGCAGGCTTTGTCTATTATGTTGCGTATATGCGAAGTTGCTTGCGCATTGAGGGACATGTTGAAGGCTGTACCAGGAAATAAGGGAGATTGCGCGGGAAATTGTGGGTTCTGAGTATATGGGGTTAATCTACCTTCCAAAGTTATACCGAGGTACCCGAGGACTGCAAGCGTGGCTTATTTAACGGTAGGGTCAAACAGCCCGTTGAACATAACTCCTCCAACAAGCCAGTCTACCTCTGGCGTCTTTGAGAATTACCCCGGATTCTGCGGCTGCATACGACTGCGGAGTCGCACTTTGCGGATCCGCTGCGGATTGCGGACTCGGCGGGAGGTTGTTACATCCGGCTCCGCAAGTAGCGGCTGACGGAATCCAATCAGCGGCAGCTACAGCACCATAAATGACGACATGGAATCTGGGGAACGCGGGAAACCCAATGACGTGGTGCATGAGGGCGGGACCGGACGTATCTAGAAAGATCGCGTCCAATGGACGGATCGACAGAGCTGCGGTTACCTGTATAATGATGATTAACGGGATACTGTTTCAAGCGTATACTAACCTCAGCAGCAAAGCATGTATATCAATGAAGTAAATATAAATAAGTGTGTGCGAAAGAAAAGTTGCGAACGAAGTTTCAAACTGTCAATCTTCTGATAGTCTTATAACAACTAAAATACTTGATAATTTCAATCTTTGCTTAAAATGGGTAGCCTAGGAGAGACGGTCTCTACGCCCAAGAAGTACAACACCGAACTCACGGACTACTCGACAGTCCACGTCGATAAGACTGGACCATATGCCGAAAACCTCGAGATCGATGCCTTAATCGTCGGTGCTGGTTTTGGTAAGTCGCCATCATATACCGGTTTGTCCACCAGCTAACAAAGTAGCCGGGGTTTTTATGCTCAAGACTCTCCGTGATCGCGGATTGAAGACGGTCGTTTTCGAAGCCGGCAACGATACTGGTGGCACTTGGCGATGGAACTGCTACCCCGGCGCCGGCGTCGACTCCGAAGTCCCGGAGTACGAGTTCTCTTGGCCGGAGGTATACAAGACATGGAACTGGCCCAATAACTACCCCGACTACAAAGATTTGCGTGATTACTTCGATCATGTCGACAAGGTAATTGGTATCAAAAAGGACTGCGCTTTCAACACCGTCGTGGTTGGAGCCCAGTTCGATACGAAGGAGGGGAAATGGTATGTTAAGACTGCAGATGGTCGCACGACCAAGGCCAAATACCTTGTCCTTGGAACCGGCTTCGTAAGTTATTGTACACATCAGTCAACAGAATATCTATTGATGAGGCTTTTAGGCCGCTAAGCGTTATATCCCCCCGTGGCCGGGCATGGACAAATTCAAGGGCGTCGTGCACCACTCTTCTTTCTGGCCCGAAGAAGAAGTCGACGTGAAAAACAAACGCTGTGCCATCATCGGCACCGGCGCCTCGGGTGTGCAAATCACGCAGGCTTGGGGGCCAGAGGCCGGCGACCTCAAGGTTTTCCAGCGAACTCCTAACCTTGCCGTGCCAATGCGCAAGCGCAGTCTCACCGCCGAGGAGCAGGAACGTATCAAGCCCTACTATCCGGAGCTGTTCCGGTACCGCGAGGCCAACTATGCCGGCTTTATGTACGACTGGTGCGAGCGCAATACCTTTGACGACACCCCCGAGGAACGCGAGGCCTTCTACGAGAACGTCTGGAAGGACGGTGGCTTCCGCTATTGGGTTGCCTTGTACAAGGATAACTTGTTCAACGCGGAAGCCAACAAAGAGTCGTACAATTTCTGGTCCAAGAAGACCCGTGCCCGTATTGGCGATCCCAAGCTGAGGGAGCTGCTTGCGCCGCGGGAGATGCCACACTACTTTGGTATCAAACGGCCGTGTTTGGAGAAGACCTATTACGAGCAGTTCAATCGGGAATCAGTGCACCTTGTTGACATCAAGAACAACCCGATCGTGGAGTTTACCGAGACTGGTATCACTCTCGAGGATGGAACTCACCATGAGCTTGATGTTGTTGCTGTCGCAACTGGATTTGTAAGTTCTACTTGATACACCAGCAGGACAGCACAGGGACTGACAGACACAGGATGTTGTCACCGGCGTCATGACCCAGCTCGGGCTGAAGAGCATCGATGGCGCCGAGCTCGAGAAAGAATGGATCCCGGGAGCGAGAACCTACCTCGGCACCACCGTCAGTGGCTACCCGAACATGTTCCACATATATGGCCCGCACGGCCCGACGCTCTTGAGCAATGGCCCTACATCTGTCGCGGTGCAGGGTCGGTGGATCGCCGACGCTATTGCTAAGATTGAGGCCAATGGCATCAAGTACATCAACCCCAAGATCGAAGCCGCTGATAAGTGGAAAAAGCATGTTGTCGAGCTCAATGACAGAACTCTCTTCCCCACCACGAGGTCGACGTATATGGGTGGCAGCATCCCTGGCAAGGTTTATGAACCAGTATGCTACTCTGGTGGTATCCCCGCCTATGCCATCGAAATTCGAAAAGCCCTGGATCAGTTGGAGGAAGGGTTTGATGTTATCAAGATTTGAGCGAGTTCAGTGGGGCAAATGAAACGTCTCCAGTCGTTGGGCAACGTTGAGCACTTAGCTATCACAATAGGGTCCCAGGTCCGATGTATTAGTTATCTTCTAACTAGGCCCCATCAGAGAACTTGAAATCGTGAAAATATACATCATCTTGAAGCACCACGTGTAGTAGCTTTCTAGGGCTGCCTGACGAGTAAAAGCACTCTTGTGACCTTCCTCGAAAAGGGATTTATCGGAATTTTACTGACACAATCTGTTACTGCAGTAGTTCTACAGTACCATTCTGGCGGTAAGATGAGCCATCATTTACGAGACTCGTATCCGGGCGGGCCTTGAAATTGTGTGTGATGCAAGGCCTCGACTAGAAAATGAGCCGTCAACAGCAGTCGGCATCCATACATCATCAACATCTCTGCATTTTTGATCCTCTCTGCCAATAAAAGTGTTGACTATAACGGTGGTCAAGGTTTATGGCGGGGACTTCCAAGATATATGTAAATAAAGGAGTCCCACCTTCATAGAAGGTGACAACTCAACCTAATACAATCATTTTATCTCAACAAAAAACATGTACACTCTTCCGCATATTTGGTGGTAAATCCATCCTCGTTGCCTAAATAATATTCGTAGCAATTGCGTGTTACTAGATTTTTGAGATACATGTCGGAGAACCAAGTTGATTGCAAAACAACTCGGGATTTCGTGTTGCATATATAGCATTCTGTTCTCCCTCGGAAATAACAAAAGAATCAGCCTTTTCTCTGCACTACAACAGTGGCTTCAGGATCTTCTCATGGATACCAGAACAACATAAGAGCCAAATGATACAGAACACCGAAAACGATATAGAAAGCGCTCACACTTTCCTACGGGACGCCTTTCCCTTGTCAGACCACGGGAAGTGCCAGACAGGGACAATAAAGAAGCTGTTGCTGGTATCCGCGACCCCGGCAAAGGCTGCCCACCAAGCTAGGAACGCGGCCAGAAGAGCGAAGAAGCCGCCAGCCGTGAGGGTTTTCTGGTTTGGATCTTCCCTGTCATCACGGATCAGGTAGCCTAATCCTAGAAGAAGAAAGGCCAAATCGAGTGAGAAGAAGAGCGAGAAGAAAACGACTGTTGACTTCATTGTGCAAAGCATCATCAGAAAAGTGAAGATGAACCATCCCTATGATAAACGTGTTAGTCTTGTTGGAAATTGCAGGCGAGTGTATCTCAAATTTCTGTACCATAAGAAAAAGACCGAGAGAATCATAGAACATCCCCATAGATCCATTATCGGCTTTGGCCAGCTCTTGTGAAATCTCAAATCCACCCGGAGTGAAAGTAATTGCCATTGCGATCCAGAATCCACCGTATGAAGTCAACACCGTTGCGCCAAATGTGTTCCCAACGGCCATTTCCCTATACACAAGGTTAGTATTCATCAAGCATTCCACACCCAGTCTTGGTTTTCAACATACCACATTCCGGAAAGAATTTGAACAAGGCCTCCATATGCATAAGAAGGGCCTACGAACATATAAGGCTCCGTGATTCCGCGCGTTTTCATGGTGATACAACCAAGCACAAAGGCTGTCATGGCGAAACCACACAGGCCCAATGGAGCCGGGTTGGCAATCTTGCGCTGCTCTACAGGACCAGGACGGAATGTACCCGGTTGGAACTGTCCTGCGAATGGAGGATAGAGGGTGCCTGCTGTATTGACTTGTGCCAGGGGTCCATAGTGGCCATTGTCGAATTGTGTAGACCGGTTTGTATGTTGAGGTGTGATGGTGTCACCATTTGTGACTCCATATTCCAGCTTGGAAGGGTCGGATTGTGAATTAGACATTGTAGATTGGTCGCGAAGATGGAAGGTATTTCGCCTTTTTCCTTCAGGTATATTGGTATGATTCGGTGGGAATGAAAGACTTGGGGTCTCTACAAGGGAATGGCTAAATAACAAGACCGGGCAGAAGGAGTGTTCCGTGTTCAGAAGCTAGTGGACGCGTGGATGCTCGTGCACCCAAGCTCTTGGATACGATCGGCATCGGTATTGACCAACGTATCGAGAACTAGAGGTGGAAAATAAAATGGTCGACGGATCGATGACGGGCTTGCAGTTTTCATGCGGGGAAGAACGCAAAAGCCCCTTTGACCGGGATAGTTTACACGTTGTAGAGCTGTACATGACTCTGCCTTACTTTTGATATTCCAATGTGGTACCGTAAACAATTTGTTAGGTCGAAATGATACGCTCTGCGCTAGTATGGGGTCCATTACGATTGAAGTGAACAGCAACTCCAATGAACTACTGAAACCTTAGCCGATGCTGGTACAAAGAAGACGCTAAACGAATGGACAACTTAGAGTTCAGCTAAATCAGGGCTGGCCATTGTGAACCTGGGACTTTAAGCTTCGAGATGGCAGGTGATGACGGGGACTAGGCCTGCAGGAGAAGGCCATTCAAAGGCGATTGTAGCATCTCGACTGGTCCGGAACAAAGCGCTGACATCCGCCATGCAGAGGGTCTGGTTTCGTCTACGAATGATACTACTATCATCGGACCAATCCACATATCCCGGAAGGATAGGTGTCTAGCGGACCTTGATCTTGCCATAGGTCTGGAGCCGGAGCGCGCCAGCTCATTGGGCTGTACGGAAGACTGCAAGCGTGGCTTGTTTCACGATAGGGTCAAACAGCCCGTTGAAAAAAACTCCTCCAACAAGCCAGTCTACCTCTCGCACCTGTGAGAATTTCCCCGGATTATTCTGCGCAGCATACGACTGCGCAGCCGCACTTTGCGGAACCGCTGCGGATTGCGGACCCGGCGTGGGGATCGTTGCATCCGGCTCCGCAACCGCAAGTAGCGGCCGACGGGGATCCAATCAGCGGCAGCCACAGAACCCTAAATGACTTAGAATCTGCCAAGCGTAACCCTGCATCAGTCGCCGTATACTACTGCTATCTGGTTTTGGGCCACGTAGCAAAGTTTCCCTACAAGTAGAGTGTCCGCCGAAGAGCAGCCGTTATGTTCAGGTTTCTTTTTGGTTTGATTACGCTAGCGCTCGACCCAGCTTACGGAACTGAACAGCAGAAAAGTCTAGTCTCCCAGAGACAGCAACCGGAATGCAGCCTTATTAACTAATTGAATTACTGCGTTTATTTCCATATTGAGGTCACGGTGTGCAAGTAGAATGAGGGTAAGGCGATCTTTCACTATTGTTGTGGTGGGCGGGCTTGTAGACGAATGGCCGGCTAAGGTTTGTATTTGGAGTACGTACCTAACCAGATACCTAGTAATAATGTAAATTGTTCAAGCACATGGTAATGTGACTTATACCTGGGATTTTACTGATCTGTCTTTTTCCTCTTATAGCACCTTGCATAAGTCGAACCCCGCTTCATTGCTATTGGCGACGTGGGGTGGTGTATACCTCACATCGAACAATACGCCGCACATAATGTGCTGGTACTAGGTGGGTAGTTGAAAGGGAGGTAATATCAATAAGTTCACGCTGAATCTCGCAGCATCAATTTGCCGTGGTACGTTAAAATTGTACTCCATTGAGCATCCCGATCACGTATGTTCTCACATGTTCTAAAGAGACAAGTTAATCAATAGAGCTAAGATAATAGTCCCGGATAAACTCATCTAATATACTATATGTGAGTATGCAGTGTTTTCCATCTTCTTCGAAAATGAATACGTGCGGCCTAGGAAAAAGACAGCCCGGCAAGGAAAACACGGCCCTTGTAACATGTCGTATTTCTGAACAGAGTTGCGCTTATGTCTCACCATGAGTTAAACTTTTCCCCGCATGCGGGGCCATACCCTGAAAGAGAAACGGTCTTTGGCGGCCCTGTAACGTATGCCTAGCTTTTCTGGGGCGAAGCATATAAAGGGGGCGAACAATCTGACCTCAAGGTTTGAATCCTGTGTACATTTCGATTCTCTTTCAACCTATATCAAACTCAAGGGCAATTTCCCAGAAGCTTCATTGCCATGACGATTCCGGAAGAAGTTGATATCATCATTTGTGGGGGTGGCAGTTCAGGGTGCGTGCCTGCCGGTCGCCTCGCCAATCTTGATCATAATCTCTCTGTTTTACTGATCGAGGCGGGCGAGAGCAATCTTAATAATCCATGGTGAGAATAAGTTATCGAGTTTGAACACTTCCATTATCTAATCACGCTATTAAAGGGTCTATCGTCCGGGCATCTATCCAAATAACATGAAGCTTGACTCGAAAACCGCGTCTTTCTATCATTCGCGCCCCTCGAAGCATCTGGATGGGCGCCAGGCCATTGTTCCTTGCGCAAATATTCTGGGGGGTGGAAGCTCGATCAACTTCATGGTAGGTTACCTCGCCGAAACAGAGAATCAACGCTAATTTGACCAAGATGTATACGAGGGCATCTGCTTCGGACTACGATGACTTTCAAGCAAAGGGATGGACGACCAAAGAGCTACTTCCTCTTATGAAAAAGCATGAGACATATCAGCGTGCTTGCAATAACCCCGAGCTGCATGGATTTGAGGGCCCTATCAAGGTGTCGTTCGGCAATCATACCTATCCTATCGCACAGGATTTTCTCCGTGCCGCTGAAACCCAAGGAATCCCAACTACCGATGACCTTCAAGATTTAACCACTGCGTATGAGGCACACATACCGATGTAGCTGGAAATTTACTAACAGTTAACGCATGGTAGTCATGGAGCTGAACACTGGCTCAAGTGGATCAATCGCGACACTGGTAAGTTGATCACGTGCATTTTTGCCCCTAATTACTTCTGACTTTTCACAATAGGAAGACGAAGTGATGCCGCCCATGCATATGTACATAGTACTAGGGAAAATCATTCTAACCTCCACTTGCAATGCAATACCAAAGTGGACAAAGTGATCATCGAGAATGGCCGTGCAGTTGGGGTTGTGACAGTCCCCACAAAGCCTCTCAACGGTGGGGAGCCTATTCGCAGGATCTTCCGAGCACGCAAGCAAATCATCATTAGTGGGGGCACGCTTAGCTCTCCACTGATCTTGCAGCGCTCAGGAGTTGGTGACCCGGAGAAGCTGCGCCGTGCAGGCATAGAGCCCTTGGTGGACTTACCAGGGGTGGGGCGCAACTTCCAAGACCATTATCTCACGTTCTCGGTTTACAGGGCAAAGCCGGAGGTAGAGACCTTCGATGATTTTATTCGAGGAGATCCGAAAGTCCAAAAGAAAGTTTTTGAAGAATGGAATTTGAAGGGTACAGGCCCCTTGGCAACCAACGGTATCGACGCTGGGGTCAAGATTCGACCCACGAAGGAGGAACTTGAGGAGATGAAGAAGTGGCCAACGCCGGAGTTTGGGAGTGGATGGGACTCGTACTTCAAGGACAAGCCAGACAAGCCAGTGATGCACTACTCGGTCATATCTGGGTGAGTTGAATGTGCGATCCTCAGCATGGAAGTACTTAACATATATTCAGCTGGTTTGGTGACCATATGCTCATGCCACCGGGCAAGTTCTTTACCATGTTCCATTTCTTGGTGAGTTACATCGACTGGTCCAAGATAGCTTGTTTTCCCAGGTCTTCCCTAACAACAACGAAAGGAATATCCCTTCTCTCGTGGCTCCATCCACGTCCAATCGCCTGATCCATATGAGATACCCGACTTCGATGCGGGATTCATGAATGACAAACGCGACATGGCCCCCATGGTCTGGGGCTATATCAAATCTCGTGAGACAGCTCGACGAATGGGAGCCTATGCGGGAGAAGTGACTGGGATGCACCCTCAATTCGCCTTCAATTCACCAGCTAGCGCGCGGGATCTTGATTTGGCAACGACTAAGGCCTATGCTGGCCCGAATCATATTTCTGCGGGTATTCAACACGGTAGGGACCCCCTCTCCTGGCCATTGAGTCATTTTACCAGCTAGGAACTTATATCCTCATAGGCTCTTGGTCGCAACCCTTGGGACCTGGGAAACAGCCAGCGGCCAATTTCCTTAGCTCCAATAGACACGAAGCCCGCGGGCCTATTGAGTACTCCAGGGAGGATATCGCGCACATCGAAAAATGGGGTAGGTCTCCAGCTCCATTTATCTTTGCAAATATATGAATAACCATCTACAGTTCAACGTCATGTCGAGACAACTTGGCACTCTTTGGGAACATGCAGCATGGCCCCCCGGGAGGGAAGCTCCATTGCACCGCATGGAGGCGTTGTAGATGAGCGCCTGAATGTTCACGGGGTGAAAGGGCTGAAGGTTTGCGATCTTTCGATCTGCCCCGACAACGTGGGCTGCAACACTTTCAGCGTAAGTACTTATCTGTTTTATACCAAGATCGCAAGGCTAATATAGTGTTTTGCAGACGGCTCTTCTCATCGGTGAGAAATGCGCGGTTCTGACTGCGGAAGACCTTGGCTATTCAGGAGAAGCTTTGCGGATGGATGTGCCCAAATATCATGCCCCAGGGGAGTTTGTCAATCTAGCGCGGCTATAATTGACTATGCTGCGATACTGTGGGGATTTGAATCTCTTATTGACCTCTTGTGATATATAACAGAACACCAGGATGGTGACGGGAAATGTGCCTACCTTACCAGATGTTCATAGTTTTACTCACTGCAGTCGCTTGAATACAATTCATAGGCAAAATCGCCTTCTCTTCGCACGACAACATTTTCTGTATTACTTTGCGTATAAAAACACTCACTGACTTCCCTCCTGTGTATATGAAAAAAAATTAAAGAAAGCTAAAAATGGCAAGGACAAAAAAAATAGAACAACAATAATTATAGTGGTGATCACCTAGCGCCAATGGTTCGGGCGTGGGCGGCCTAAGCCGGCAATTCACCCACCCGGATATCCTCCGGCCGAACACCTGAATATTCTTGGCGTCCTTGCAAAATGACCTTCTGCGCATTCTGGTAGATGGAAAAAATTAGCGAGCACTCTGGACAAGGTCCGATGGCAGACACATGGAAGAAAAGCTTGAAAGAAGGCAGGTGTCTTGATCCTCCACCTCTGAATTCACCGTTCCCTCCTCACTCAAAAATAATTCTTCAGCTTCTTTCAGTCGCAAGGATGACCAAACGCAACGACCAGTGCTGCATTTCTCCGATGTCGTGGATTCCAATGAGCATGATAACTCCGAAATCCTACGCGCTATTCACGGAGGCAGAGACAATACGCTCCATATCTTCGGCGAGTTCGTGCTTCTACACTGGCTTTTATCATGGCTCGCCGGGTTTAAAAATCAATGTGGCTTTTCAAACTTGCTCCGGATTCGTCTCGCTACACCTGCAAGACTTGAGTGTGTCCGACATTCAAACATACAAAGCGTCCATAGAATCCGTCGCACAAGGTATGAAAGGTCGCATTAATTGCTAAAAGAACTATCGGCAAACCTGAAAGAGATTCACCATCCGCAATGCTATTCTGGATCAGCAATATATTAAATTTTGAAATTTCATTTTGATTTCTGTAGATGGTATCCTACGTGCAGACGGTCCAAGGAGGGGGGGGGGGGGGGGGGGGACAATCTCGCATGGTCCTTCATTCAAGATCGCATATCTTGGTCTCGACACACGCAGCCTTCGCCTACACGGTGTACTCGATCTAGCTAATATTAATTCGTTTATAGAGCGGATATATTGATGCAGATAGATTCAGGTTTCTCCCATATAGTCCACCTGGCTATTGGGCCAACCGCGTGTGGCTTAAGTGGGAATGAGTGGACGGCAAGCCCTGTTCTCAATACTCTATCGTAATACGTAGTAGAAAACCAAACGAGGGAACTATAATCATGGGCATAATGGCCTTTAGAAATGTTGAACCGGAAGAAGGTCTGAGAAGTGTACAGGGGTTGATGGAGCTATGCAGTTATGGGAGACTGACATGCAGGCTACGAATCTGAGCAAGTATCGCCCTCCCTCCCGCGGTCGCCGCACTGTCCCCCTAAGCTGAATTTCTGTGTCCTGTAAGTAGGTTCCCGTAGTTCTCCTGAATCATGCGATCCCCCATGGCTAGGCCTAAAATGATTACTGTTTCTGGGGTTTTAGGGCGGGGAAATTTGGAAAGCGGGGTAGTAATGAATCTCCTAGATCTAGAGCCTGTTTGTATCCTTTGAAACATTTGGTCTTTCAATTGGATCACCTCGTACCATGCTAGGTTGCATTGAACTCCTGTAGGCTGACAATGGCTTCGGCAATCCGGAATAGGAGGCCGAGGATACTTGCGACGTAAAATCTACACCAAAACCTACGAAATGTGAGACTGGTATGTAGAGTCTAATCTTTGACACCATGATTGGGAAGAGCTCTTGCCTAGAATCTGATGGGAATTTGAAGTCAACACGTGCCGGATGAGCGCAAACCACTTCGGAATTTCTGGTTGGAAGCACTAATTCATATCCATGTGCAAAAATCTATCGTTTTAAGACACAATTCTGTCTCCACTCAATTTATATCAATTAAATTTCGTTTCTTTGTATCGGCAACCTGGAGACTAAGGATGATTCAAAGCACAATTTCCCCGCACCAGGGATTCGCTTATTTCCCCACTTAGCGTGGCTGATCTGTAGGAGTCGACCTTCTATATTATTTCTTTCTCCTCATTCCCCTCATGGCTGGTTCCGCCCTCCAATTTTTCTGTTCAAAGTCCCACCGTATCTTGAATTTGTGAATATCTTTTTTCTTCCTTGTAACATCATTCCGAAATACCGACGCTTACCAGTAGACCTGTGCATATGGGACCCATGGGACTAAGGTCACTCCCATTTCCCATATGCCTCACTCCCATGAGAAATGTAATATGCTATGGGAGCCCATGGGAGTCCCATTTGACCCATTATTTACATAAAATAGCCGATCTTTACCTCATGCGTATACATTAAATAATGCATGTATGATATGTAATTTTCTTTGTCCTTAATATACGTATTTTTACATGCTTTTATAAAGTTTCATCACAGTCTTTATTATACCTATTTTTAATATTTTTTTTCAGAAATCAAACTGTTAACTTCTTTGATTAATTTCGCTGGTAGAAAGGTATAAAATCTAGAGGTTATTCTCTCCCTTATTGCCCCAGAGTCTCTACAATATCAATATACAATGCCTGAGCCAATTGCTAGTTGGGACCATATCCAAGAGCCTCCATTTGAATGGTGTCTACATTGTTTACGTCAGGCAATCAATAGCTTTGACCCTCGGGATGATTCTCCGTTCAGAATCTCATGTATTATAAGTGCAATCAACAGTGCGCGGTGTGACGCTTGTTTTAATGATGCTGATACCTGTGATGTGGTAGGGAAGAGATGATGAATTGCCGTCTATTTGTACTAGAGTCTAGACTAATATAAGACTAGGTTCCGGCCTTGATGGTTGGAGATGCTTGGGACTTCGTTAAAATTCTAGAATGGTGTGAATTATTCTGGCAAAATGATTATGAATTTGATCCTGAACTCCGTGTTGCAATTGCGAGTGCCTGCCATGATTTAGCACGATGTTTTGATGCTTGTGTAAAGGCCCACATGTCAGCATTTGAATTAACTTCAAAAAGAAAGGATCTTCCGGCATGTAGCAACCTGTTTGATTTACCTAAGATTTATACAAGAAGTACTAATGATTACTAGGATTTTCTTGCACGATATGAGCAGATTGTTGGTATAATAGTTAGTAATAATACTCGACTTGTAGCTCTTCCAGTACCAATTCCACCAGCTACCGCTGTTACGAATCAACAGTGGGCAGACTTTCGAATTAGATATTTTTGCAGGTTGACATTTGGTGATAGGGCTTATGCCCTTTGGGTCACCAACGAGGAACTTTTTGGAGGATATTACAGCTATATTTACAATGGACTATCCTCCAATGGTAACAATACCGTACTTGAATAGTTTTCCAGTCGCTGCTGTTGACCCATTTCAACCTGCATGTGTGAAGCTATTCAGAGTGATGGAGCAGAGTAATATAGGAGGAATCGATGGAGTCTCAGGCGTCTGTATCAGCAACATGACCAGTGCAGTTTAAATCTATCAAATAGAAGCTATTCAATTAAACAGAGATATATGTCGAACTCCGCAGGGGAAGATTACCACCTTTCCTATTACAGATTGATGATTCAGCGCGTGCTTAGATCCTATATTACTGTTTCTGTATGTAAAATGCACGTAAGCGTACGTATGGGCTATACAGCTAGCCTGCACGAATCAGGCAGGATCGCTCAACTCGATCCAGCACTCAGAGAAAAAAAAACCCCCTCGGGCAATTGGATCCATGATTTACTAGTCCATACACGATTCGTTCCGATTCGACAATATATATTTGATCATGCCAGTAGCCGTGCCTTACCCTACGGGCTGGACACCAAACACGACTAGCCGCATTTGGTGTCCCGCAGCGCAATGTAATTCTCACCGGAATGTAATTTTTTCGCCTTTATATACAAATTCTTTTAGCAATTTAGAATTTATCATAAAAACCAATAACCTCTCCCGACTCGCTGTATAACGGTTCTGCCTCTGCCTCTCTTTGAGCCTCCGTAATACGTGGTGTGGTAGGAACACCGTACTTTTTCTCCAATTCTTTTACCGCCCGTCTCTCATCTTTTTTGTCTTCCTTTGCCTTCCTCTCAGCTATACTACGTTTAGCATCTTTAACACGTATAACACTATCATCACTAAGGCCCATAACACGCCGTCTAGTAGTTTTTTTCTCCCGCGGGGCTCGGATGGCGGCCATTTCCCGTATAGTAGCCGTAGTATTGGCTAAGGCGTTAAAATAGAACTCTTGCTCATCTAAGACCTGTGCGAGTGTTTTTTTTTTCTTTGGGCGTTAAATCAGGCCGGCAGAGAAGAGGAGAGAGATGTTTTTGCCTTTTTTCCACATCTTTAAATGTTTTTGAAGGTGTGTTTTCAAGACTTGACGACAAAAGATCTGGTTCCGGAGAGGGTGTTTTCTCTCCCGATAGATCAATTTCAATGTCTGGGATAGGAGGAAGCGCATGTTCGAGGCTCTCACAGACTTTTTTTGCGTCAACTGGATAAATTCCTCCCTCGATGTCGTCTGGCAGCATGACTTCTTCATCCATATCTGCTTCCGTTACTCCCGCTTTCAATTGTGCAAGCGGAAAGCAGCTGAGCGTTCTTGCCAGCATTTTCGGAGCTGCTTCCTGTGCTGTTGCCTTCATACTTTAAATTCTCATGTCCTGCAATTAGGCATGACTGTCACTACGACATCCCTATGCTTCTTGTATAATATTAATCTAATCTCATATTTTGCTGAGACCTTGGTGGTTTTTCATGTGATGAAGGGGGATTTCAATAAAATTGATCATCCACTGGCATGACTACTACATCAAGTGATATTCCCAAGCTAGCAATTTTGTGTGATATCTGATCACCGAAACACCACTTGGTCCTAGCTTTATGATGACAGCGTTATCGATGGCAAATAGCGTGCAAGCTGTTAAAAATCAGGATATAGCTCTCGCTCTCGCTCTCTGGCTTCACAAAGGCGCCAATCATGGAAATCCTGGAATGTGGAAAATGTTGACTGGGGGGACCGTATCATCGTCCAATGAATATGGAAGCATCATTTAAGCAATGCGCCCTAGAATATCATACCTCAGACGATTACCTATCCTCAATGCACAGTGGCGTATAATAAGCACAAGCACCCCAGTGCTTTTACACATAACACTACTTTGGGCCCATTCACCACTGAGGGGTACTGCTCCCCTGTAAGCTCCCGGCTGGGTCTTCCCCTGGTATTGTCCACTTTTATTTGTGATGAAAATCGCCTTTTTTACTTTCGCCCACCAGGTTGGGTTAGAAGGGTAGCGTGATAAGTGTGCATAGTGAACCCACACAAATCAGCTCTTGAGATAATTAGACGGCATTTAGCGGTCTAATGACGGCTTGAGCAAATAAACTTGATTGGGAGGGTCCTAACAGCATTTTTCGGTCGGGCGTTACGCTGTGCGATTGGGCCCAGTCACGATCCGATAGCCAAGTGAACATGGAAAAACGGCTCGTATAAGCCCAAAAAGTGATCAGGGCACCCAGTGATACTCTTATCGGCCACTATGACCCAGCGCCTAAGGAAGCTTCTCGGCTGCTAACATTTGCTTAGCTGTATGTCTGTATCTGTATCTCATTTGTTAGCTAGGTTTGGGAAGGACACTGACCATTCTGACAATTTTAGAATTCCGGCATCAGGCCGCTTCCGACCCTCCTAATTCCAATAACTAGGTGAAACTAATACTACTGCCTTCCAAAGGAGGAACCATGCGAGAGCAAACGTCAAAACATTTCTAAGGCAAGTAGTTTACGGGCCTGGCTTTCGTTATTTTGTTTTGAATACAGAAATTCTCACTGTATGTTAAAGTGGGAGCTAAGTGACACACAATACCCCCTGTAGTTCGGGGCTAATCGCTATCCATTGCCATTATCCGTCTTTCGAATGCGCCCCTCAATTGGAGCATCAAACATGAATGGGCGCTAAGATGTAGAAGCGCCGAAGCAAATAAAGGGCTTGAGCGTTTTCACTTAGCGCTCAGCTATATGGCTGGCCAGATTCATATCAATTTGGACTCCTGATTGGTGAATATATCAGGTTCTGGCATGGTTATAGTAATAGCGCTGACCATGATTAGTTCTAGACTCTTTCAAGACCGTTATACTATCGAAAATAGAAATTTTTATGCTAATTTCACCTTAAATGAGGTATGATAGGCCACTAATACCTGTAGGTTAAGCGCCGGGGATTTTTCTAATCTGATGAGACCGCTACAGATTCCCGGGGCCAGCTGGAGTGACTACAGGAGCGTATGAGAAGGTCCTGGGAGCCTTGTTGCTCCTAGGCTCAAGGTACAGTTCTGTCAGAGACTGACATGATGTATATATGATAGTGGAGGATCTGGACCCACGTAGCTTATCTGGGTTCCCCTGAGCGCGAGGAAGCTCTCTCTCTCTCTTTTGCTTCTTCGCGCTACGTCTGGTATCTAGAGTCGACTATAGCTTTCTTAATATTGATTATTCATTCGGAAGACACTCCCCATTTGACGATACGTAAGATCCTCACAAGTTCCCGGAAGCAGCCGCAGACCCTTTCGGAATTCCCACGGAGTTGGCTCCACCTAGCGTAGTGAGCGATAATAATGATGGGTTCAGCATTTTGAGGACCGCAAGCGATTAGTGGGGCATAGCGGGGCTGGTTGGAAATAGAGCACCGTATCAAACCAATCAGGTACCCTCATAGATGAGAGGACATCATATTGCATGTCTATTCCTACCAGTCCCACAAATTCTGCACCTATGAAAATTAAGTCCAGTCCACTAACGAAAATCAGTCGATCAGCCAGCTATTTTCATACGGTGTTCAACATGATGCGGCATAAACTTTTGCCCCCATAAATTGAAGGGAATCCATGAATGCAAGAATATGAGGCCTTCAACACAGCGGTTATCAACCATTTTATTTCCCCCAGAAGCTTTTTAATTGATGCAAACATTACTGTGGTGCTACCGGAGGTTTGATCATCAATTCCTGTCACCAATCTTATATCCTTATATCTTTGTGAAAACAGATCATTGCCCAAGTTGTTAGAGTGCATCGCGCCTACATAGTACATCCTTGACAAGTCTTCGCAAGGCTTAGCCTCCAACCCGAATGATAAGGTGGAGCCAATCACCGACGAACCTCCATCGCGCAATTTATTGCGCGCTGAGTCTACACTTGTAATTTGCGCGAAGAGCTTGCTCATAAATTTGCGATATACATAGAAGACTCCACTAAAGAATGCATTGCTATGTATAGATCCTTGATCATGCAATAATTTTGCGCATTCTGTCTACCCTTCCAATTTGCGCGGTGAATCGTGCGTAAAGTTTCCACCGAGGAGACAAGGCTCTAAAACGCAGTTTTTAACTGGACCCAAAATCAAAATTCAGTTCATTGTCGATCAGGTTTTCATCAATCCCCATTATCATAGACCAGTCAAAAGCGAAATCCCCGGCATTGAAGGAAATCGGTATTGGCTCAGTAAACCACGCATTATCTGGTTCCGGGTGATTGATATCAAGATTACTCGTGCTCGGCCCAGCATCAGGAATATCCAGCGGGACCTGAACAGCCTGTTTCAAATTGCTTTCTTTCTTCAAATCTCTCATGATGTCCAGAATTGCCATCATGACTCGAGTGCTGGCAGCAAAGACGCAGCCGCCAGCAAACGCAGCTTCGATCGATTTGCTAGGGGCTGTCACCATGTTACAGAGTCTTCTAGCACACTCCGCAATAACCGAGACCTGCCGATCGGAATTTGGTCTCATCTTTCCAGATAAACTCCTGACATGGATGCCATTATTTTCCACTACTGACCTGCAAAAGACGAGTATGTCGAGAACGATGTCCCGGAAAGGAGCTTGAAGTGATATGTTATCAAGCTTTAGATTCGTGCATCCGATGAACCTCTCAAGCACTGCGAGAATTTGATCGGGGAAGGGATGCGCAAAGCGTGATAAAAATGTCACAATTTGAACACCAAGATCATCGGAGATATTTTTCATGGCATCCGAGAGTTTTGGGCCCATTTGATTAGCTTCCAGAGGACTGACATCAGAAGCCCCTGAGAAGCTGTTGTTTGAGACTCTGGATCTAAGAACCAGTATGTGAAAAAGTGCAACCCCATGCATTCGTATGAAGACTGCATGGAAACGATATTCCAGCAATGAGCGAGCAGCCGATACCTCCTCGGGTGACTCTGTCTGAGTGGTATTTGAAAGTGCCCAGTGGCAGAATCTGATCTGTTCGAGGCATTTCTGTTCGATATCTTCAACAGCACGAGATAATCTTTGAGGATCGGTCCAGTTCTGTTTCACTGATTTCAGAGAATCCAAAAGCAGATAGCTCGCCGTAGCCCATTGTATTTGAAAAATCAACCTTGGTGGGCAAGGACGATGCCTAAACACATTCTGATAAATGTGAATATGGGGTGCCATGCGATCTAGTGATTCTTGCAGTTGATGGAGTGGTCTTGACAATAGTCCATCTTGAATGATATCCTGACTGAATATTTTCATTCCTAGCAAAGAATTCATAATTTGGTCTTTATACTCTTCATCAGTCATAGTCGGTATATCTGCAAAGCTGAGGTTGAGTTGTGAAGGTAACATCTCTAATCTTTCAGCGATTTTGAAAGCTGTGTCGAGATATAAGGTCGATTTGATTGCTCGGTGTGCAGTATGCTGAGATACACCCACTGCGGTGGGTCTATAATCAGCCAAAATGAGGCAGACAACAACAGAGTCGGAATGAGTGGGAGGGGAAAATATAAACTCTTGGCCGTACGATGAAACAGCAAGCTGAAGATTCCGCTTCAAATGTGAATGGAGAGGATCGAATTTGCCCGTCGTATCGTATGCGATAAGACAAAGTAATGCGAAGAGCAGATTGGTGCCAATATTCTGCTCATCTTCCGACTTGAGACGACGTCTTAGGCATTCTAAGCTGGGCAGATTTGGAACAAAGAACCTATACCAACCGAGCCTTTCAATGCGACATAGGTTAGATAGGCAGGCAAGGAATTTCAAGAGAAACACAATTACTTACTCCTTGTCAAGACTACTCACTATATCTTGGCTCACTAGCTCTGGGAGAGGAGTCGGGCAAACTGAAGTGCTCCGAGGGATCGTAGCACCGAATATTCTATCTTTGCCCAATGCCGAGGTGAAAAAGTGTTGAAACTCGATGACAGTGTCGAAAACGGTCTTTTCGGCCACTGAACGGATTTCTTGGGTGGTTCCTGGGCTCGAGATGGACTCTAGATTCAAATGATCCTTCATCTGAGATTGAAAGAGAGAGCCGAGTTCGCCATGTTGCGTAGCCAAATGAGAACGGGCAGAATTCGACTTCAGACGTGTCTCACTTTCACTGCCCTTGAAAGGTGGACGACCCAAACTTGAACGCTCAATGACGCATTCAATATTAAGGGCACGGCAGCGCTCGCAGGACTTAGCAGGGGGCTGCGGAGAGCCGAGGGGATCCAGCTCGTGTACATCTGGCAGATTGCATTTGATCTTTCTGGATCTGCACTTTTGACAGATCAACCGAGCATAGCGACCCCTAGTTCCACGTTCAGACTTTGAGTTGGGCATGTCAGGTTCGCGATTATGGTCGCGGGTTTGTTGAGCAGCTAATGGGGAGTCGGGACTATTCACCGATGAAGCACTTCCGCTTCGCCGAAGAAGAAGAATAAAAACAAGCGCTTATGCTTCACAGGGAGGAACAGTCGCAGCAAGATACACATTTAATGTCATTCAACGATCGGTGATCAAAGTGGCGCGGCCCCCAGCGCTTGTCACTTGGCCCCCACGTCGATTTGCTGGGAGTGACTTTTATTCGCGATCAGCACGAGTGACGTAAGCTGGTAATTGAGTACGAATTAGGAAAAGATCACCCATGCTTATTCAGGTAGCTGGGGGCTTAGACTGTGTTAGGTATTTGCAGAGGTTCCTTCGGGTTGCTCTGAACCTCAAATCAATGGGGTGGCCTTCCCGAATGCGTTGGCCTCCCCTGGGCGTGTCTTGAGGCGCCATAGCTGTGATTCATTGCAAAGATTGTTCGGAGTTTAGATACTGCAAGAAGGTGATGGGACTATTAGTCACAAGATGTTGGATTGAGTGAGAGAGAAAGAAAGAGAGAAACGGAGAGGACAGATCCGTGAAACAAATCAACCAAATATAACTGGTACACTGTTGTCTGGACTCTGAAGTGTTTGCGAGGGTAATGCACGTTAGGGAAGGTGAGTTACCGTGAGCACTAAGACTGAATTATCACATTGAGATACAAGAGATTGTTCAACTTTAAGCGAAGATATCTAGGGAATGCGCCCTCAAAAAGATATGACCTATAGGTGAAGAGTAAAAAATGTATTCCATGGCCTTCAACACTTGGCTTGTGCTAGGACAGGTTTGTTATCAGGGTCCTCAGGCAAGTCAACCCCCCAGAATTTCCGCATGCGCTCGCGGAACAATTCATAACAGGACCCCATCCGTATAATACTCATCTGGCCGAAGTCCATAATGAGAGAAGCTCGTCCATACACATGATAACGTTGAAGACCATAATCGACAATCAAATCCGCAGCCTCTTTGATTTCATCCTCAATATCTTCGACACAGAATTTCTGCCCGCCACCTGACACGTTGGCGCTAGACCCTACCATGAGCTGACCGGAAGGAGCATTGAGCCTGCAAATCTCCTTCAGAAGTGAGCTACAACTAATGAACATAGCGATAGTGCCGTCCTTTGTGATCTTAGACCGGGTTTGTGGCGATAAAGCCTGAATAGAAGGATGGTCTTCACGGCATGGCGCGACGCCCATGAAACTCATGTCTAGGTCTTCGACTAGCACACGTGTCATTTCGAACCGCCGCTCGTCCAGGATGTGAAGTTCGCGGTGCAAATCATGTGTTCCGTATAGACCCTGAGCGTGACCTGTTCGACGTCGCTTCGCGGCGAAGGCCCGGTCAATGGCTTCCGCCGATGTGGCCATCAATCCGTAGCCCACTTCGGTTGGCAAAATCACCACACCTCCTGACTCGAGGACTTGGAAAACGCGTTGGGCATCTGCGCGGACGTTAGGGAGATCTCCAGAAACAGGAATGATTTTGTCTGTGAAGTCGCTCATGGTGTCGGTCAATCTGAGTGGAGGGATTTTTGTATCTTGAGGAAAGAATGATATCGAAGAGTAGAAATCAAAGAGAGATTAGATGCACAGTGCCGTATTTGTATACGATTCAAGCTATATTGACCTTGGAAGTACATTTATTCCGCTTTTGGATCAACCCCAACTTACCATCAAGCTTCTAATGCCAGCGCGCAATCAACGCGCAATTTATTGCGCGCGTTAATGACCAATGGGCATGCGCCAGCCACGATGCATGGCGTACATAGACCCTACCAAGCTTCGGAGGGACTGTCGATCGCGATGCTCCTTTCTGTATTAATGAATATATCCGAGGTCTTGGCCATACTTGATTCCCTTTGGGGTCTTAGCCTCAGCCCCCTGCAATTTAGCCCCGGGGCCGCCAATCCAAATTATCCAAACCACCTTTTGTTGAAAGTATTGTGATGTGAAACCTTCGGAATCAATTCCTAGCCTCCGCGGAATTGTCATCGTTGATTACTAATATGACTTGGAGGCTGGAGGTGGTATATAAACCCAAATCTGTCTGTCCATATAGCGGGGGCACGATATGAGAACAAGCAAGCAATGAAATATGCGTGTATCCAATTTATCTGCCTGATATTCCTTCCCCTGACCGATATTTGCAACATTGAGAAGGCCCCAGATTGATTGCCGATGGACCTGACGATCACAAGCATCCTAGGGCTGTTGCGAATATTCGAAACCACCGATATTATCGGATATCTTATCGCCGCCGATAATTATCGGCAAGTCTCTTGCCCTGTCGATATGATATCCGATAATTATCGGCAAGGTTCTTGAGCTGCGAATATCTTCATCGCAGATATTCGACGATAAGATAATTATCGGTAGACTCAAGTATCGTCCGAGCTAAGCCAAACCAGGACTACTAGAATCGAATCGGGACTAGCATGCAGACTTTTCTCAGTGGTATTTAGGTAGATTGCTCCAACTTTCCCTTTCTCCACAGCAGCCATGCAGACCCGTGGGAACCGAATAGATTACCTTGCCTTGAATGATGGACCTGAAGACTGGATATCCTGCCCGGACGGGCCGATCCCATCATCCCCACCATTTGACCATAGCCAATCAGCAATTGGTACCATCTTCGATTCCCTTCATGAGTCTTTTGATGAAGTTCTACCTTCAGAGTCTGCCTCGTAGCCGCCAGCCTCGAGCTCGCTAAGCTCAACCCCACGACAAAAGAATGACTGGATGTGGAGGCATCTTGTGATAACAGAATTTCCTGGCGAATGGATGGAGAAAAGAAATCAAAGGAAGATGGACACTGATCGAGAAATTCGCTGTGCTGTCACCGGTGAAGATGGAAGACAGTGCAACTGGTCTACAACAGACTCAAAAAGACATGGCTCTACCACCAATATTCGTCACCATTTGAAAGAGAAGCATGGTGTCCTACCGCCCAATGTCTCTATCCCCGATACATCTTCAAAGACTAACCTTATCAGCCTTTGGGGTAAGAAGGGAAAGCTTACCGTTCAACAAGCTCTTGAGAAGAACCTTCTTCGCTGGGTTATTAGCAGCAAGCAACCATTCACAGTTATTGAATCGCCGGCATTTCAGCAATTGCTCAAAGACATACCAGGTGTTTCGCTTCCTTTTACCTCTCGCCATACACTTCGAGAGCGTCTTTTGGAAGATTTCAACCTACATCGCATGAGGTTGAAAAATGAGCTTGCAACTACATGTCAAACAATCGCTCTGTCCCTTGACGTGTGGACTAGCAAAAACCATATTCCAATTCTTGGTGTCATTGGCCATTGGCTTACAGAAGAATTTGAATATCGAGAGAGAGTCCTTGAATTCAAAGAGCTCCATGGCCCCCATAGCGGAGAAAACTTAGCCGCGGCTATTCAAGCTCTGCTTATTGAATTGAACCTTGAACGCAAGCTTCTTTCAATTACTGGCGACAATGCTAGTAACAATGAGCGGAGGGCAGTACAACTATTCGATAATCTCCAGAAGACATATGGGACCGATTCCCTCTTCTGTGGCTTGGATAGTTACATACGATGTCTAGCTCATATCATCAACCTTATTGTGAAGGATATCCTACAGGCTCTTAAATCAGGGAGTGCAGAAGAAGCTGCTTCTATCTGCAACAACCTCGACAAAGGAGAACACCAGCCGTGTGAGTTTCAGTCTCTCGGACCATTAACAAAACTTCGAATCCTAGCTTTGTGGATTCAACGGAGTCCACAACGGAGACAATCATGGAATGAGACTTGCGACCGCATGAACCTATCTAATAAGTTCATCGAATACGATGTCGATACACGGTGGAATTCAACCTTTCGTATGCTAGGGGATGCTCTAAAGGTGAAAACTCTTCATTTGAAATTTACTATACTCTAATACCCTCTCTATAGTCAAAGCGTCAGCTTGAGAAGTTCATCTACTATGAGACCAGCTTTATTTCTTTCTCAGCGGAAGACTGGATACGACTTACCCATATTCACAATGTTCTTTCAAAATTCAATGAATTTACCTTGTTTGTCTCAGAGAAAAAGCCGCAGATTAGTCTTGTGTTACCAATATACTACGAGCTCCATGATTTATTGCATGACGTGGCTGAGCGTAAGGACGACTTTGCAGATCTTGCCGAGGATATCGCAAGAGCCGTTGAGGGAAGTATCAAGAAGTATATGAAGTATTACACCTTCATGGATGCCTCTGATCTATACTATACTGCACTTGTCTTGGACCCTCGTGTGAAAGGAGCTCTCCTCCTAAATGAACTGGGCGAGGAAAACGCTGGGAGGAACATCCTCCAAGCTCTCCGTGATGACCTCCACCGCAGATATCCTGGGACTACTGAGCCCCTGGGTATGACAGAGCTACTCGAGCCTAGTTATAAAAAGCAAAAAGTGGGTAGCCGGATGTTACAAAGACTACAGTCTCAAGATAGTCCTCGATTCTCTGACATTGATCGGTATTTTGATAGCGCTCGGGCTGAAGTAAGTGATATGGAGGATCAAAACTGGCTGTGCGATTGGTGGAAGGTGCATAAAAAGGAATACCCTCGGATGGCTGCTGCTGCCAGGGATTACCTAGCAATCCCGGCTTCTGAAGTCTCAGTCGAGAGACCATTCAATAAAGGAAGAGATGTGCTTGGTGTACGACGATTCTCTATGAAGGGAGAGACGTTGAGAATCTTAATGCTGTTAGATGATGTATATAATTGATGTAATTATTTGACAATGCAGAGATGTGCATAGTCCTATTCATGCCAAACGGAAACCCCAACACCAGCACAGTATATATATATTGTAGTGGGGAATATGTGAGAGACGTCAAGTAGCGGTGTGACATAAGATAGGGTATACGCAATGTATTTAGTGCTGGCCTTCGCATAGAAAGCAATCCAGACACCTCTTTCTCTTCAAAATAACCTCTAGGTGTTCTCTCTCTATTACCTACTACCCCCAGTGGCCGTTCCTGGTTCGCAGACAGGACTGGCCGGGGCTGTCGCCCCCTCTTTCAATATATATATATGTATGCATGACCAATGTAGAGCATTAGCGTCACTTCCTATAGGTTGTCCTGCTAGTGCAGCGGTTAAGTCAAGAACTGGATTTGCACAGAGAAAAGAGGGGATACAGTGCAGAATCAAATGACGTATTGTTGGTCTTTATGGGTGAAATATGAGAATTAGCAAGCAGTAGAGATATTCGAGACGTGTGTCATTTGGAAAAGACTGCCGATAATTATCTTATCGGCGAATATTCGCGAATATCTTATCGGCGAACTTTCAAGATAGCCGATACGATATGCGATAATTATCGGAAAGACCCTAGAGTTGCCGATACGATAACCGATATGGCTGATTCTTGCGAATATCGTATCTTCAACAGCCCTAAAGCATCCATTAGATCTTCAATTTTGGTACGTGGATTGCCATGTGTTGTGATATGAGGCTGGTGCAGATCAGGTATCAAGCCGAACCATCGGAATTAACTCCGTGGTGTCTATACAGAAGACCAAGTTGATTGGAAATCAACTTGGCTACACGTTGTATATATAGCCTCATCCTTCCTCCGAGAGTAAAAATAACAATCAATCTTCCTTTGAACTACAACACCATGGATTGTCTCAAACATACGATCACGATCATCTTCAGAGATCTTACGCGGGCGCCCAGATCGCGGCGATGTAGTATTATTTTCTCGCTTATTTTCGAGATAACAAGTCGATGCAATTGTTCCGAAAGGAATATGAGGCAGACAGGCGTGAATTTCTTTATATTTGAGACCCTCTGAGCGTAGAGTAGTAATTTTAGTACGTGTATACACGTCTAATTGCGGACCGCGACGCCTCGGTGGATTTAAGGGTGCGCGGTATGGCGTAGTAGAAGATGGCTGTCGAGGCAGCTGACGCACACGGTTTGGAGGCATATTGAGGATGCTTATAATGTGTTTTTTAACGTGCTTTTCGACGTGATTTTAACGTGTTTTTTTAATATAGTATAGTATATTGTTTCTACGCGTTATTTACTTTGAAGGCGGTAAGCCCTGACCGCCCGATTACTAAGGCTTGGCGAAAATAAGTTTTATGAGAACTTTTGTTACGACACTGTACATAAATAAAAGTACTGATAAGGCGAATACACAGGTATGAAACAATCATGTAACAAAATTGAAAACTTGTCTACTTTCTATTTTTAATGCATTTTTTCCTAATTCAAAAGCAAATCCTAATGTCAATACCAAAAAGAATACTAACATTATTAATAATCCATATATACCATTAGTATAAGCACTTACTACATAAGGATATACTAGTAATATTTCTAAATCAAATCCATGTATGAAAAATACTAGCGCCGCTAAACGGAACAGCCGCCTATAACCCTGTTCGCGAGTAGATGACCGTCTTCAAGGAAACAGAACTCTATAAGAAATTAATAAACCTTAGATTATTTATACCTCCTTATTCATTTGAATATTAAATTTTAGAATCGGAAGATAGATAGGATCGAAGGTTTAGAAACTATATATCTGTGTGAGCGATTGACCAATGTTCTGCTAACATGAAGTGAGATCCAAATGAGTAGCTGGAGTTCAGCCCGTGGTCTCGGAAGATTTTAAATGACCGCTTCAAAACCAATTTTATGGTAGTTAAAGAACTAGATAACGTGCGGCGTACCAAGGGCAACAAAGGATCAAGGCCGAAGTGGACTAATATAACAATCGATGAGAACAAGAAAAAGTGTGAGTCGGTTTGTCATTGAACTTGATACTGATGGAATTGTTATCAAACCATGGAAGAGAAAATTTGTGTAGCTAGTTACCCCCAATGAGGTTCAAGAGATGACCATTCTCATCAAGAACATCAACATCTACATTCCACTTCATTCCCCTTGTCAAGAAGCATTTTAACAATGATGTCGTGGCCGTTGCTGGCAGCCCACGAGAGCGGTGTCTGGCCATAAGAGTCTTTCGCATCGACATCGACCTTGTCTGTGTCAAGGAGTATCTTGATAATGGTGTCGTGGCCGTTCTCGGCAGCCCACGACAGCGGTGTTCGGCCATATTTATCTTTTGCATCCACATCGACCTCGCCTGTGTCAAGGAGCATCTTGGTAATGGTGTCATGGCCGTTCTCAGCAGCCCACGACAGCGGTGTCTGGCCATAATAATCTTTTGTATTAATATCGATCTTGCCTATATTAAGCAGTATCTTAACAATAGTGTGGTGGCCGTTCTCAGCTGCCCACGACAATGGTGTCTGACTATACGAATCTTTTACATCGACATCAACCTTACCCGTGTTAAGGAGTATCTTGATAATGGTGTCATGACCATTCTTGGCAGCCCAGGACAACGGTGTCTGGCTGTACGGATCTTTCGTATCGATATTGACCTTGCCTGTTTCAAGGAGCATCTTTACAATAGTGTCATGGCCGTTCTCAGCTTCCCACGACAGTGCTGTTCGGCGTTGGCTGCCTTGAATCAACCAATTCAGTGGCTACAGAAGTGGAAAATGATGTAAACATGGAAGCGGGTGGAGCAGCCGCGACTTGATCTCGCCGGTAATGGTGTTTTTCTGAATCCAAAGAGGACCCATCAGGGTGAATGCGCGGTCGTTTAGAAGAGGGACGATCTGTTATATTGAAAGCAAGTCAGCAGACCCTCGCTCTTGAGGTGTAGAGTAAGCAGTTCAAATTACCTGCGTTGTCTTTTGCGGCGGGTAGAAAATGAAATAGGGTGGCTCGCTCTTTCGAGGGAGTTGAAGACCTGCATTGTTCTGGATCCATAGTGTACCAAGACCAAGAGGGATCGTCAAGGCATGAATAGAGTAAGAATGTTTGATTTTAGACTAGAGAAAGAGGTCCTTTAAGTACACTTTCATCCACAAATATTGCAGGGGTCGAATTTGATGATAAAAAAATGAGGGGCGGCGTGATACTGCAAACTCGACTGGTTCCTGGGAACCATGGGTGGTAAGGCTCAATCAATATCTTGATCACGGCTATTATAGCTCCTGGGAGATGAAGGTTGAGCAGCCGATCCAAGCTATCGCAACTAGCTCCCAAGGAGCAACTGTGATGAGCAATTAATTTCTCAAGCTAGCAAGTAGTTGAGTTGAGGCAAGTGGCTCCTGGGAGTAAAAATCCCACGTAGAGTCTGATAGGCTAGAAGTCCTGATCGCGCACTGCTGATCAGCATGGTGAAACGCAAAGTGTGAAAGGCTATGGCCATATGCACCAAGCCATCTCTTTCTAGATGAGAGACTGATCAAAAAGTAGGTCCACTTATTTGCACTAGCGCCGTGCGGTTCATTCGGGTTGTTAACTTATACTGTTGGCCGTCTATGGTGCGATTGGTGGGTGAAACAAGGAACTGGGAGTAGGCTCAGTGAGCCGATCAGTGCGCTGGAAGCCGTGCTCAGTTCTACTTAGTGAGCAAAAGCGGCGAGTCAGTGAGCACTAATCTGGAACGGGCAACCAAAAATCGGCAGGAGAAATCCAGTACGTAGGAGAATAAGTCTGTATAGAGTTCTTATTACAATAACCTTCCTAAATATATTAGTATTTACCAAATATTATCTACCAGGAAGCGACCCCGTACTTTCCACAGCGTGGAAGCACAACCAACAGATAGCCATCATTTACCGAAAAAGAAGGAGTTCTCAGGATACTTATCCAGTGAATAGAGTAATACCGATCGGAGAATTTACACACGACAAATACAATTTATGCTTTTGGATTTAGAAGGGCGCAAAGCATGTTTCACCAGTTGAAAAGGGTGGATAAGAAATACCATTCTGAACTCGACCCACTAGAAGGATAAATACCCATCCGTTGAATAAGAAGATAAACACAAATCAATACTCCAGATCTACTTCCCGGTCGGAGAGGACAGTGTCATGGGCGATCTCCTCGTAATCCTTCTCTAGAGCAGCTAGGTTCTCACGAGCCTCGGAGAACTCGCCCTCCTCCATTCCCTCGCCCATATACCAGTGGACGAAGGCACGTTTAGAGTACATAAGGTCGAACTTGTGATCGAGTCGGGCCCAGGCCTCAGCGATAGAGGTAGAGTTAGAGAGCATAGTGACTGAGCGGTCGACAGATGCAAGCTCGCTACCGGGCACACTTATAGGTTTCTGGTAGTTAATACCAAGCTTAAAACCGGTTGGACACCACTCGACTAGGTTGAAGGACGCCTTGGCTTTGACATCAGCAACAGCTTGAGTGCAGTCGTGAGGCACGACATCACCTCGATAGAGAAGAGCCACAGCCATATACTTGCCATTGTGAGGGTCGCAGACAACCATCTGGTTTTTGGGTTCAAAGCCTGCCAGACAATTAGATAAAATGACCCTTTGAAAATGAAAGGAACGAAAGCACATACATTGGAAGGTGAGATCCTTGACTTTGAAACTTTCGTGGCCGCTGCAGTTACTAGATATGACAGGAGCATATGAAATAAGAGGATAGTGAATACGTGGAAACGGCACGAGGTTAGTCTGAAACTCGTTCAGATCGACATTGAGGGCACCATTGAAACGCAAGCTGGAGGTGACAGAGCTAACGACCTGGGCGATGAGACGGTTGAGGTGATTATATCCAGGGCGAGGGATATCTAGGTTGCGCTTACAAATATCATAAACAGCCTCGTTATCGACGAGAAAAGTACACTCGGAGTTTTCAATGGTGCTGTGTGTGGACAGCACAGCATTGTAGGGTTCTACCACTGCCGTCGCCACGCTAGGGGACGGATAGACCACGAACTCTAGCTTCGACTTCTTGCCATACTCAGCAGAAAGACGCTCCAGCAACAAAGCACCGAAACCAGAGCCAGTCCCACCCCCGATAGAGCGGAAGATCAAGAAACCCTGAAGAGAAGAGCAGTTATCTGTTGCAAGATGAGCTTAGAGTTCAGGAATCAAGGGAGTATTAGATATGCACACCGGCCACGCGGCGAATTTGGTCAATAACGTCCTCCAAGAGCGCCTTGCCAACAGTATAATGGCCACGAGCATCTATTACATATTAGTTTACCCGACCATACGGATTTCAGGTATTAGGGGGTCATGCAGTTGTTGGCGGCATCCTCTTTTCCGCTTATCAATTGATCTGGGTGGAACAGATGGCGATAGGTACCAGTACGTATCTCGTCAATAGGCTATATCACCGCCAATATGTTAGTTATCCCCAATCCATTTCGAGTCTCTGGGTACTTGTTACATACCGAAGGGTCAAGGTCGACAAAGATCGAACGAGGGACGTATTTGCCATTTCCGGTCTCGGTGAAAAAGGTCTCATAAGAGCCGCTCTGGCAAATCTGATCGGTGATGTCGGGATCTATATTTCCATCGGGCATCAAGCCGTGTTCGAGCAGATAACTATATCATCATCGACTGGTTAATCATTGCCAAATGGATCACAATACACAAAGACTCACAGTTCCCAGGCGGCGTTACCCAACTGAGTACCAGCCTGGCCGAGGTGGAGATGACAGATCTAATCAATCAGCTTATCAATGTCAATCATATTGGTTTGAAGGGGGGGGGGGTTGGATTGGTCTTGAATACAAGAGTATTGAGTACCACACCGCGAGACCGAATTGTATATTTCGCGTTTCACGGTTGGAAAATAGATCGAGCAAGGCTGGACAATCAACGCGGCCACCATTTAACAGCAACAGGATAGCACGTACTTCGCCGCGCATGGTAGATAGACCAAGGATCACAAACTGTGTTGCGTACAGGTAGACAGAGTTGACATGGATGGACGTAGGGGTTCATGTTTGACGATTTCCACATTAGGCAGATTATGGGGCAGAATTAAAGGGCGGTCTACCGTAGGCGCTAAGGTAGAGTAATTAGGTAATAGTCCTTAGAGGCGATAACGTGACTCCCGGTTAGCCGGGCGAACCGGTTAGGCGAGCGACCCCATCAAAATTCAAAAAACCATCAATTTGCAATAACTATTAAAACAACAAAAACAATAAAATATTGACTATTTAACACGTGTAGGGCATTTAGTATAGGTATGACCTTTAATTCCACATCCAGAACATGTTATCTGCCGACGTATTGTAGGCATAGAAGGTAAAGCTGGCTCAGTCTCAGTTTCTGCAGGCACATCTGGCAAAGATATATCTTTGCATTCAATCGTACTCTCAATCACCACATCATCTTTGCCACTCTCTAAACCTCCAAATATGTTTTTTATCAATAAATTGATGTTTAGTGGCACGTTTTTTGATTTGCTTTTTGTTAGTAGCTTCCAATTGGCTACTGTATGTTGCTCAGATGCGCAAGGCACTCACAAACCCTCGCGTTCATGCCTATCAGTATTCCAGAAGAATCTGGGCTAGAAAACCATTTCCAGTATGAGGTTTTTGTGGCAACTCTTTCTATTTAAGTTGTCATTCCTCGCTCCATTTCAGGATTTTATGACTCGAAATTTCCTCTATTGTCCGATTCTGACCACCTAATTGGAGCGGTGAAAAGAAAAGCGATGCGGCCCAGTAGCCCTCAATATATTTAAATTTGATTAATGATTCCCGACTTTGTGGTAAATTGTCTCCTTTGGTTTCGCCACACTCTTGATGAGGTCTACTCGATTTGTCACAGCAAAGCGCAATGCATGGACTTGGTTCCGCTACTACCTGAAAACAGCAGATATGAAATTGGAGTGGCCAAGTCGATTCACAAAGAGCTATCTCGTTAATGACTCGTATCAACTTCTATTTCCACCGAAGAAAAGAGATACCTTACGTGAGAATGGCTCGTAATTGGGCGATTGGATCGTTCATTGAAATGGAAGTCGACTAGGCTTCCAGTAAAGCCAAACACTTCAGAAATCAAGGATGAAGGTATAGTGCCGACCTTCGGCACCTGGGGGTTTGGGAACTCGTAAGAAATCGCGCGTTTTTGAACACTAACCCAACACTTCAATTGAGAATCAATTATTGAGCAAAGTAGGTAGATGTATTGTGGTAAGGTCCATATCAACAAACTTTCTTCTCTTCTCTTCTCTTTTCAAACTTTTCTCTTGACAGGTGCCAGTGCTTTGACTTCCTAGTGACTGAAACTCAGATTTGTTCTCCGATTTTGCCTCTTGCACTATGGCGTCTGATGTAGCGCTCGGGCGCCAAGCCCAAAGTTTCTTCAAGGTATAGGCCGGGCGGGGACCGCCCCCGTCCAGAACAGACGGCGCATGCGAACCCCGATATACGCTCCCCTTATTTCCCACAGCAACTGTCAGACCTTTGTATTCGGCTCGTTGTGCCCCTCTTACATACCGAGATATAATAATGACGTTTTCAATGGGATCCGCCTGGATGTGGCTCCTTCATGACTGGGGTACCTGGGCGCTGGGTTTGATTGGCACCATTCTTACCCATGTGATAGTGAGACGATATTGCACTTCGATCCGAGATATCCCTGGTCCAATGTTGGCATCGTTTTCAAACCTCTGGCAAGTCTTGCACATACTGAAAGGTCATACCGAAGTGGAGACACTCAAGCTGCATCAAAAACACGGTATGTTTGACTGCTGAAACCTCCCTCTTCCGCCGAGACCGCACAATTTCTGATCACGTGAGGATGTAAAGGATACTTTGTTCGCATTGGATCAAACGAAGTTAGCGTTTCTCATCCTGATGCCATCCGAAAACTGCTTTATGCCCAAATCGCCAAGGTAATGTGGGGCTCTTCCCAAAAAAAAATTAATGTTGCGTTAATTTCTTCTGTATTAGGGCCCATGGTATTCTATCATGAGTATACCGGACTATCGCTATGTCAACCAAATGTCAGAGCTGGACCCACAGCAACATATCAGGAAACAGCGAAACATTTCGTCGGGCTATGCGCTTTCCAATATCGTGCAGCATGAACCCCATTTTGACGCTGTGCTCCAGCTCCTCACGATCCGCTTGGACGAGTTTTGCCAGTCCTGCCGTCCAGTTGAGTTAGACCGGTGGTTTACCTTTTTTGCTTTTGACGCCATCGGTGAAGTCATCTTCTCCAAATCATTCGGCTTCCTCGAACAAGGTCAGGATGTTCGCAGCGCCATTGCAAATCAGAGGCTCCTCGCGCCCTACGTCGCGATCATGGGCCATTACGCGTGGCTCCACAATTTAACGCTAGGAAACCCACTTCTTAGCCGACTGGGGATCCAGCCATCGTCTCACATTTTCGACACATGTATTGCGGCTATCGATGCGCGGAAGCAAAATCCTGCCAAGCGACATGACATGATGCAGAAATGGCTGGATACCCATGCGAAGTATCCCGATCGCATGGAGGAAGTTGAGATCTTTTCTACAGCAGTTGGAACTCTTGGTGCGGGCGGCGATACTGTGAGCGCCACGATCCAAGCGCTCTTCTATTTGTTGATTAGGCATCCTCAGTATATGGTTCGCCTGCAGACCGAGCTCGATGGGGCTGAGGCACGCGGGGAGCTCTCGCCAATAGTTCAGTATGCGGAAGCGCAGAGACTGCCCTTCCTCCAAGCTTGTGTACGCCAAATAACCCGCTACATTGAGGAAGTCTAAATTCTGACCCCGTTGAATAGATGAAAGAAACATATCGTTTCCATACTGCCGTTGGTCTTGCTCTCCCACGTGTTGCACCTCCTGAAGGAATTACTATTGCTGGCAGAGTCTTGCTCTTACCCCTTAATTCAATGATCGTTTCCTTCCCTCTCTTCTGCTTGAACTTTCTCTCTTGCAAATTCTTCAAAAACCCCTACTTGTATCTTACCATGACAATGTCGAGAAGAACTCCCCGCAGGCTGCTCCCTGCAAAAGAAGAGACCGACACGCAATGTCGCGTCCATAACCTGCCAAGAGAAAAGAGGCGGAATGTCTCTATTGCCTGCACGAGCTGCAGACAAAAGAAGACCAAAGTAAGGAGCAATGTGGTGGAATCTCTAAGCGTTGCTAATGTATTCGTTATAGTGCTCAGGTATGATTTCATACCTTCAATGCACGACAAATGGGACGCAGTGTATATACGATGCAAAGAGTGACCGCAGATGTAAAGCAAACACCACTGAACTTCTGGTGTCTCGTGCCGCTCTCTGCCAATTTGTTGCTAAGATCCGCCATGGAGTCTTTATAGAAGTCTTAAATTTGATGAGAGAGATCCGAAAGCAACCAACGGATCAACAAGCAGTTGAATACCTCGTTCAGGTCCTCAACAAGTAGTTACTGGGGGAGGGGGCAGTGGGATAGATTCATTGTTACCATTGTCCAGGACCACAACAAGAAGGAACGGATTGGAAAGGGTTACAAACCAGGCCTGTGCACGAGTGTGAATTGTATATAACGCTGTTCAGGACCTTGGAAATCACAAAGCCTTTTATCTTTGACCTCTCCCTTATACAGTATTTATCGTTGCTTAGATTGGTTATAGGATAATGATGCTCTTGTGGTTTTCCGCTTTCTCCAATGGACCCCATCTATTTTATCTACTAATGTCGTGTATTGTTCTCCCAGCTCTCCTCTCCTTTGTTTGCTTCGCAATTATTTTATATTCCTTCCTCTTCAGGCTTTATGCAGCATCTCACCTCCTTTACTTTTTCCTCCCTTCCAATTTTTCGACATATCTTGTTTTTTCCCCTGTCAAATGGGACCCGGGCCAACTACTCATCTTAGTGCTTCCGATAATGAGCTTATGGGTCATTAATGCTATTTTTCAGCCACTATCTATCTCAGTGGGCAATAATTGCTTGCATTCCAAGTACAGGGAGGATTCAAAGTCCTGGCCGGGCTCCATCTCCGACTGGGATTTACGTTATCGATTGGCGTCGGTGCTGGCTTCGGTGCTCTGCTAGCCATATTTGCTTTTGCAGCAGCACTTTTCCTTTAAGTGCGGAGGAAGGAAAGATTACAAGATAATTCTGCATTTTCTTAGCGACAACTGCGGGAATTTCGGCATATCGTACTCGCTCTCGCGGCTATGACAGGACTTAGAACCTCATACAATTCACGATACATCACAAGTGGTCATGAGTTTAAGCAAGATCTGGACTATAATACCAGATACGAGTTACCTGGGGAATTGATTGATGCCAGAAAACTATGTTAGCCCCATGTGAAAAGCTGGAGCTGCAAATAAATTCTCCTGCTTTTTGTTTTTGACATAATTGGAGTTAGACATGCGGCAATGTGTTGAGCGCCAAATTCATAAGCTAAAATGGTTGAATTGATCACTTTTTCCGCTCTTCATATTTTCACTCTGCGCTATCGACAATAGACAGTATCCAGAGCAATTTCTGAGTACCAAGAGCCAGAATTTTAAGCTTCGAATTCATTACGATTGAGACCTGATGAAGTCCAACTCTTTAGGTAACTTCCAGCTGAACATGAACGCAGCAGCGCTCACTGGTCTGGTATCTGGCTCTTCTCTCAATCTAAGGGTTATACATTTTCCCGAGTTGATGTATATGCGCCAAATATGCAGCTCCAGTATCTGACCAGACTCGATAATCCTGCACTTTCCATTGTCCCTGCTGCGCTGTGTGACATTCCTCCTGGGCCAACTGAATACGATAAAAGAACTCTTCTTCACAAACCTTACCAGTGTCCTTCCAACTAAAGCAGCCTTTGCCACGTAATTCAACCATATGAAGGTCTGTATCGACCATCCACGAAGACTCTTTCTCGAAAGTCATGGCATGTACTGTAAGAATATCAGTAACCAGGCGGAAATAATCAGCGACGCCGCCCTGGCCTGTAAAATCGCGCCCGAGAAAAGGGGCAAGACTTTTCAAGCCGTATTCTGCCGCAGCCGCAGTTGAACCAATCGAGTAGCGTAACCACCCTCGCGCTTCGAGGGGACCTCGAGGAGTTTCTAGGGCCAGAGGGTGGTTTCTTTATCTAGGTAAGAAATTAGCAGAGCCGAAATACTAGATAACCTCTCCCTACACGGGGGCTAGCTGCAATAGCAAGTTGAAGATAATACAAGGCTGCTGATTAGCACCATCAGATGATAGCATGAAATTGTATTGTATCGATTCCGAAGAAAGCTGTACACACTAGTACGGAGATAGACCAATGGGATCATTGAACAGTACTTGAGATGTGTTATTCTAAATACTGGTGACGCGCGCTGCGCACGCTGTGGCCCTGAAACGATGAAAACGGAGGGCCGGAACGAAGTAGGTGAAGGAAATGGACGTTCTTTTGCTTAATTGACAGTTGAGAATGCAAAAGAGCGTTGATCAATGAGAAGAAAGACAGTATGACTAATAGCCGAAGCGGCTCAACCTAGAAATAAGGAAACCCAGGAATTTGATAGCCAGCCATCATATTTCAATTGTGCGAGTGAATCAGCGTATGATGTTTTCCGTTGTCTTCGAGAACGCCTCTCTGGAGGTGGTGTTGCAGCAGGTGGCGAGTGTTCGTTTTCGCCAGGGGTTTCTGGCCATGTAATTTGTGTGGATTCCTCGTCCTCGTTATCAAGAGCAACTACTTCAGGTGAATGTAGTAGTGGATGGGTAGGGAGCGATTCAGTCCGCGAACTTGGCGTCGATTTAGTCGGGGTTTGAGGGCCAGCCCTTTGAGACCAACGGTCTATACGTTTTCGTCTAACAGTCGAAGAAGGGTGGCGGGTAAAGGATGACTTGGCCTTGGGAGGAAATGTATATCGTCAATGACGATAGCTAATTGGCGACGTTCTTTTGTGAGGCCGAAAATGCGACCTGTTAAGAAAACATAGGATTGGGGTTCAGTGGACCCATCGGTGACCATTTTTGAAGTACGCGGTGACTGGGAATGTGTGGTAGGTTCGAGCAGGACTGTTGTAGACAGTAGTTTGGAGACGGCAGTGAAGAAGAGTTGGCACATGGTTTAGTTGACCCCCGCGTTCAAGCACAAGACCAAGGACTGTCACCGTAGGTTGAGCAGCTTCGGGACAGTGCATGAAATATACATCAGTGTCTTCTTCGTCACCGGGATGACTTGGCGCAGTGTGAACAGAAAGTAGTTGGCCTAAGGTGAGAAGACATTTAGGTGAGACAATGTTAAAGAGCACACGACATCGTTTCTGAGGCTACCAAAATGATTGAAAGGCAGACGGGTATAGAGGCAAACGCGGAGTATCGAGCAGCGAGAAAGATTTCAGGGCATCGGGGATACTAAAGCACAGAAATGAAAGCGCAGATATAAAACTATCAGTGTAGGCACGGCCACGTAGGCGCGGGATAGGTAGCGGACATGGATAAAGCAACAAGAAGCAAGGCATCATATCAGAAGATGGGGACGTCAAAAAAGCTATATAAAGTCAAGAGGACCAGGGTCCCCCTGACAAGAAGAACGTATCAAGATACGGGAGAAAACGCACGAAGCCTTGAATGAGGATGAGGACACCACACAAATTACATGGTCTGGTGCAAGGTGAATAGAAAGCAGTTAAGGCACGACGAGAACACCTTAGTAGGGGAGACAACGGTGAAAGAGCACAGGGCACCGTTTCCTAGGCTCCCAGAATAAATGAAAGGCCGAAGGGTGTAGAAACGAAACGCGGAGGAGCATCGAGCGACAAGAAAGATCGAGCACGATCAAGCACAGAAAAGAAAGCATAGATATGAAACTATTGATGTGGGCGCACCCACGTAGCGGCGGGATACGTAACGGACATAAATCAAGCAACAGAAGTATGGAACCATATCAGAAGAGGGACGTCGAAGGCTATGCAAAACGGTCAGAGACCAGGATCCCCTGACAAAGAGGAGTGACAAAGTTACAAAAGAGAAGCACGAAGCCAAAGAAGGCAGATGGGAGACCAATGAGAGCGATTCTTGGCAGGGAAGCGGACGAACCAGCGTCGAGATCTGCAACAAGTTTGATAGTGGGAGCACAGCAAAGTTTCACGAGCAGGTCGCGCAGGGTAGTATACCCTTTCACTACGTTCCTTCGTTTCAGGGCAAGGGGATGGAGTGTGCTGATTCAGCAGTTTATGCCTAAGGAAAGTGGAGGTCTATTTTTACTAGCGTCCATGCATTTTATTCAACACCACATCATTTTCATTCCTTAGGCATCAACTGCTGAATCAGCACAGTCAATCCCCTTATTTTGCAAATCATCCTGTATTTAGAATAACACATCTCAAGTACTGTTCAAGGATCCCATTGGTCTATCTCCGTACTAGTACGTACAACTTTCTTCGGAATCGACATCTTACCATATCTAAACTCAAATAAGTCATGATCATTCCTCCCATTGGCTCGATTCGATTTGGGTTATGGACAAGTCAGCTGTGCCAAAGAATTGAGAAAAGCAGCTCGGCGGTCTACATCCAGGAGTCTATTCTTAGCGGAGGGGTCAATGCAGCGGTTGTGATTTAATTGCCCGGGCAATTATATGACATCCCTGTTGCATTAGTTCCTGGAGTCATGTGCTATCCCTAAATAGGAAAGGCTCAATCGTTGACAAGAGGGGAAGGGTAAATCTGAGAGAAATGGGACGACTTCTCTTCCACATATTTGCAAAATGATCAATCGCCAGGCAAGTCATCCTATTATTCTTCATGCCTCACCACTGACAGACAAAAGGTGAATCAGGACATACGTGTGAATCTTCGCAACATAAGTCAGCTCATACAAGCGGCCGGGGACAATGTAAGTAGTTTGATACCAGATACTGTACCCAAATACTAAATCCCGGGCAGGAAATATGTCAGTTTCTAGAGAGGATCATTCAATCGCCTGACCAAATAGTAGCTCTCCACGCTGCTTTAGGGAGAGGGCTGAAGCGCCAAACCAGAAAGCAATCGGAAATCGAGTCGGCTTTGGGTAAACGCAAGGATTGGTTTCGAAACTTCCAGTCAAGCGAAGGCAAAACGCTGATACCCAAGGAAGTTGATGCTCTTGCGCGCATCACCAAAGATTGGGAGCTCCCGGAGCCATAGATAAATACACTACTGGCATGCTCTACACTCTGGGTTTCAGATCCCGGACTATTTTGGCATGGTGGCCTACCGGACAAAAATGTCCTGAGAAGCTGTTATAATGATTTAGAAAGGATACATGAGATTGACCCTTTACGGAGAAGAATTCTGATGATCACACTCTCAGATGAAGTACAGCAGTTCCAGAAAAAGCTTCGTGAATGCAGAAAATCTCGAAGTCAACCTCAGAAAGAGAGGAAAATCGCAAAACGAGACAGAATCCTTCTTCCCGGGGCATTAGAAACTTTAACCAGGCGACTTTGGCCTAAAGCTAGCCCGGTCGAGCAGGAAAAGATCAAGACTAGAATCAAAGATTACTCCCGAGCTGGCTGGAAATGGAAACAGCTATTACCCGTGGGAATGCTATTATCTTTCCATAACATTAACATGAAGGGGTAAGTTCTGCAAGTACTGTGCGAAAAGCCGATACAACGCTTATATGTGCATTCCTCCAGATTTGAAAGACACTCGTGGACACTTGAAGAGATCCAAGCAATGAATGCTTTTATGAAAACGCTACCTCAATATCGGATACGGTCGCACCTAAAGAACGCGTTTGACCGTATCATTGCTAGCTACAGCGGGGTCTTGAGTTCACATACAGCTCACAATGTGCCCGACAACAACACAAACCTCAATATTGAGAATGGACCTACGAGACCAGTGACTCAAGCAACTCAACCTAGTCAAGAGCTAGAAGTCACTCTTAGGCCTCCCGAGAGCGACAGTCTGCCTTCTGTAACATCTACCCGCTCTACACGTAGCGAAGTCGCGTTGGACGATACGCAACCAGCCGGATTCTTCTCGAGTGTTGAGAGAGGTCCACAGGCTTGGCCGATTTACCAGAGCTTACCTGAGCCCGAGACAACCCAAGTGCCTTCGCCAAAAGCGACAGATCATTCAATATCAGCAAACCCTGAAAACAATTCTGAATTTCCACCAAGTGTTAGATCTCCAGATATGCTGTTCGGCCCTACCCAAAGAGCTCTTCGACCCGAAGCACTACTTGGATCACTTGAACAGACTGGCCCGCGCGAGGAACCAGCGGAATTCACACAAATGACTCCCCAACAGGAAGACTCCACTTACGAGCTTGCATGGCCACTGGCCTCTTGGGAACTTGCGTCCTACGATATACAACTAGATTGGGGTGCCGGTCTTCCTGAAAATACACTTCAAAATTGCACGGAAAACAATCTCGTCAGTTCGATGTCGAATCCTTTCCCGCCATGTGATTCACTCGAACCACTTGCTTCGCTGGAGTGGGATTTATTCCGTTCGGCAAACGGCTTGAGCTTTGGGGAAAATTCTGTTCTACACTAGACACTTAGAATTACAAGAGCGAACAACTTATTCCAACAAGTTACGCTTGTTTCATCACATGCTCAATAATAATAACACTGCCAGCCCGCCGGATTTACCAGAGAAGGTGATCTTCTCATGGCCATCTAAACTCATATCCTGGCCACTCTTCATTTCGTGCAATAATCCGTTATCCGCCCCGAGTGTCCCCAATGCAATCCACACTATAATATTGGTTCGGTTATCCGGAGACATTCCCTGACTCATAGTACCCGGGTGTGGCATGTTGGCTGTCGATATCAGATACCACTGTAATAGATGGGATCTCGGATCTGGAGCTATATTTCGTTCGAATTTTGCCGCTACTCTTTCGATATTTGATCGAATCTGGCGACACTTAGATACCGTATAATAATTCAAATCTGAGAACTAACCATGAACCAATCAACTACCACGCGCTCAACTTGCTTATTTGGTTGGAGGATGCGAAATGGATAATGTTTCCCCGTCGGATCGAGGTTTTCAGAAGTGAGATCTTGCCCTGATGCTCTAACCGATCGCTCAGCTTCATCTGAAATAGCTGAACTGACTGCTTGCTGGATATCTCTCGTTTTCGACTTTTCTTCGGTTTCGTAATTGGTGGATCGCGTTTCTATTACTCGTTGTATCTCATGGTTTGAATCATCCGACCCCATCGTTGAATGAAGATCGAGATGGCACCTCGCGAGTTTAGTGAAATAGATTCGACGTGAAATTGGGGTCAATAGACACATTGGCGGGGCAAGTCGGACGAGGGGGAAAGAGGAAATCACGTGATGCAACCAAGCTGCCCAACGTCACATGATCTGATTGGCAATACAATGTATAGACAAGGTGGCGATATAAAGTTTGCTGCCAGGCCCGTAAGAAATTGTTCATGAAAGCTACTGGAGTCACCTGTCTAGGATGTAGTTAGAATTTGATAGAGCTAGTAATTTGGGTAAGGGCAATACTTCTGTCTGGTGTTCACATAATTGCCCGGACAATTATCAGGTCATTTCAATAATACTACTCGAGCCTAATATTTCCATCTAGGCCAAAGTTATTTGGCGCCCATAAAACAACCAAAACTAGCATGATCTCCCCCATTCAAGGACTAGATCCTACAATATTAGGTCAATCCCCTATCTTGGGTACATTTAAAATGCAGAGGAAAGCTTTAGATTAAAGATTCGGAATTTTTAATTTCCTTTTTGTATAACTGATGCTTCTCCTGCAGGTATTCAAACATTGTCGAGACCGAGTACTAGTTGGAAGCATCTTTTTAGGGTAGGCGCGTGATACTTTCCTTATCCGAAAACAAGAAGGGATATGATTTTGATGGGCTTAAGAATATTTGAATGGATTTCAGTGAACTAAGACAGAAAAATCACCTTGTGACACCATCGACATCAGATGGGAAGGGGGAGATTACCATTGGGCTTTGGGGTTACCTTTTCATCGAGTCTCATTCCTGACATAACAACGAAAATGCGCGCAGCGTTTTTAATTGAAGACAACAGATCTGTTCCCTGAGAAAATGACTATATTGTTGTAGTTCAAAGGAAGATTGATTGTTACTATCATTCAAAGGGGAATATGAAGCTATATATACAACGAGACGAACAAGTTGATTGGAAATCAACTTGATTCTTCGTATAGATACTTCGGCATTAATTCCGATGGGACGGCTTGGTTCCTGATCTGCACCAGACGTATATCACAACATTCCCCCTCAGAATCGTCTTGTTGGCAGGGCGATACTGGAGTTGTGCAGAGCATTCAGGCCTCGGTAAAACCACTCAAAACCTTCGTGGGAAAATAAAGTGGAAAGAGCGCCTGTGCTGTCATGCATGTTGCCTTGGAATCTCCGAGGCGTCGATTCCTAAGAGACTACAGAACTTGACAAAGGCTGTAGGTCCCAAGGGCTTGGTGAGACCATCCGCGGCCTGTTCCTCGGTCGGAACATACTGAAGCCCAATCTCGCCAGTGTCCAGCACGGCACGCTGGTAGTGAAACTTTACATTGAAGTGCTTCGTTCGTTTGTGGAACTCAGGATTGCGAGAGAGAGCAATGGCAGACTGATTGTCAGCCATGATGTTGGTGACTGGAGAGCGGTACAGGTGAGTTTCAGCCAGAAAGGTGCGAAGCCACTGTAAATGCAGAATAGCATTGTACTGTCCGATATACTCGGCGTGGGTTATAGATGTGGCCACTTCCCCCTGTCTCTTAGAAGACCAGGAAACTGGCGCGCCTGAAAGTTGGAAGACATAGCCAGATGTTGAGTAGGCACCGTCAGTGACGACAGAGCCACCAAAATCGGCATCTGTGTATCCAATCAATTGCCCGCTGCGGTAGGTGATCCGGTATGATTGTATGGCTGTGATGTAGCGTAGCAGCCGCTGAAGGGCGACTTGATGATGAGATTGCGGTCGGGATGTGAAGCGACTCAACATTCCTAGCGCAAACGCGATGTCTGGTCGCGTGCCAACCATCAAATACATGAGCGAGCCGATAGCAGTCGCGTAGCGAACTTTTGCTTCTTCATCCGGAGGTTCCTCCTCTGCGCGAGAATTCAGGCTTTGCTTAGGGTTCATCGGCGTAGACTTCGGCTGACAGTTCTCCATACCAAAATCCGACAGCACCTTCTGGATGTACTGGTGTTGGTGAATGGATACAGATCCGTCAACCTGGTGGTCAAACTGGATCCCGAGAAATGATTGTGGGATGCCCAGATCATTGAGCTGGAACTCCGCTTGCAATGCTTGCTGCACTTGGTGGATTTCGTGTTTGTTTGCTGCCGCAACAAGAAAGTCGTCGACGTAGACACAGACGACGCAACCTGGCTTGTAGAACACGCAGTTGTCCGACTGAGCCATGGTGAATCCATGAGAAGCCAGGACGCGGTGGACGCATTGGTACCAAATCCGCGGAGCCTGCTTCAGACCATATAGTGAGCGGCGCAGTCGACACACGTGCCCTGGCTCTTCGAAGCCTTCAGGCAACTCCATGTAGATAGACGAGTCGATATCTCCATGAAGAAAGGCGGTGACTGCATCGAATTGGTGGAGTTTCCATCCGCGTAGCACGGCGCTCGCGACAATGCATCGGACTGAGTCCATTCTGGAAACAGCCGCAAATGTTTCATGGAAGTCGACGCCCTGTTTCTGCCGGTAGCCTTTGATGACCAACCGCGCTTTACGCATCCCGTTCGCTTTGGTCTTGAAGACCCATTTGCAGCCAATCACATGAGCACTGGCCGGAACGTCTTGTCGCCGGATCTTTTCCCAAGTTCCGTGTTCGAGAAGGGACGCGTACTCTTTCTGGATAGCGGCCCACCAGTCCAGCTGGTCTGCGCCTGACACAGCTTCGCCAAAAGTGACCGGATCGACTTGTCTGTCCGAAATGGCTTTCAATGCGCCTGTCGAGTACACTTTGCCGAGTGACTCCAGGAGACGCCGTGACGGTCTTCGTCGGCGACCGTAGATTGAGTACCCAAGATCCGAGGTCACGTCAAGTCCCTGTTCGATTGGATTGACCACTGGAGGGATCTCCTCGGGCATTTTCTCTTGCCCATTCGACAGAGATAATGGCGATGCAGGGGGCGTTGGCAGCCCACTGGCTAAGCGTGGAATTGATGGAGAGACAGTCGATGGAGGAGCGTTGTCCGGGAGGTCGTTGCCTGTTTCCCCCTCGATGAGTGGCGCCACAGGGGTCCGCTCATCGAACTCGACATCGCGGGAGAAGACTGTCTTTCCAGAATGTATTTCATAGAGCTTGTACTGGTTCGGCTCACAGTAACCCAGTAATCGGCACTCGGATGATCGCGGCCCGAGTTTTGCTCGATGTTCCTTTGGGATCAAAACCCGGGCACGGGAGCCGATCCGTCGCAGATGCAAGAGCAAGGGTGGCTTCCCGTAAATCACTTCAAACGGAGTCTTCTTCTGTAAGATCGACGCTGGCGCGCGCAGCTTCAGATAGACCACCGTATCCAAAAGCTCGGTCCACCAGGAAGGAGGAAGGTTCGCATCGGACAGGAGCGTGTTCATCCGCTCCCGGATGGTGCGATTTGTGCGTTCCGCCAGCCCATTCTGCCCCTTGCAGTATGGCGGCGAGGTGTCGAACTCAACTCCCTGGCGTTCGAGGTGTGTTCCGACCGGCAGATACTCTCTTCCATTGTCGGTCAGGAAGCGTTGGATCCGGGCGCCGAACTGTCGGTGCACCCAGGCCTCAAACTGTCGGAACTTTTGGAGCGCTTCATGCTTCCATCTCATGGCATAGGCCCATGAGCCCCGAGAATAATCGTCAGTAAAGGTGATCACGTACCTGCAGCCGTCCTTGGCGATCGGCATCCCCATGATGTCCGAATGAATCAATTCGAAAATTCTCGTTGAATGCAGACGTGGCCGTCTTGCGCGGGAGTTCCTCTTCTGATGCTGCTTACCCGACATACACGCCGGGCACTGCGGCGTTGCCTGCAGTTGCGCCTGCGTCAGCGGTCGGTACGGAGTGCCGGTCTGCCGGAGGACCACCCTCAAGTCGCCCCGGTTCAGATGTCCCATTCGAGCGTGCCACAACGCTTCGGAGGCCTGGTCCACTCCTGTGCTCGCATCTGCTTCGAGTATCCGTGCTTCACCACCGAGTTCAGAGGTTGGCGATGCGCATCCTACGCCACTTGACTCCTCAGGGTCGTCGACGTCCATGGCCACCGCCTGCGGTTCCAGGGAATCTGCATGGTCATGGGTCGTCGGCGCCCTCGCCAGTTGGACTCGCTCTCGGGATCTCTTGCTCACATGGCACCGCAGGATCAGCAGATCCTCCTCCGCATGGTAGGCGGTCCCCACCGTCCGTCCTCGGCGTTGCACAAAGACGTTCTGTGGGTGCGCCACCACCGAGTAGCGGTCTCGTAGCAACTTCGGCACGCTGATCAGGTTCATCCCGACGCGTGGCGCGAAGTACACGTTTTTCAACACCAGGGGTTGGTTGAACTTCCCCCAGAGCGTGAGCTTCACCGTCCCAATCCCTTCGGCTTCCACTGGATCGCCCGCCGTGTCCAACATCTCGCGGTGGGGCCGCAGACTGCTAAAGCAGCTCCGGTCCTAGCAGATGTGGCTGGTGGCAGCCGAGTCCAGGATCCACCGGGGTGACGGTGCGTGGGTATAGAGAGTCGTCACCCTCGCCCTCACAACATTGATCCGCGGTCTCTTGGAAGTCGGCGGGCCATGCCGTTCTTCCGTCTGGCCTGATGGTATTCTTTGCAAATTGCTTCTTGGTGAGCCGGAAACACTCCGTTCAGCCTTCAGGGCAACGTCCCTGGACGACTGTTCTTCTCGCTGTTTCTTCCAGCATTGCGCGACTACATGTCCGCGCTTCTTGCAGTAGTTGCACTTCTTGGTGTTCTTCTGCACTGTATTGATTGAGGGGCTACTCAGTCCGCCAGGCGCTCCGTGCGGGAGCATTGCTGCGTCTTTTCGCTGCACCGTCTGTTCAGCATTTGCCAGACGGTTTCCGATCGTGGTCGGATTGACGGGATCCTTGTCATTTTGGATCGCATCCACGATTAAGATGTATTCCGGTCCAATCTGCGTCAACAGGATCGCGATATGCGTCCGGTCGCCGATGGATCCCGGGACAATAGCATTCAACCGGTGTACTAGCATTCGTACCCGATCGACAAACTCGCGCGCACTGCCGCAGCGCTCACCAGTGGTTTCACGCAACTGGGCAAACAGCTCGCAGAACGTGGCGAGTTCCATCCGCCGATACCGTTCTTCAAGTTCATTCCAGAGGTCACGAGACGTCTCGAGCCCCGCGACGTGAATGCTGATGTGAGGGGATAAATATCGGAAGATAGTATGGTAGGCCTCGGCTTCGCGGCGCGACCATTCACGGTGGCGCTCGAACGCCTGGACCTCCACTTCGAGGCGCGCGTCGATGGCGCGCTGCCTCACCGCCCCGCTGAGGTGGGGCTCCACCAAGGGGTGGATGTCCGCCGTAATAGGTTTGGCGTACTTGAACAGGCAGTCAGGACGCTGGAGGTCGCCCGACACCACGTCCCAGACCTGTCTCGCTTTGAGGTAGGAGGTCATGAGACGTTTCCAGGTAGCGAAGTTGTCGCTTCCTGTCAGAGGCTCGATGGCCGTAACGGCTCGGTCTGGAGAGTCATGGACCAGAGCCGACATGATGATAAGTTGATGAGTTGAAAGCGGGGTAGATATATAATCAAGATGGATAGATAAGATGTTTCTCAGATGAGTAGAGACGGCACCCGAGAGATTGCTCCCGGGCTCATAACCTGTTGTAGTTCAAAGGAAGATTGATTGTTACTATCATTCAAAGGGGAATATGAAGCTATATATACAACGAGACGAACAAGTTGATTGGAAATCAACTTGATTCTTCGTATAGATACTTCGGCATTAATTCCGATGGGACGGCTTGGTTCCTGATCTGCACCAGACGTATATCACAACATATATAAGTAGGTCGAGGAGTCTCCTTTGAAACATAGCCTACTGTTATCGATATAAAATATTGATCATATCCTTTACCCCACGTGAGAATACGAAGGTCTTCAATTAGCAAAATGAGTGTTCCTGGTCAGTATCATTTCTTTTTGGAAGAAACAGGCTCTGATATCCATTATACCCATTAGGAGAAAAAGGCGTCATTTTATTAGGACGTCACAAAATCACAGTTCCAGGAGATCTCATCGAAGTATGGGAGGAGGAATTTGGGTACAAGGATCTCGTCATCACGCTCAGTCAAATTCAGAATGCCCTGAGAATGATTGACGCCATACAGGGTATCTGTCCCGTGAAAGCCATACCAAAAACACTCGGAGAGCAAATCAGCAATCCAAAATTTTTGGCCCATGATCTTGGAAAATTTATTCAAGTGGCTATCCTGATCGGCCGGGAAGTATCTGCAGAGAGGTTCTTTAGCGGATCTGAGGCTGATTGCGATCTTCAGTCTCCCGTTAAAGTGAATTCAATCCCGGGAACTGGATGGAATAATGGTCGATATATGATATGTTTGGAATGTATCTATCTTGTTGACAAATTTACTGTAGTGAAGGAGGTCGGCGAGTTATTGAATTTGCTTTAGTAGATATAAGAGCTATCATGGAGTCCCTTGATCTATTGCAAGCCATGGACGACAAGGGGCTGAGAAGCCGAATCCTGATCTACTATAGTGGAAGATACAATGGTGCCCATACTTCTCAATTCATCCTTCCTTGTCAAGTAATTTGTGCATCGAGCTTTATAGCAGAATGAATACTCCAATTGAAGTACTAGATTAATAATTCCCGGTGCATGAACCCGGAATAAGTCGGCTCACAGAAGCACTCAAGGAGCTATGTCTTCATTCACTGAGTTGAGTGATGGATTATGTGACCTGTATCAGTTGAACATGACCAGCACAGTGCTTACATGCGTGACTGAGAGATAAGAGTGCTGTAAGGCGTTGGCTATAAAGCTCGGAAGATCCCCTTGAGGAGCTGTTGAATAAGCCATCTGAACAAGTATCTGTTCATAATGGCAACTCAGGGTTACCACGAGCCAAGCTTGGCTGAGCTTCAATCAGAATTGGACATGTTCCCACAGCGTAAGAGACTCCAAGGTTCCGGACCAAATGGACAACCTACTCACTGCTCTCGATAGTGTTTATACTAAGTGATAAGGCGGCAATCTACCTCACGCCGACTCACACGCTTCTGAAAGAAGAATGTTCCAGGCTATTTTCCAAGACATCCTTCTTGGCGCCCAGTGAAATTTTTCTCACTCTTTCCTTGCGTTCGTATGATGAGCCAGAAGCCTCTTTTGCATTATACCGTGTTATCCTTCGCACCCGCGGCGAGAGGTTCATCGTAAAGGAGCCTGAAGGTCTCACCAAGATTGTTAAGAGCCTTGGTAATAAAGTTTCAGTGCTTTTACCGGACATTTCCAACGACCCTATCCCGGCCATTCTGGAAAGCATCGCTCCATCTTTCGATGATCATGACACCACCCGAAATTGGGTGCTTGAACTTTCTGTGAATGGAATCCCTCGGAAGTTTAAAGCACCACTAGGAACGTTATCTCATTATTTTACCAAAGATTGTTGAGGTATTCTCTCGTCTATAACCGGGCTACATTGAAGATCGTTTCGGGATTTTGTATGTATCTTACTCAAGCTTCATTATACTGCCGAGGATTAAAATGCTTCGCGCTTTTGTAGATCTCTTCACTGTGATTTGATTAATGAATCGTTTTGATTTTTGGATATACGTGTCTACCGGTATTTTGCTTGGCATGAGGAAGGCCGATACTGAAGGTACCCTGTACTTAAGATATAAGATGAGTAGGCTGGCATCTAGGAATGCAAATCCAGACAACGTTAACTGAGGACTCTCACAACCAACATGTCCTTTGAATACCGCAAGACTTTTGGGCCCTATAATCCATTGGCAAAGGAAATGAAATTGAAAAGAGGCGTCACCTCAGGCGTTCGCCATCCCACTACTTCATCTTGTCAGTGGTCTAGTCTTGAGGAGATTGAGAAACTCCTGCCCACGGAGCTCATACGCCTGATCATTTTGATTTTGCTCGACTCGCATGATGGTCTTCACACAATCCAGGAATTATTCAACGAAGGGCGGCATCTAAAGTTTGTGGAAAATATTGATATCGTGCTATCAAGCAGATCGACCCATAATTTTGTTCACGACCACTGGAAGCTGCATACGTCTTGTTCTGATCTCATTAATTGCATTAGTTGCAAGGAGAGTTGTACCAGGGAAGAACAACCTGAAGACTTGGTGTCATGGACCGTGAAGAATTGCATCCCTTGCTTGAATATTTTGATCAAAAAGGCTATCCGGCCCTTGACCTTCAACGCACGAGGATACGGCTTGCTCTGGGTTGCATTTTCGGCTGGTAATGAAGAAGCGGGGGCCTTCATACTATCATCAATGAGACTCGATGAGTTTTTCCAGCCAATTAACATTGGTGATGGCCAGGAAAAGGGGGTTACGGTAATTCAGGCTTCCACCTGGCGACGACGTTGGTTCGAGTTAGCCTGGGATAGAATTCAAGAAGAACCAGGCCTCGACTGGGCTTGTTTTGGGCCAGAAGCCATTCAAAACGTGGCTTGGCTCGCTGATATTGGTCTAGCAAGCTCCCTATTTTGTCGCGGGTTAGATCTCGGCGCACCAGACGAAGAAGACCAATCGCCGGGTTGGTATGCGGTTCTGAGAAAAGACAACACAGGAAACACAGACAACACAATAGTCATGTGGGAGTGGTTTGCCAAACGCCATCAACCACCTCAAGACTTAATTGTCTGTGCTGTTATGGACGGAAAGATCGCTGCCGTAAAATGGTTGTTGAGCTACGTTAAAGCCCCGGAGGTCTGGCACCGTGTTTTGATGGCCGCAGCCGACGTGATGACTATTAATCATGCGGAACTCCTGGAAATACTTCTCGAATTTCAGCCTTTGCGACGGGCAATAAATAAGACCGATCTTGAAAACACGTTGATCGATATCGTTCGGAACACTTGCCAGAAAAGCACAATGTGGATTGGCACCATTTCAGAGCAATCCTTTTTAAGTATTCCCCGAAAGGATTCTGTCTTGGAAGACATCGCTGTGCGGAAAATACAGGCCATTGGGCGTTGCGGTGCTGCATTGGATGTCTTGGGTTTGGCCGTTCAGTCTGAGGAGGCTGGACTGCACCGTATTACTGAAGCTCTAAGCATTTTTTCGCAATCCCCTGCTTCTGAGTTGTAATTAAACAACTGGTAACGGTGTTTGTTAGTACAAAGGTTGTATTGAGCAATGCATTAGGTTTTATAAAGTTTATTTTCGTTCTTTCTTCCACCCTATCTTACGTTACAGGTGAGAATGGTAGGTGGTAACTAAGCTCGGACCTCAAAAATTCCAACGTAGGAAATGACGAGCTGATCTCTACTTTCTTTTTCGTAACCGATGCCTAAAGTGTGAAGAGATGTGACACTCAGAATTGTCTTCGTTGTCACGATTTTGCACATGAACAGAGTGAGCCGAATTGCAGGCTGACTCGGATTCCCAGCCGAGAGTTTGGCAAATTTGTAAGTCATCTCTGACTTGATGAGCCAGATTCGAACGATCGGGGCTAGATCTGCATTGCGCCGTCTTGTGGTTCTTATTTATTGCCCGGAAGAGACCCCAATTGAGTCTAGAACTTCCTGTGGGGTTCCTTTCAGCTTCGCAGAAGCCAAAGCTCTAGGCCTCATAAAACTAGGGGTCCGAGCCACAGTCATTCTAATATAAACTGCTATCACCTTTGCGACTTGGGAGCAAATTTCATATTTCATTATTTTTGCGTCAATCATTCTTTCTATGCAAAATCAGGACAGAAGCGATCTGGTAATTCTGGGGTGTAAGCTAAAAACACCCAAGCTACCTCACGATTCGAGAAATGGAGCCAGGGACCTCCCCATTCTCAACGGATGCCCCGATCAGTCAGGCAAGCCAGATACGATGGAGGGAGGAAATCCGCATGATCCTACATCTTGGATCAGACAACTTGATGATGAGCCAATTGCAAAACCTCGGACTTGATGATTTACGCTCAGACAAATCCCAAAAATCTGGTGATGCTCGGGAAATTTTCCGAGGTTTTGAAGATCACATGCTCAGTTTTGAGGATAATAAAGTGTCAATAGAAGAATTGGCTGTGAGCCTCAATCACCGGAGCGAACAACAAGTTAATCTTCTACTGTTTTCCGACCTCGTTAGAGTGGCTTTTGGATACCATTCTTTCAGAGTCGAGCAATTCACTTCTCAGTACGACCATCTCTACTGGAATTTCAGTCGTGCCTGTCAACATCACGTATCCTGTGAACAGCGCCTTTTGTATCTGAGAAAAGTAAGGCACCTGATCGCTAACTGGAGATGACCTTGCTGACTCCGAAAGGCTCTTGGAAGGCTCCACACAGATCCTTTCCTTTCCCAAGCGATTGAAGATATTGAAAACGATTCACCTTCCGCAAGGGGCAGCTTGAATATCCAATGCCTGCGCTCCCATTTCATTCAGCCCCTAGAGGTGCTTCTTGACACCGCTACGTCAATAAGAGATATTTTGCAACAATTGACATTACTAAGCTATCGATTCCGGACCTATCGGTCTTCTATCGTCGATTGGACCAAGCCGTTTGATATTAATACCGAATTCCTGTGGCGCGTTCAGCACATTCCGACAAACAACCTTGCAGATTTACTGACCATGGAAGACCATATGCTCCTCCGGCAGATGAGCCTATCGGCACTGTCCATAGAGAACAGCCCCCCGCGTTCTCGAGTCATGAAGAAGTTAAATGAATTAAGCCGGTCCGTGGAGGAGTGTTTAGCGACAATCACCAATGTGGAATCAAAAATTGAAAGCCTTGCGATGGTGAGTTTACGGTGCTGAATCAGGTGAATCATTACTGATTAATTACAGCGTCTCTTCGAAATGAATAACTTTGTCTCTCTAACAGCAATCATACAAGGGGCATATACGGCTAGGGGCTTACCTGACCTTGTGCAGAGATTCGAAAACTTGATTCACCCAGTAACGGAAGACATTATCTGCCGAGAGCTGCAGGACAAGCACCCGAGGCTTCTTTCTCCTTCTGGGGCTATTATGTGCCTATCAAGATTGAATGACAGTAGACTTGCGGAGCTTGTTTTACTTATGGCGGAAAATTATAATGTGAATCAGAGACAGACGGGTTATGAGATTATGACAATGACTTATGGCGCGCTGCATACCAGAGCTGGGCTTGAAATGGCCCATGGAGACTCGGAAGGCGAAGTGCCAAATGCCGAAAATAAAGGATACGGAGGCTCCCCAAGCTGGCTGGGTCGATTGATTTGGGAAAGTTGCTTTTCATGATAGCAGAAGCAGCTAAGAATTGAATTCATGTGTATGTATATAGGCCAATGAAATGGATAGGAAACAGACCATTGAGCCCCGCTCAATACAGTAATCAGCGGAATTTGACGGTCGAAGACTAGATTTCAGTTCGCCAGCATTGAGGCCCCGAATTTGGCCCAGATTGCTAATTTTTGCGCTTTGGCATAGTCCCTTGACCTTGGGTGTAGAAAGTCAATCTCTTGTAACACAAAAGTGAGCTCAACATGAGACCTACATCTACATCACCCTCAGTCACACTCCCAGCAAAACCGAATACCTATTACTTGCCAGACATAGTAAGCCCAAAAATGCGGCTCCGTATCACAGGACTTAAGGTTTAGGCTGGGGAGTGAGAAATGTGAAGCAAACTCATAAGCGCTTTTTGCCTTTCGAAACGCAGTGATGAGGTATTCGCGCCCCTGGCTCTGAAGTCGCATCAAAAGTAAGGATCACATCTGACCACTCTAAGTTGATTATTTCCTTCTGAGAATACGGACTTGCCACTGGCGTTCATTATGACATTATGAGACATCCAAAGTATGTTGACAAATAGGCCTACACTCTAGTTCGGTAGTCTATTAAAGAGGGCGCAACCCATCCGATCCACGGAATGGCTTGTTACCTTAATCTGCCAACATGAGTGACACACGCAAGTCAGCATCTTTAGAACCATTTCCACTCCCCGGCCGATTCTCATTCTCTCAATTACTCCTTGTAATCTCTTATGTCTTCCTTCAGAGATGTTTACCCGCAAAGAATGATGATTCCCGCCAACTCCGAGATATTATCCGCCGTGCTGAGGATGACTGGACGCCACAGATTGGTCGCGAGGGCTTGATCGAAATGAAACGAAAAAGCTGGCAGCAGTGCGATCAAGAAACACAGCAGGTGTGGACGACTTTACGAGACGATATGATGCGACAGAACATCTTGAAATCTTCTTTATCTGCCGAAAAGTTGCGTCACCGTCTCCGGTGTATCCTTTGCCGCATAGAACAAGTATCTGCACAAGGGCTCAATGCGCTGTGCACCCCAAAAGAGTGTTTGGAGCGTCCCCGCATATCCGTCTACGAGAGCCTTTCTCTAATTTGCCGAAGTTTGGCGGTGATGTCAGTCTCGTGGAGCAATGATCAAGCTTGGTCGGCTCCATTTGATGTTCTATCACATACCATTACTGAAATATTGAATGATCTACGGAGATCTCCGCTCTTCTCTGACGGATTATCTGGCCCCGAGTTGGAAGCCTCGTTGAATTCTCTTTCAATGGCGCTGTACTGCGAGAATGAGGGAGCAGATGTGCTTGAGACCCGTCACTCGAAGCCCAAAATAGATATTGGGTCGACAACATGGGTTCAGGCCTCTTATATCCAAAAGAGGATGCGTTTTAAGTCAAGATATTATAACACCGGGAAGTCGTGGCATCGATGGATTGAGAAAGGCCCAGGAAATGGCGAGGCAACTTATCACAATTCAAGGAAGGAACGAACACGCAGAGTCCGAGAAGAGTTAAACTTGAGTCGTATTTAGAAAAAATGCATTTCAATCATGGATATTTATCTGCTTTCCAAAATGGCGCATTAATTCCTGTATTCGTTCAAGCTCGGTGGCAAACCATTTCATGAGCCGTGGATCCGAAGGCATGTTCGGCTGATTTTGAGCTGAGAGATACCTAGTCCAAATATGACGAAGCGCATTGTAGGCATCATCCGCGTATGTTTTCCCATTCGCTCTTACAAAAATCACAATATTTCGTGAAAAGAGAGGATCCGTGCTCAAAAGTCGACAAGAGGTAAGATCCTTGAAGACAGAGCAGACGCGTGAGACCCCCTCGGGCTCGACAGCTATCTCGACTTGGTAATATCCCAAAGAAATGGCGGCTCGCACGATATCCCCCAAACCGTTCATTTCAATGTCGTCAATGTTTTCACATTCGATTCGCATTGTCTATATGTATATTTTAGTAAAAAAAAGAATGCGGGTATCACGACAGGAATTACTTTGAGCTGTGCCATTTTGATCGAAGGGTAAAATTGCCTTGGAGCGATAAGGATTTTTGAACGAAAGGGCCTTTGCAGATCACTTTCAGCAGAGTACTGGAGGTATTAAGTACGTTTCAATTTAGGATGCAACGCAATGAATCAAACACCTGTACATGACAAATAATACATATCACTTTGTGTGTTGAGATCCTGTATTGAGAGAATGTGTGACTATGCCAAATCAAGTACCTACGATCGTAGGTGATCGGCACGACTTAAAAGCGCCTCATACCCGAGTGTGATTTCTAGGGCAGACAGACCAAAAATGCCTCGCTTGTTCGACTTTGTGGGCAGTGATCAAGAATATATCGAGTATTTGGAATCTAAATTCCAGGCTTTAGAATCATCACCAGATCTTCATTCCGCACCATCGCAACAGCAAGCGAACGACTTTCGCTTCGTGGAATGCAGGCCTCAGGCCGCCGAAGCCCGACAGCTCGCCGAAAAAAGATCGGCCACTGAGTGGGAGAAGCAACTCCAGGCTTTCATATCATCGATACCTGGTCGTCATGAATGGCAAAAGGCACGAAAAGATGCAGGCGTAGACACTGTCCAGAGGAACAGGCAAGCTATGTGTTTGATGTTAGGCCAGCAGACTGCGGCGATCTTCGTGTCTGCGGAAGGCAGCATCATGTTGCCGCGAATGCACCCATGCGACAATCAAAACCTGGTCTTGAAAGGTTGCATGTATGGCGAGTTTATCTGCCGGTGTGACAATGATAAAAGCTTTGCGGTTCGAGTTGCGGCCTATCAGAAATTGATATTTCTTAGTTACTGCACGGTCTTGTTGCGAATCGGAATGTCAAGAGATACGGTATACTCGATGATGGGGATGTATTCTGACAGCAAGAAAACATCCACTCTGGATTACTATTGCTCCGGAGCTCTATGGGTCAACCGATGTATGTCAACATTGCTAAAAAATGGCTGGGGATACAAGAGCTGGGAGATCTTCCTCCTTGGTAAGGCCGTGATTCTGCAGACTTGCCAGAAGCAGGCTGACACCATTAGAACCACGCTCGGCGGCTATGTTTGGGCGTATCGCAGCCAACAACAAGAAAAGCTATTCCACTGTGGTCGACCAACTAGGTACAGCGAGCGTTCCTATACAAGAAGACGGTTGGATACCATACTGTGTGCCTGGGATAGTGAAATACTTGGCGGGAGATTATGTGGAGTGAGTTTATTTGCAAGGCGTCATTGAAATCGGCTAATCCTTATGTCAGACTTGGTATGATCTGCCACATTCTTGACTATGAGCCACAACAAGTTCCCATCATCGAAGCGGTATTCCAATCTTTCTCCGAGTTTGGCCAATCGGAAACAAATGGCACTTCGGATCACATCCGTCCAAGGGAGCTGTGATCACCGTGTTACCCCTGGTCGTCTGACCTCATATTTACTACCAGCAGATCGAAATCGGGGGTAACATGTAATCCAGGGAGTACAAGGTAGTAATGGCCCAATACAATGGTATGGATTCCACCATGCCTATCTAAGACCTGCGGGGTTCCGTGGACGATGTTGATTGGTATGAGAAAGACGTCCTGGTGGATTGGGATTTCGCGAACGGAGGACACGCGCCACATCATGTAATTTCGGCCCTGTTGGCGTCAATAAAATTCTTCTCTCCCGACGTGAAGACAGACCTGTAGACCGAGAGTGCGTAGTAGAGGCTGTACCAAGGACTCCACTCTCGACCTGTCGTAAACCCTCCATCCCTGATCATCGATAAAGTAATCCTGCCCAGGTGCAGTGCTTCCTAGGGCCCATGAAGCAATCTGATGCCTTTGAACCTCGCTATCTGCGCCGAGTCTAATGGGGCTCGAGATGCCCGACTGGATTTGAAGGCCGTGGCTCGGTCGGGGAAGGAAATTTCCAATCTACACCCTCGCACATCATTTGGTTAGAATGAATCCATATCGAGATCTGCCTCCTGCTATCGAGGGCGGGCTAATACCATTGGGAATTTTCAAAGCGATTCTTCGATCCAGCACTTAATAGCCACTTATGGTAGACAGACCATGGTACAGTTGCGACATCGAAAGTGGGGAAGTGAGGGGTCATGAGCGTTCGATGGCTTGGCAGAACTTTTTGACTCGCAGCCTGGTGTTTAGCTGCCGCCAAGCTCCTTGCTAGACTCGGCGACGGAATAGAAAGGGAAAAAAATTAACTCATCTCTTTCTCCCATTTATACTCTAATTAATCAAATTTTATCATGAGCTCTATCCTGGGTCGGAATTGCCAAAAATTCTTCCGGGTCATGTCGTCGTTGATGAATCAAATCTCCCGCCGAAGTGCCACCATATGTTAGAATCAGATCAAAAGGTCATGGTGGCCATGAAATTGACTCAATTCTCAGCTAGGCTCACCGCAAGAGTGGCTCACGTATTCTGAGATTGGTAATTCAATACAATTCATTATTTCTGAAACATCCCATTGTATTTATAGCAGGGGGTCCTGGTACATCTAATGGACACCCCGCAATTTCCAGTCATCTGTCTGTTTGAAAATTCCAAGAACGCCCTACCAGTGACTCTTCCCTCGGCATGGATAACAACAGCAAGAACGAAGAAACAACTTGTGGTGGTCATGCCGCTCAGCATCATACAGGGACGATGGTTCGCTCCATTCCAGAGAAGGCAAGTCCCATCAATGCAAAAGTAAGGGCATAAGTTCTCTCAGCTAATGACTTCTCTTTGATGTAGGACTTTCGTCTCAACCAAAGATCCCCAAATGCCGAGAAGGAACACCGACAAGGTAATGTCACAATCAGTTGTCATCATGTTATTAGACCTAATGTCATATATTCAACTCGTAGGGAGTTCTTCTACAGGATCTGTTCACGGCTTTTCCGGTACCGAAATTGATGGGAGTTCGTTTGCATTCAACGGTAATGCCGCGGGTGATATACCAAAACAGGGTGGACCTAGTATTCACATAATGAGAAATTGCACTGTGAGCAACAACAGTGTCCTGTTTAATGGAGATATGGACCCGGAAAGCTTCAGAAAGATGTTTTGCAAAGCCCGCTAGGATGATAGTACCGGCGTTGTTTGCCTAGCTTTGTCTGATAATCCATGTAAAGTTGAAAGATTGAGAGCTATCGGTACTCGGACTTGTCGCATTCTGCAATCATTGATGTAATACTGGAATGCACGATGTTTTGTGGGGCATGGCGCAGAGCTATTCTTGTACTGTTGCACTACTTCCGGGCTTATTGCAGATATTGAAAGTCAAAAATGAAAAATGAAAAATGAAAAAAAAAATAAGCGACTAACGTATTTAAGGGGAGTACCATTGTCTGCAATTTTAGTTTCTTATACCTTTCCAAATTTATGATCTTTCTCTGAGGCCTGGAATATGACCAGCAACCGGAAACCAACCTCCGATGGTAATCATGGCGCCGATACACCGAACCAAGCTGTCGACGCTGTACCTAACCTGAATTACGAGTTCATTATTGAATGGAAGGAATATTCCCCAAGTGGAGAACCCTAGTATGTGATACTGCGTATTCAAGGAAAACATTCCTAATACTCGAAAGCCAGGCTGTTAACTACACACATTGCGAGTTTCAAGACGGGGAATTGATCTGCATCCACGGTCGATTACTTAGAAAACCACAGACCAACGCAATCGGCCGAACAATTCAACGGAACCCTAAGATGGGGTCTATTGGTGTCATAATGGGACACGAGTATGTATTTGCGAGTAGGGCTTCATGCTTCAAGTCTAACGAAATGTATTCACAAGGTATCTGCAGCCTGATGGATCAAAAGATTTCCTGCTCCACATGTCAGTAGACCTGAACTTTGTCAAGTGAAATTTCTAACACGATCAAAGAGCGTTTTCGATTAGAATTGCAGCTTTGCGAAATGGACGTGTACACGTGTTGGATGCGAATGGATGGGAGGATGTCCCAGATTTCATCAAGAAAAACATCGTCTGAAATGATATTCATAAAGCATGTCAAATGGATTAAGATGCGTTTCATGTGTTATATACCAGGCTCCGAATTAGGCTACTTGTCAAACGCGGGCGCAGCTAAACTTTTATCATTCAACAACGGAGAGCTGTCAATCCTTCGCTTGACAGGGCCTTGTTGTTGCACTCCAGGGGCTTGAAAAAGCTTTAAACCTTGAACGGCTGTCATTCGCAAGTCCGGCTCAACTTGTAGCATGGCTCGAGAGCACTTTGACAAAATGTCTGGCGAGCTCAAGTTGGTTATATCTTGATTACCAAGATCAAGAAGACCATCACCACAGGGTTTGATTCTTGACTCGATCACTCTTCCGCGTACCAATTCCAACCCGATAATACCGCAACTCCAATAATCAACTTCTTTTCCATGTAGCTCCCCGTACTGTTGCTCTGGTGCAAGATATCGCGGAGTCCCAGTTCCATCAAATCGAATGACTGCTTTATCGGACGCACAACCAAAATCCGTAAGCATAGCATCTGGAGGGTCATAGCTTCTCACTAGTATATTGGCTGGTTTAATATCACGATGCCAGATGCCTTGGTCATGAAGAAAAGCAATGGCTTCAAGTAGTTGTGAAAAGAATGTCTCTCTCCCAGAAAGTGACACGTCTGACCCATAGAGTGAACAGAATGTTGCATTTAGTAATGGCGATATTATAATATATTCGTCCGTCAGGTTATCTGCTGTTGGTACCACGTTATCAATTGATATACACTCTGTTTATGGGTGCGGTAAAAGATGTCAATACGTTACGAATAATCCGAGCAGAAGATAGAAGGGTTCACGTATGGATGGATCGATAAAATGATACGGGACCAGGCATACTTAAATCGATATCTACTCATCCTTCGCTTTGAACCAAAATGTGTTGATAATATTCCGATCTCGAACTGGTAAAGCACACGCTCTGTGAGGGATAATATGCATACCATATTTCGCCCCGGAGTCTGCAATTGCTGGTGTATGTCGGCCGAATAGGACAGATCAACCAGTGTCTGAATATACAGAGATCACCTTAATGACTGGCCGCCTAGTATTCTCAAAATCAAAAACCTGAGCATGATCCAACTGCTCATACCACAGCACATCAAGACCGTACCCAATCCAGGACCTGTTTTTCCATGCTCGTGTTTCTTCTTTCTCAGCTGTCCGGGCTTCTGACGATGAACCCATCAAGTACTGCCCAACCGTTTCGGCGTCAACGATCAAGTCCTGACCACTTAAAACAACTGTAACATTTCTACCCTCCTCTTGGTTCTTCTCGGCCTTTATCCCGAGATCCTCCTTCCAAATGATGTTGTCAATCCAGGAAAATCTCCTTGCCAACGTATGCGCAACCCCTGTATCTTTACTTGCGTAATACCAAAGCTGGTATTCATTGGCCCGCGCTGGTCGGCGGGCTATGAAGTTGTATGCCACGTCAGGCAGATGGAGGAGGAATGAAACAGGATCAATAAAGACCGTAGGTCCGATAAGCGCAGCAAACCGATCGGACTTGAGAAGGTGCGCAGCGATTATGGAGCCATAAGAGTGAGACACAAGCACGAACTTGCTCCATCCGTGATACCGCATGATCTCCATGATCTCACAGATCATCACATCCCTTTCCAGAGCTGGATGAGTTATCCGAGAGCTTACCGGCATGATCTCAAGTGCGATGATGCCAACATCACTATCGTCAGTCGCTCCTGTCTCTAGCTCCCTGTTGAGGTCTCGGAGGAAGCTCGTGTACGGGTAAAGTCCAATTCCAATGCCATGGATGAATAGTACGGGTAGTCTTTTCTTGGACGTATGCCGTCGATGCCAGTATGTGAGATGCCGCACTGGTGACCTGTAAGCCGTGAGTATCGTGAGAGGGCGAAATAGAAAGATGGTAAAGAATCGCGAGAGCGTGCTGCGATGGAAGTGGAATCCGTTATATAACATCTTGTAGTACATGATTGTGTCAACTACAAAGACGCACTAGGTGGATTAAAAGGTCAGTCTGATACCGTTCCTACACAGAGCGGAGAGATAGATCACTAACATTGTACCACAGTAAGCTACGATGTGAACCGCCTGCTTCGTTTAGAAGCTGTCCGAGGCCTTTCACATCCATCCTTCCCGGTGACAGCTTTCTTCCAATCAACTTCTCAATTTCTGTTGTATAGGTCTCGATTTCCGCTTCATTCTGTTGGTCCTGCTCGTGCCTATTTCCAGGCCTGAAAAATGCCCACCTGATAAAGTCTTTCACGTTATCGCGCTTGATGCATTCAGCTTCTGAGACCATAAGCCACCGGCAGAGATATTTCTCCAGGTTTGGCACATTTGCATTGCAACTCCTAAACAATTTCTCTCTGCACTCCGCGGATAAAGATCTGTGGTAGATAGGAGAATGGCGGCGAGCGTATTTGAGTGGTATGAAGACGGTGGCGAAAAAGACAGCCTCTGCAATGAGCCAGACATGGATAGGGTAGGGTATACGTTCGGGATATATTGGCAGATGAAAATATTGAACAGCGAGTAAGTGAATACTGTATAAAATACTGACTGGTGCAATGTTGTGAAGAAATAGGATGCAAACTCGAATAAAGAAGTACTCAACAGTGGATGTTCCGATCATAATGGTTTAAACAATCTACCTATAGAATATGCGTATAACAGATAGTTTGACGGAAAAGAAAAGCAGGGCGTTGTAGAATAAGACATCTACGATATAAATATTTATAGTTAAATTGCCGCGTCTGAATAGCCCCCGTCACTGCCCCTTCCCAACAAAATCCTTTTTGGTCTTGAGAGCGTTTTTTGTTGCACGAAGGAAACAACGCATACTGGCATGTGATTGCATATATGACGTAATAGTCCAAGAGAGAAACCCCATTAACTATCCAGCCAATAGGTGACGCAATCTTTATCATGTCCATCAATGAGATAAGTGGGAGATTAATCAGGCGTCGCATTACGGATGTGGTAATTTCGAAATTGGCCAGTCCATTGCGAAATTTTGAAGATGGGGGGGGTTTCATTATTTCATTTCAGGGCGGCTGGTGTCTGCTGAGTCATCATCCACGTGAATTCAGCATGCCAGGGGAAGCCAAGTTCTGTCCAAGAAGGGAACTCACACCTCTCCCAAGACCAGTGAGTGGCATTAACAATGTCCATAGATATGTATTATCTCGCCCTCTATTTGCTAAAACCTATGCATTTGCAAGTGCCAAGAAGCTCCCTTGTCGCATTTGTTCGATGAGGCAATAGCGGAGTGCACACTCTAAGGAGAGCGCCAGGCCAAGCTATGTTGTACTGTAATATGGTTATCAATATGCGATCGCTTAGACCTGAAATGAAACTCACGTCTTACAGTAGACCAATGATAACATCTCTTTTGACTCTCGCATAGATTTCAACCTACGTATCACATCAATCCAATGGTCACATCGCCCTTAACCCGTGCATAGAGCTCTACCTCGACTTCCAGATCCAGCTCAATTTTGATCTTTAAGCTGCTGTCCTTCTCGCCCACTTTTGCTGGTCGATCCTTGAACCGCGATTCGCGAATCGGACCAATCCTTCGCTCAGGAAGAGGAGCTGGGACTACATCGTCCTGATACTCTTGTGCCGGGGAGGGGGGGGGTGCCTTTTGTGCGAGTTTCGCGGGTTTCGCGGGTTTGCGGCCACCTGTAGGGTTTGGAGGGGGTTGAAGTTGTGTCTGTTCTTCTTCGGATTCCTCATCGCTGATTTCTTGTTGATGTCTGTATATAAAGACATCACTAGTCTCACAAATGGATGGGAGTTGAAGAGATATGGAGACCTACACTTGGGACATGGTTGTGGATTGATGAGGATAAGACTGAGAATTGATACAGCAAATTTTAAATTTACAAGGAGGATTGGTGGGAAAATGGAGTATCTTATGCATTAACAGAGAAGCGTGCTACACCTTAAAATGCGGCACCAGAGTACAGACCCCTATGAAACGCCGCGAGGCACGCTTCCATAACTCGTGGGTGGAAATAGACATGCGCTAGGCTACATGGGGTTGAGATAACGCGTCATAATGTCAACCGTGGCACACCAAGCGGATGAAATAGATGAAATAGATTAAACTCTCCTCAGTGACGCGTTTCAAGGAAAGAAAATCAGCGAACCTGCGCTCCCCCTTCCCTCATCCTTTTCGAACAAAAACATCATTGGAGATAATTTCAAATCCAGAAACAATCAAGAAACCATGGTCCTTGAACTACTCACTGCTATAGCGGCTTGTCCTGCGATTGTTGGTACTACTGAAGCAGTCCGCCAAAGCCAAAGAACAAATGCGAAAGAAAAACACAGAGGCGTGAAGTCGAATCTCATCGTTTCTTGCGCAGGACCTCAAGCGCGGGTAGGTACATTGATGGATGTTCCATAGTGTTGCGCGACAATAAGGTACGTATTCTACGAAGAGAGCCAACCCAACAAAACCTGTCCTGTTCGCTAATGCAGTTAAAAACCAGCTATACATTGGGTTGCCCACGGTGGAGGGTCGGCCCAATTTATCACAGCATCCATTCGCAGGATATTTCCTTCCCTATCCCGAACGAAACTGGGCTCGCAAGGGAGAAGGCATGGTTTCTACGATCTGCGATAAGCCTCCACAGCTAAATTGGATATACGTGGACGAAGAAACTTATGAAGTGAAATACGGCCTGCGAACAGACTCGGAAGAAATCTTGTTGGGCCGTGGGACTGCAGTGCTCCGAATAATGGGGCTATATGTCACACCAACTATCCTATACAAGATGCAACTTAATCCTACTGTCTAAGTCTCTTAACTACAATATATTACTTGGTTTGGGCGTGTTAACATGATTATAGCAGATGGAGTTTGAATATAGGCTATTATATAGCGCCTATCTCCAGAAAGGACAGCAGAAAGCAGAATGCAATATTTGAGAGCTTCGTGGAATGAAGAAAGCAATGGCTTCAGGCTACAGAGCATACACAGGTTCTCTGAGCTGGTTGATTCGAAATTGACGTCACCGAAGCTCGCTTTGTAGATGATGGGGCATGAGAAGAAGACTGAGCAGTAGTTGTCGAGGACTGTTTCACCAATAAACTTCTGATGATACTCTGAGCCCAAGCGAGCGGTCGCCTCAAGCGCTAGACAAGTAAGCCTGTTCATAGGAAGGAGTTTTGCAAAGCTGGGGTCATTTTGATAGGCTCGGGGGTATTTGGCTCTGTACTTACACCGCCAGATTCGGTGAGGGTGGAGGTGATTTAACTGCAGACATATCGAATGGTATAGAAAAGATGAACAGCGGGCTGGGCTTATCAAAGGATCTTTATAGTTTCTGTATTGCCGATAAAAAAATTGATTCCTACTCTCAGATACATTGCAAAATTTAGAAAGCCAATCGAAATGACATTATTACCGCATGCTATGTTGGCCTGAATGGATGTATTATTAGCACATATGTACGATGAGGAGCAGTGGCTGTGTTTACATAGCCTGGTACCACCCGGCCTGGTCAATCTCTCAGAACTTTTAAACGCCCTACAACGGGCCATCAACAAAGAACTGGAGAAAAAGAGTCGACTCGCTCCGTACTTTGAGGCTCACTTTGAATTCCAGTCGCCGTACCAATCGCCATCTCCTTCACCTGAACCTAACTCACCTCGCACGAGATTCACTAATCCAGACCGAGTAGCTTCACCAAACTGGAGAAAAAAGAAGAAAAACAGTTCTCTACTTGGAGAAAATCAGGCCGTCGGTCTGACTCGTAAGCTTTGGCAGACCATTTTTAGCCACATCCACTTATTCGAAACAGGACGTCGGCAGCCGCACTACTCAAAACAAGACTCCCTGATCTCGGACGAGAATCCAGGCAAACCATCTGGATCAATTTCATCCCAAAGAAACTTCCTCGCAGACAAACATAATGTTGACTTGGCTGGTTACAAAAAAGGCGGATAATTTTGCGACTGACGAAAGCGCGGATAAGAACTGCGGCAGGGCAGAAGGTTTATTGGGGGGGGGGGGGGTGAGATATTTACGATTGAGTCAGTCAAAGAAAATCATGAATAACTGCCGAGGCCGGAAAAGTAATCAAAGCTTCTTTTTACCTGTCTCCTGTCTCCGTTAAAGATTTCTTCGCAGGCCACCCAGCACATACGAAAAGCCAAGCGACTGAATACAATGCTATGTAAGGATACTCGGATGATACTGGCTCTTCTTAAGTCGCTTGAGAACAGGAAAGTAGTGATCAAAGAGACAACGGTGCATAATTAATGTGCATACCGCTGCATAATTGCATAGAACATGATCCATCTTCTTATCAAACTAATGTTTCTATTCTAGCGACAGAAATATGATCCTTTTGGGGGGAAGACGGGAAAGTTAGAGTGAGAAACTTATCCAGACCTTGTAAGCTCGGGCTACTTCATTTACTGTTTTGGCGCCAAATGGAAATCTATGGCGGTCTTTGAATTCGCTGGTCAATACGTAGAAGCGTTTCCGTGAGAGCTGCAAATACTTTGACATTCTGGTTCTGCTCTAATAAAGGCGCAACAAATCAGAAAAAAAAATTAAAAAATACAAAGAACAAAAGCAACAGGAGCAACAGACACAATCAAAGACCTGGGGATAAAATCTCCTCATAGCCACCATGACACTCTAGCGAGAACGATACTTTTTATCGTGCTTCTCACGGTCTGACTTAGAATGCCTTGGTTTTTCTGGCCGGATATGCTTGTTGCGATCACCTTGGGAGTAGTGTGTCTTGGATTTCTTCCGCTGAGATAATTTAAGACTCTCAAGCTCTTTCTCGAGAGCACGGATTCTTTTTGATTGATAGGAAGAATCACGACCTGGGGATTTACGGTTGTATGGCTTGCTTTCGGATCTCCTCGTTCCTCTCATTCTCATTTTTCTCCCCCAGTTCCCTGATTTAATGGGCCGGTCGAGGTCTGTATTATTGTCCGCGTCATCATCGCTGCTAGTATCGCTTTCGCTCTGGCTTCCAATCTCGCTTTCGTTGTCGGTGTCACTATCAAAGCCACTCGCGTTGCTTTCTGAATCTTCGGCATATCGCTCCCAGTAAGCATTTTCCTTGTCGCTAACAAACTGATATATTCCATCGTCTCTAGTGTTTAATATTCTGCGGCCGAAGCTTCGGTCGTCCAATGTGGTATCTCCATCACGCCATAAGACTATCAGGCGAGTCTGTGGGTAGCAGCCTGCCGCATGAGAAGGTTTAATCAGGTATTTTGAGCTGATACCATGTTCCTGGTCGTCTTCAATTTTGAATCCAATGCCGAGAATGCATTGCACATTAGTGCGATTCCACTTCCAATCTTCAACCAAAATTCCATCTTTCATGGTTCTTGCCTTAGCGTGACCTCGAGATGTCGACCAAAAGATCTGTTCTGTAGCGCGTTTGTCGTAATTCTGATAGGAGCCCGCGCGTATACGGTATATGGAATATGGTGGTTCTCCGTACTGAACAAAAATCTGGCTTCCAACTTCAACTCGCCACCAGTAAAGAACCTCTCCTCCGTTAAGTCGTCTCTGCTTCTCTACGGCCCTTGCATCGATACCGTCGAGGTCTTTCATCCATTCCTGGGTAAAAAGCCTGTCGTCACTGATAGACTCGTCTCGTTTCGGGCTCGAAGTTGCATTCTCTTCATCTTCAGAATCGCTTAGATCAGCTTCATCTAGAGCCATGGGTTCTTCAGGCCTCGGATCAGGGATTCCGATTCTCTCCGCTGCCAATCTTCGACTGAGGTTCCATTCTAGAGGAAGGAAATGTCTCTTGTTGAAAAAGTTCAAGGTATCATAGGTTTGATAAAATGCCTCCCAAGCCGCTTCCTGATTATTATGTTCGATTGCCCGCTGAAACTTTGTGATGTATGCTTCGCATTGGCTGCTGTAGGTTCGCTCGGGAATAGTCCCATCATCAATGCCGACTTCTGGGTGTTGCTGATTTGCACCGCGAATAAGTTGGTTCAGATTGGTAAAAAATTGAACACATCCATTGAGGTCTGGTAGAGTATTCTCTTTCCAAGGAGTGTTGAAGAAACTATCAATGAAATCCGGACTTTCACTTCTAGTTTTCTCTCGAATGATTTTCTTGACCCACTCGTGAAGAGCCGGCTCTTCTGCTTGAGGTCTAGAAGTGTCGTCGTTTTCAGCCTCGCTGTCATCGCCAGAATCTGAGACATCATCTTGGTCATTTGATTGAGAAGCCTGTTCCCCTTCAGATTGATCAAAACAACTTTTTTCTTGCGTTTCTTCGAACTGAACTACTTTTGTAGCCCCTCCATATTTTTATTCGGGACCTGGAGAATTTCCTGGCGACACTGGTGTTTGCATATTGCGAGCGTCGGGCTTGTCAGATGACTTGCCATTTTTTGATTTGGTCTTTTTTGATTTGGTCTTTTTTGATTTGGTCTTTTTTGATTTGGCCATGTTGTAGAGCGATGGGCAGTACAATCATACTAGTTAAATGCGTCATTACCTTTGTATATGCTGCGTTCAGATAGTGATAGTGGGGTCTCACAATGGACTGCCGCGTGGTTCCACAATGAGCTACCGCGTGGTTTCAGAATGGGCTGCCACGCAGTCTCACCGCCGGCGGAGGCCTGGTTTAGTCTATGATCGGCTGCAAAATCACTGCTTTTACAAAGTGATTTGGTTTCAATTGATCTGAATTTTCCTCCAATGTTTGATAACAATTCAAAACGAATTTTGACGCTTCAATCATCCGTAATTTTTGGTTTAGAAAATACGCAAGCACAGGGAAATTTGACTAAGATTCTCAAGTAAAAAGAATTGCAACTAGTGGAGTAGAACCAGCGACACTTAACATAGAATTCATAATACACACACACACACACGCAATTCATTAACGCCTGGTGGCTGACCCGAAAGGCTGATTATCACTTATCTACTATACGTGCCATAAAGTATACAGTTCTATGTCTCATTGAAGCCCATACATGAAATTTTGCCTTATGTGTCATTTCCAGCAGGCAGTGTCGCAGTGATTGCTCGTGGGTGAGTAATGTGGTTAGTAGGCTGGCTTGGAGGCGCTTGTCCAAGTGTTCAACATCTTATTTTCGGCAGTGGTTTCACCGCGAGCGGCAAAAGCTTGATTTGGTCTCCGGTCAACAGCAAAGGCATACCTCCCGCGCATACGTTTAATTCTTATTAGTATCACAATAGTTGCTTGTGCGCGGTGTATTATTTTAGTGAAATGCAATATTAACACTCTCATGAATATCAAAATGAATTCTGGCTTCACTATCGTCCAAACCTCTCCGTATAGAGAATGGGTGAACCTAGAGAGCGTTGTAACTAGCTGAGTAATGCACATTAACACTGAGCCCGCTTAATAAATCAGTCGTTCGATTCTATCTGCTGAATTGAGACCATTAACTGGCTGAAAATGTTCGAGTATTGGAGGCATTGGGTGTGGTAATTTGGACATGCTTCCACCCAGTACTGAATTCTTTGTTCCTGAAGACAGATTGTCGCATGAGCATCATTTAACATGGATGCCTGCGTTTCCATCTCTGAGTTGAGAGCTAATCTAGCTTCTTCATAGGATTGAATCTGACTCTGGGCTTCATTCAGTTCCATGGAAAGTTCATCTAACTTTAATTGTAACGGCGAGGTCTTTTTCGGAGGTTCAACTTGAAGATATTCATCAGCCATGCGTAAGGTTTCCTTTAGGAAATTATTACCTTGTTTCGATGCACTGCTCTGAATCTGATTCCCACATCTTTGCAGAGTCGGGTGTACGTGCTCACTGAATGCTTACTCAAATGCTTTTCAAACAATGGATACAGCGATATATCATCTATTTCCCATTCATATGGCGTTTCGTTGACTATGGGCTTTAGACGTACATCCGAGGGCTTGACGTCCAGATGAAGGGCATCCACTTGAATTCGACTTAGCAGATCCATAAAAGTAGAATTTTCGAAACTCACATATGTGCTGAGCAAGTTTTTCTCGACAGATTGACGTCCATTTCGCTCTATTATTGTTGTATCGCATGTAAGAAGTATCATCCATGATAGGGAAAAGATTTTTTTTGTTCCCTGAACCAGTGAAGATGAAGGGTTCTTGCGCATTTATACATGCTGTGCTGGGGTGGATATTTCAACCTCCTTACTCAGGTGGATCTCGTTTCAGGTGTGTAAAAGGGTGATCTATTGACGCTGCTAAAGGACGACATATACTCTTACTTAAGATTCTATTAGGGTAGAGACTGTGCTCTGAAATACTCCGAGATAAACTTTCGCCACCGGAACAAGTTTTGAATTGATTGACTGTCATATCTAGTTGGCATCTCTAGTGATCGATATATCTATGGTTTTTGATACCGATGTTTCATTCAACTTACTATACAGAGATTCAGAACACTTGGAGCAGCCCCCAGCCTCCCAAATATGCACATAGGGCAAACATATATTTTGCAAGTGGACCTCCCTGAGAGGACCCGCCTTTTCTATAAAATTTACTATATCAGAGTCGTGAAGCCAGCAGTTTTGTAGCCCCAGCCTTTGAAGTGAAGGGAAGCAAATCTTGGAAAAGAATTGCAGAAGGCTAGAACTATCCACAAGGCGGATCTTTCTCACATGCACAAACGCATCGGCTGCCAAATCCATAAGATATTGTGATCGATCAGATCGAACTAAATTCGCCTAGAATCCGTCAACTTCGAAGCTTTCCAGATTTATACAAATTTGTCGAGCTTTGGTCATTGCACTGAAAATAGTCTCTAAATGAATGGGAAAAGAGTCCTCCCAGTTTAGAAATACTCGATTCGAGAGCCAAAGAAGTTGCCGATCCCTCAACCCAATGAAAGATACCTTAATCGATTTTAAACTTTCAAAAAGCCTGATGGTGCCACAAAGCCTTCTCCTGTCATTTTTACTCCGAAGAAGTCTATTTTGATCCTCACTGATACGCCTGAAATGCGAATATATGCCGGTATATGAATATTCCTCGCATGAATACATTTGCAACTCTCGCTGGTCACGTCTATATTCACTGGGCGTATATATCCAAGTCGTGAAATAGTCCCAGCTTTCGACAACTAGAACACATATTGAATCAATTTTTAGGTTGCCTAGAATGTTCATCGCTTAGAGTTATGGATTACTCACCTGGATCAATCACTTCACATGCCTCATAATGTAGAAGCTTCACATATATAGCCACTTTTGATTTTGCTATGCTCTCCAGAAGGCGAAATCCTTGCTCTGAGAAGGAAAAGCGCACAGTTTGGAAAATATAAGGGAGGCTTATTGCGCGATACCTTTTGTTGACCAAAGAAAAGTTTTTCAAGAACGTTCCCGGAAGGTCGAAAATAATAAGATTCAGGACCTCCACAGGAAGAGTATCAAGCCGTTCAACCTCCATTGGACTCTAGAAAAAGAACTTTGCTTTCAATATTATTATCCAGCATAAAATGTTAGCTCCGTGGTATTGTATAAACTTTTGAAAGTTTTCATTTAGATCCAAATACGTATGTGTGTATTTTGTTTCCTGCGATACAGTATGCGCGTTGTTATGGACGGTCGGAGTGCAGCGTATTTTGACGGGCTTTTCAGCTTGGTATTACGGGGAATTCACATGCGCTCGGAAGCTGGATAAGGCATTTACAAAGCATATTCGTTTAGCCCGCCAGATTATAAAACCGGATTCTTGCTTGCTGGCTTTCTCCCTGCTAGTGAAGAGAGAGGCATTTCATTGAAAAAGTCTCACAGCCTGTCATGTAAGCTTCCGTCCTTCCTCCTAACCTTCCTAATGAAATTATAGCACTAAAACACGACATATCCCCAGAATGAAAGGAACCATTACTTGGTCATGCGTCAACTGTCTCTGCAGTTGTTATGATAAAACCAAGATAAAGTTCTTCTCATATGATCCAGGATCTACGTACTCTGCCGTATGGTCATTTTTTATCCCGCATAAAAGACGCGTGAACATACACACTATTTGCCGCGCCTGCCTGGGGGAAATTGGGCACATTTCACCCCAAGAGCAAAAGTCGATCATATTAAAGAAGAGGGACAAATGGAATTACAAACAAAAGGTCTCCTGGGTGAAGCAAGGATGGAATTTTTGGATTACATGTGATGAACGCCAACAAATCAACGAGTCTCTGACAGAGACTGGAGAAGTTCATGTACATCTGTCTAGTAATATTTCTATCACCTGATCCAATCATCTTCATGTATCTCACCACAATTGAAGAAACAGAAATCTCTGATCAGTAGACGGTTTCTTATATTAAAGCTTTCTTCTACCTAACTATCACTGGCTTGCGTGCGTTTTCTCCTACTAGAATCTCGCTCAACCTCTGACGATACATTTTTCCTGATATTGACCTCGTCACTGCTGACGGTGCGCTTTCTTTTTCCTGTGCAAATGTCATAATTCAGAAGGTAGTCTTTAAGCGCATCCACAGACATCGTCATTGATCCATCATGGGGTGATTGCTTTGGATTGTCTATCCGACCCACCAGCAAAATTCGAGATTCCTGCGCCGCTTTAAAAACAGAATTCATATCAGGTAGCACGAATCCAAACTCTGGACTTATAGTGAAGAAGTTGTGCTGTTCGGAAAGGTCTTTGAGTGTATTCATAATATCGAGCTGTGCATCTGGTCTGAACTTATAGTAATGCCGATCTTCAAACAAAAAGATAATAATGAGATTTCGCATGTAATCAGGGCATTGAACCAAGCATGAAGAATATCAGGAACTTTTCGACGAGTAGGTATCGTTAGCTTAGTCCCCAGGTCACCCACTGGAAGTTCGTCTTCAAACCCAGGAACAAGACTGGACGGTTCATTGTCTGGACGGTTCATTGTCTGGAGTTCCACCGGGATGTTGGTATAGTTCAACTGGAGTACTTCCGCCTTCAATCATTGAAACATCATCTGGTCCTTGATTGAGGATATAATGGGAAGGGCTGTATGTATTGGGATAGTTGCTTTCAAAGGCGGGGGGGGGGGTTTGGTCAACAGCGGCGTCTTCATGGATAGCCGTAGTGTCTGGATGAGTTCAAATATATGGATCTGTCAGATTCGTAGGAGATGTCTCATGAGGGCCTTCCGGTAGATAGTCATAGAGATCGCCTAGAAAGCACATTATAATATCTCTTGTTATTCCCAAGGATGTGGGATATCGTCCGGATTCTCGATCATCAGGAGCAATGCTGTAAAGAAACAGCTGATTGCGTTGCTTGCTCATCTGAGAAAGGGAAGGAGCATTGTATCTTCTCTCAGTCACTTGGCTCAACTCATTGGTACTATATCTCAACCCATCCGGATTAAGAACTTCTGGTGGCTGAAGGCCTCTCATAGCTGATCCAATACGACCAGATAGGGATTTCGTAGATTCTGGGCGTAGGGTGCCGTAATTCTGCTCCTGCAGAGATGCAGTGAAGCCCTTAGCGACTAAACTATGGACATCTTTGTCTTGCGCACGAAGAAGAAGAATCTCTGTGGAAGAGAAACCTAAACGATATGCCAGATCTGCTAGTCTAGTCATGTTCAACCCTTCCGTGTCCCAGCCAAAATTTTGTTCGACTCTTTTTTTTTCGGCGCGTTCTGGAGAGAAATGACGTAGTGAAAATAACCAAAGCTGTATAACACAAATTGAGAATGACTGTTCAGAAAGGGACCTTTCTTCAAACTGATGCTCCGACACCTCTACTTGCAGAGAGCTTCATCCTGGAATATGCCATGGTAGCGGGAGGACTTGCAGCAGACGAAGTTTCAGGAGAGCGAGAATCAACATCAAAGGCTTGGTTTTCATTCAATTCCGTAAGGGGAACCGTCTTTGAAGGACCATGAGCATCAGCCAAGTTCAAGTTGCCGCATGCTTCGAGCTACTGACCTGTTCGTTTTGATCTGACGATGCCAGCCCAATCGATGGCGCTTGTAAGCTTCGGCGGCTTGTTTTACGAATGCGAGTCTCTTGGGACATTCCTCCAAGAAAGCCCTTGCACGTGCGTGGTTCAATACTGCATCGTTGTTTGGCGATACGGCACGGCTCGCAAGATGGGCTCTGGTGCACATTTGCTGGGTAGGAACAGAGACCATCTTTACCACGCCTGATACAGGCTTGGCACGAAGGAAGCTGACGATTGCATCGAATCTTTGCCGCTCGACACGACTCGCAGGCTCGAGTTGATGTGGGACCGCTCGAGGATGGCGAGCATCTTTGCGGACGCAACTTCGCTGGAAAGTTAGTATACATATGAAGTAGTACTGATGAAATGACTGTGGAAACACTTTGACGTTCAAGATTGTCACTGCTAGCCCTAAGAGAAGAACCGCCACTTTAAATGTTGATGAACGGACGTGCGAATGTTCACGAGCATAGCCTCGATTAGAGCTCACTAGAATACGCCAGCGGTGATGTGCCGCGTCACTCATCCATGCCACAAAGTAGCGTAATTCTAAACATCGAAGCAATTCTGGGAACGTTCACTTGCTTCCCAGGAGCGCCTGAGTTCCCAAAATCCGGTTTAAAGATCCCAGGATCGGCAACGCTAAATTATGAACCAAATTTACCCGTTGGGTCATTTTTCCAGGGAGTCAAGGCTTCATTAGTTGAAGCAGATCCAAGTTGACGGCGGTCTTTCACACTTAGACACCCCCCATCAAAGCAGACTCCCTATGCAGTAATCAAGATGTGTGCCCCAAACGGCCAAAGAGATCATCTACCACCGTCATCTGAAGGCAGAGTCATAAAATGTTGATGAGTGAGGAATGCAGGTGGGTTCACTAGTAGAATTTGTGAATGTAGCCAGTCTTTTGCCTACGACCCGGTAGCGATAAGCCATTGGGAGACCATCTATAAAGCCGGGGCAAGAACGCCTCCTCGCACTATACCGGTAACTCCGGCCTGACAATCCTCTTCCAAAACATTCGATGCTGCGCGAGATTTTTGTTACTTTTATTCGTGTTTGGAGTCGCAGAACAAATCTTGATGAGCGACCTGGCGAGGTTTATATCAACAGCCGAGCGCAGGCAGATTCACAGCTGGCCCACGCAAGCACCACTTCTATGCAAGAGCTCAATGGCGAAGACATGGCCGACCAGGTGTCGTACGAAAATCAAAGCGGGGGAGTTTCTGCAGATTCGGTGGATCATCACGAGTTGAATCACCTCACTGATCCTCTTGAGAGCGCCGCCTCGACCTTGACCTCCCACATACAGCCGGGGATGCAGGGCGTTAAGGTCCGCCGTCCGGAAATCGGCACAGACGTCGATGACATATACTGCATCTTTTGTCTCGCCGAGAATGGGAATCCTACCGACGAGAATGTAATTCTGCAATGTCGACGCTGCCAAGCATTGTCACATTTGAGTTGTATGGAGGAGTGGTTGAAGCAATGCAGACCTGAGATGCACGAGTCATGCTGCGCCTGGTAAGTGCAATGAACGCGTCTCTCAAACACTTGGTTACTAAAGAGATGCAGCCGAAGTGAAGAGCCTCAAGACGCCCTGTTACGCGGGTGGCCATCGCAGATTCGAATGAGCACTGATGCAGCCAGAAGCTGGGGTGTCACCACAGTTGACCCATGCGATACTCCGTCCGCGGATTCCTCCCCCTCTGTATACAGATCCACCCCAGTGCAAATTTTGCAAGCGGGTGCAGTGCAACAAGAGAGACCTCAGATATTGCCCCGCAGATCGACTAGACTGACCGAAGATGGACGCCCACGTCCACCACTCCGTCGATCACCGAGATTTCGAAGGAATCAAACGGGTGGTTTTGAGAGGGAGAATTGATCTTGGAAAAAAGAAGGGGACCGGAAATCGACCAGGGGCTTTGAGTTGAAGCGGAGGGCACAAGACCAAATCTTTTCTATCAGTGTCAAGGGCGTCAATATTTTGTGGCCCTTCGGTCAGTTTCGCATATCTGCTTTCGTTCTAGATGTTTCATTTAACCTCAGAAAAGGGCGGTTGATTTCTCCAATAATCACTTGTTGTGACATAGCATGCACTGAAAGCCGCCTGGCCGCATAAGGACTTCTCGCAAGCACGCCAAAGTGGGACTCAATGTCTGGCAATGGGACCCTCCGTAGACCCGCCCAGTAGAAAGCGACTTCCTTGCGTGCCTCTACTCCGACCGTGATTCGCTGCAGTGAAACCACCACCGAGCTCATTTTAGAGCATAGTAGATAAATAATAACTGACTGATACAGGCACCCGGAATGGTAAGACGACATCCTTTTGAGAAGTCTCTAATGTCAAATCCGCGACTTCAAGCCTTGCGATCGCGCTCAATGCCATTCATTGCCGCAAACTCAGAATATCCCACGAGAGCTCACCCGGCAGCGCTCGTGCCAACAATTATATTTCGCGCCAGTGTATGGGTACCTGGTAGAGCCAGACCTTTTCGTTCTAGACGAAAAAGCTAAGCGAGTAGGTAAGTTCGAATACCAAACCGCTAAAGCACTATCAGGGCGAGCTGCGCTTGGGAGCTACCCCAATTGAAGTCGGACTAGTTAACTTTTAGCTTCAGGCACGCGATGAAAGCCCATAATTTGCTACAGTATGCTGCGGCAATATGCCCCCATCATGTATGGAAGAACTCTCATGAAGTCAAGTTTTCGATTGACCTTGCTGCTGATCCCACTGTTGAACGTCGCATCCCTGCCAGCGCAGTGCCATCAAGATTGGTTGCAAGTCTGACTGCTCGATTAGCTTGAACTGGGTAAAGACCCAGAATGCCCTCCCTAGAACCATATTCGGACCATTGGAGCTCCCTGCTGGCCTCCTTTCTATTTATCTGACACGGTTTCCCGCTCACAAACGTTGAGGTTGTCAAGTGCGCGAGCTGGTGTGGCCCGGCGAGAAAACAATATCAAGAAGAAATAGCCGTTGGAAAAGCGCAAAGTAGAACGATCCAATTTTCGTGGAAATTCAACGCTCGTGCATCGATGCTCACTTGTGAGATGAACTCATCGCGAAGAAGCCCAGTGGAGACGCGTTTGGGAAATGACGTCACGCGAAGTTAGCTGTGGCAAGTCCAGTGCGGCGCCTCTGACCATTTAGGAAAGCGACCCAAATCTGGTCCCGTCAACGTAGGCCGTCTTGAGAAGTCATAAGGCAACGGAAAGGTTGGCACTCTCTTGGTATGCAGTTGCTCCATAAGTCGGCCCACCCGAAAGTACACGCACGCCACATGGGCACGAAGCTGGCGTGTTTGAGGCTGGTGCCGGAACGGAGCCGCATCAATGGAATTGGCTCCTCAGATCTCCATAAGTCGAGTCAAGTTTCCAATCAACTTGATCCTCTCGCAGTATGTATTATCGGGTATCACCCCTTCAAACTGACAATCAATCATACCGCAGACGCATCATAAGTGGCCATGCCGACAGCGAGATGGCCACCACAGACCTACGAGTAGTACTCTTCACTAGCTCGGCCGCTAGACAAATGTCACGCCCGCTTTGAACAGGCTTGGCTCACAGCGTGCCGAGAACATGTCTCTTCAGCATCTTCAACAGATGACCGAGGCGGAAGACGCTGATTCAAAGTCGCCTTGTCTAATCACAATGGAAATCAGCGATCGGAATGCATAATGCGGACCTAACAGCAGGTCTTGTCGTAAAGTATTCTTCCGGCATAGGTGTTGACTTGGGCGCACATTAAGGTGAGTCAGGGCGCCATGCTAGCCGTCGACTGTGAATGTCTGTTTCGAGAGCCTGTACTGCGGCCGGCCTCGCGCGTCTAATGCCTGCTCAACACCAAGCTGTTGATTAGAGAAGACGGCATTACCACTGGAATGAGCAGGAACCGGGTAACAAATCTTTCGATCAACGTTGAGAGGTCTGCTGGAACGATAGTCAGCCATACGAATGTAAATGCAGGGGGGCAGACGCGATAAAAAGCCACCTGTTCGATATGCTCTTTATACAGTAAGGCCGTAGTGTGATTGAGCCCCGAGTCTCTACAGCAGGCATCGGAGGTATGTTGAGCTGATACACCCAAAGTGTGTGAGTCAGGGAAGCGCATCGGTGACCAGTCGCTATGATAGGTAAGAATGAGCAGGGGAGACTCTTCATCAATCCCAAAAGTAGCTGATATATTTGAGAACAGACATGAGTGCAGCCCTTGTCACCCAAAAATTTCTCCCAATATGGGGTGCATAGCTAGACGCAGTCCTCGGGGCTCTAAAATAACCAACAGTCTGTAGCTTGAGACATGAAGGTTAGCTTGCGTGACTACGGGCTCTATGTCCATTGTGTGTACGGAGCTCGGTCTTGTCAGCTGAAACGGCTCTCCCAATATGCATGGAAAATATCACTGGGATAGAACTGACATCGAGGTTGGCCGACTCATTCTGTCTTGGAGTCAATAGGGTTGATGGGGGCTGACAGTTCCATTAGTCAATAACCTGGACCGCGATACAATCAGCAAGGGCTGAGCGAAGCCTGATGGATGGTCATTCGTCCTGGGAGAGCCGGATCAGATGGAGTGTGGGCGGACGACGTTGAAACCATCGATATAGCCTTGCAGTGGCCCTGGGTTTTCGTTTCATTTTAGTGGCACGCGCCACGTATTGCGTACACACTGGCTTACTGCCGGTGTATCGACAGGCTCTGTGAAGGGTCATTGATCTGTCATTAGCGGATTGTTTGAGAAGTCCCATCACTCACCCGCATTCTATACCTTGAAGGTCTGAGCTATCTAGGCGCGGATTAATTCGGAGAAATGCAGCGCAAAGAGCCGGACTGGAAACGAGCGAGATCAGCCGATATGAGATACGTACCTGATGGCATCACATCCTCATCGCTGATATGGTTGACGAGATGTTCTTTCTTTATGGTATCTGTCAGCGTGGCAACCGAAGTCGCAAGGATAGAGACGCTTCAATTTAGAGATCGTCTCTTGTATTCGAGGTGAAATCGGCCTTTCTCTGGGTACATGATGGGTGCTCTATCCGACTGGTCCCTTGCTATCGAGTCAAGGATCGAGAGGGTAGAAAGCTCCATGAGCCATCGGGCATCTGGGATAGCCCACGCCGGGTCTTGGGGAGGGTGCCGTGAAGATCTCTGCCATAGAAGGGTGTCAGCTTTAGGTACAAAAACTCAATCAAACGTCGGGGGACACGGATCACACTCAGCGTTCGCCGGTATTCATGACGTATCAATCTATTCACCTTTCCGTAAGAGGTCCTGTGACAGAAGTTCGTTTGATCAGCAACTGACCTCACGGAGTAGTCTTGGGCCTACCAAACAAAAGGCTTTCCCGTAATCTACCAGGTTAGAGAGCCTGTCATGGTTGTCATCGAATGTATTCAGATCTGGACTGCACACAGACTGTTCTTGAAGCTCTATTGTGAGATCGTTAGATAGGACATAGTGCCTTTTTCGTGGGTCGGATGAAATCAACACCTCACCTTGGTAGGGATTTTGCGT